ATAGCTGAAAATATCTGCGCAAATTGTTTCTAAAATACGTCACATCTATATACAATTTTTTTGGATTCAGTTTGTAAAAAATCCAGTCTTTGCTTTTTTTCTTTACTTTTCGAGTTTTCGTTACAAATTCATAATACGTGTTTTCAAAAATTTCATGTTGAACTAACACAGAGCTTATTGTACATGTTGTTTTTTATTCAAAAGATTTCGCGATCACAACTGCTCATTTTTCCAATTAGGTCCTAAAGTGTAGTCAGCTGCTATGTCGTCTTTCCGCTTCGGTTGCATTAGTGGCGAACTACTGCCTCGCTGAAGGCCTCTTTACCTAATGTTTTCACCAATTTATAGTGAATGCCCTTATGGCTTTTTTTTTCAAGAAAGGAACCCAATTATTGGGTGTTTACTTGCATAACCTACAGTCGTAAATAGTCGGCTTTGATAGAGACATTCATCAAATTTCTATATATCTAAAATGTGCTCAGTTGTAATTTTAAGTTTTTCACTAATAGTTTTCACTAAACACTTAATACGTTTATGAGTTATCACATACCAATTTCAAGCGAAATTTTCAATTTATTAGCCTCAAACTTGTCTTTCGATGCCAATAATTCTAGTGAATAAACAGCCGGGCCAAACCTTGTCTCAACTTCGTGCACACATTTTTGCAGTTCTAGTTTTTCATAAAGATATTCTCAATTCAAAGCAGATATGATGCATGCATGCATAATAATACATACTGGATAATATGGTACCGACATAAATCTAGATAAGCACGAAGGAAACTTTTTGCAAACAAAATGTTTTAGTATCCTAACAGCAATTAATAAACATTTTCGAGCAGCAGCAGTAACAACCAACTCCCACGGAAATGGGCGAGGTAGAAAAGCTGATATTTATTTCTTTTTTTTTTTATTCCACAAAAAGAAGACCCCCATTTTACAGGGGGTCTTACTCTTGCGGAATTTTATTTCTGATCTCCAAAAACTGAGGTTGTAAAAAATCTACTAATAACCTAAAAATTTATACACGGCAGCTAAAATTTAATCCACCAACAAAGGTCATGCCGATATAGCACTGACGATGAAACCAATGGTGGTACCATATCTTTTTTTAAAATATAATATGACGTTACGTTGACTTAACAAATGTAACCACTTTGGAGCCTATATGGGATGAATTTTTTGCACCTATATATAACATTGTGTTTCTAGCACGAACCTGTTTTGCGCCGTTAATAAGTACCTGCCACTAGCTTCGTAAAGCGGTTGATTTCGAATTAGAGACTGCATTCGGCACCACTAGGCTTTGTTCCACACGCTACTTCAGTAAATTAAATCACATCAGGCTGAATCTATAATTATGATGAGGTTTTCGGTTAATATTGAAGCGATGTAATTTTCGTATCAGCTCGTTTTGCATATATATTAGCTAACCCAATGTCACACAAAGTTCGTATCTTGGCAAGCTGCACAAAAATGTTTTATTAACTCCTGAATATAGCTAGCAATCTCTTGTTTTAAATGAGCAAAATATCTTTTTCAGAAAATCGATTACGTGTCCAATAAACCTGATCAGCATTAGTCGTGTGAATCTCTTTTACTATGAACTTTCTCATTCAAACGTTTCGTTGACTTCCGACGATTGTCGACATAATTGTTGCACAAACCAGCTTTCTAGATAATAACATATTCAACCTTTTTTGCAAACCAGAGTGCACTTCGGTCTTTAACAATCAGCAGACTTTGACGGTATCAAAATTATCTGCACTGCTCAATTGCATGACGTATGCTCGCGTAGACGATGTAGGCTACACGTTTTGCTTTTCGACCTGGGATTGGTACAACATTGCTTACCATGAAACTGTCATATCCTCCTTTGCGGCCTTTCATGTCTTCCTCGTCCTCAGCCAAACCATCCACAATCATCACTTCATTCGCTTAATGTCCCAATCTTAGTAGCCCGTGATAACAAGAGCGGCACCGACAAAATGTTGGTGCACCCCACCAAAAACAACAATAACGACAGTAACAAGAACAAACGTTGCAGGCAACCCAAAGCCGCGGTGGCTGCTGCTGCTGATGATGATGACGAGGTGAGTATTCGTAATGACTGAGATGATGACCGCGTCAACAACATGAATAAATTAAAAAGCACAACCACGATGATGTCGACGTCTTCGTCATACAGTACCCGCGCTTCACACTACACACTCGGTAGACACACGGGCGCACAAACCGCGGATTTACACCAGTTAGAAATTTCGTGTCGTCATAGGATTCAAAAGTGCAATACGATCCCGAGGCCGTGCTACAGCCTCAATTTCTGATTGCTATAATTAACTTCACTACAGCATGCAATGCATTGCCATGAGATACACTGTCCTGCCGCATTAAGGATCACTTGCTACGGTCATCGGCCTTTGCTGCTGAGACTAGCTAACAGTTCTCTCTTATCGCACAAGCACCATTATACTGGTGGTACTTTATACATGGATCACACAGAAGATTTAATACAAGTTGGAATGCAATGCTAAACTGCCGTTCGTAGATACCTAGGTCCGCATCACCACCGACTTGTATAGCGCCTGCGGCATGCGTACGTCACATTAGGTACACTCTCTCTATAACTGTGGCAAATTCATCAAGTAATGCTTCTACTAGCTGAGACTTCCACTAGGCCAGCTAGTACTAAAGCTCCAAGATTAACTGTCCAATTTTCTTTCGTATCCTCTCATCTTTTTTTTTTTTATTTATTTAGATTCACAATTACCAACGCGAATAGAAAAATAAGCAGAAATCACAAAAAGGTCCAATAATAGGACTAATTACCATAAAATAAGTGATCGATTTGTTGCCTAGTTACGAGATAATTAACTTTCAGAGCTGCCTCTCTTCTGCCCTGGACGGCAATCTAGTTAATGAAATTTGTAGTTAATGTTGTTGATTTATTACGCGCAGCTGAAAACACAGCGCACTTCAGTTACCCTTACAACTGGCTTAGTTATTCATTTTACTCGAGTTTAGCGGAGCACAAAATATTAAGAATTTACATCATTAACCGAGTCCTGTTAAAAAAGCTAAATGTCGTGGAAACACGACAATTGACACCTTCTGCACCTGTCTGTTCATGTGTTGTCCATATGAGTTACGTGATACTTAGGGTGGTTAACTAGCAATAACGATAAACGGCAATTTATCTTTTTGCCACTGTGGCTACTAAGTCCTCTTGCGTGCGTCTACTATTGTTTTTGTCTACCACTAGTCTTAACTTGCTTCCTTGTTTCTGCCACTCTTTTAATAATCGCGGACAGAAAACATCACAGATTCAGCCTTCCTGCTGTTGCGACTGCATGCAATCTAACTGCCTGCCTCGCTGTGAGTGTGACGGTTCACTCGCTCGCTCGCCGCTCGCGATGGCCAACAGCAGCAGTAGCACCGGCAACATCAAGCTACAACGCGTTTATTATGAGTACACACAACCCTACCCGAAGTATAGTATGCGATAACGAGAGAAAGCAGACGAATCGAGCCTATAGACGGGCGTTCGCTGCTCGCCGCAGCCGCAAATAGAATGAAGACTACCCGTTCTCATTGGCACCAATAGGCCGATAGACGGAGCCACGTGTCAACTAGCCAAGCTTGAGAAACATTTTCTTTTCTAAATGGGTCATGCCCAAGTATGCCTCACTGTTGTCTCCCTCAGACGATTTCTGTATCGGCATAGATAATGCCGGTGTTAGGTAAATGTGAGAACTTATCGCTTATTTGTTGCGGTAAAGAAAATCGCATTTTAATTAAAGAAACTTTCCGCGGCGCCACATTCAAATTTGAACGAAATCAGCTGTTTTGCCGCGGTTTGCTTTTCACAATTTAATAAGCCTGGTCGGTTTTATCTTTACGCGATTTATGTTAAAGCTTTGGATGTATAATGAAAGCTATCTGACAACATGTCTTCAACTCGTCTTATGGGTGCCTACGTTGGAAATATTTCGAGATTATTAAAAGATAAGGTTTCATACATAATCCAATCATTACATAAATTTGTAATAGGTTTAGGCAAAGTAGGTTGGGAAGGCGTCCCTGCGATAGCTTAGTGGGTATATAATTGCCTGGTGGTCTTAGAGATACGTTGCAGTCTGGGTTCTCAAACCCGGGCATAGACAGACTTCGTTTTGTGCCGGCAACCAGCCATTTGCCGGAACACGAAATATGGGGTAGGATGACACTCAGCTATAGATCGTACCAGCAGTAAACGAAGAATAGATTTTCCAATTCGTTTAAAAATCGTAGGAACCACTTTTCTGTGTCACTGCGGGCCCATAGGGTCTGATAGTTCGAGTAATCTCAATGGTCTGGCAAGAGAATCTCAGAATATTTAAATTGCTGAAGAAATAGGTGATAAAAGTGAGCGGACCGAGTCTGGCGAGATGACAGCTTCTTCGTTCAACAATTCTTGTCGCCTGCCATTATCCGCGTATATGTGTAGCGACATTTGGTGAAGTAGCTTGTTGATATATGTGCATAATGATTATATTGGCGATATCGCGCAATCCATAATGTATTGGTTTTATGATAGCAACAGTGCTACTACATGATTATCATTAACGTTTATATTATACTATCCTACACTCAGCAAGTGGCCAACTCACTCACTATTCGGTAGAACTGTCAGAAAATACCGTTTTGTCCTGAACCTAAATGAGTATTTCAGTTTTTACGGGTGTATTGTAGGCGTGTGTGATTGGAATGCATGTTTGACCCTTCAGGATCCGATGGGAAAGCTCAAAGCTTGTGGAAATATAACAACCATAACATTTTTTTACCACCTGGCATTTCTCCAAACGGAAGTGGTCATGTTATTTGGACTTCGAATAAAAGATATTGCACCCCTTTTTTCATCCGACCGCGAGTAGCTCTCACAACAGAGGTATCTTAAGGGACTCGCATTGGGCAAAATAGACGATGTTCAGTCTCCAGTGAGATACCCAGATCTCTATTATGCTTACAACATACAGATGGCTTAACTATACTTTTCTAGGAATTGTTGCTTTTTCACTCACGAATCGCGTTAACAGTGATACGTCTAAGATGAAATTTTCTACAATTGACAATCTGGAAAAGAATATTTAATAGCATATTTTAACAATTACATTCAAATCATATAAAAAAGTGGTCAGAATGTTTTGATCACGTAGAGTATTTTACTATTATTTTACCATATATGATTATTACTGTTAATAGCGGGCCACACAATTATTCAAGAAGCTCAAATGTATAACGATTGTGTGTTCTATAATTTTTGCATAACAATAGAACCAGTTCTGTCAGCGTGTAATCAATTCTGAAGACGGGTAGCAATAACTTGTACAAAGCATGCAATACTTAGCAAATAGAGTATGTTTTAGAGGCCAGATCTTTATAAAAGAGGAAGACTAATTTCTCGATGAGATCTCATTTATCAATGCATTATAATGACATGTATTAAAACAAACGTTTCAAACACTGTATCAGCAATTTTTGGCCAAATATAAGAATCAGGCGCATCCGACTGCTTGACCTTGTTTTAATTAAATTACGTTCACATCCCCTACAATTACGATATTTTATAACTAAAAATAAAGGTATACCCAATGAGAATATTTCTCTGAAGTTAATTGCTTAGAAATATTAGGAAATATGAATACTGTTTTGTCGTCATGTGGCTTTTTATTCAGTGTCGTTATTGAAACTACCTAAATTAAATTGAGTGCTGAGTACACAACGATTTCTTAATCCATACCCTTGAGCTAATAAAAAGTTTGCATATTACATAACAGTAGTGGCCCTGTGACCTGGAAACACTCCGTTAAAAAGATTTTTTTTTAAGAAACCAGCTCGAGAACTTCTATCTACTATTTCAGGTATTATCAATTCAAAATCAATTAAAACATTTTTACCACTAAGCAACTGATGTACATATTTGGTATACTGCATCATATGCCTGACCGTGAGCAGAAAACAGCATGTCATTATACAAACTCATAGGGAGACGACTATTCTTATTATATAACCACTTAGACAAACCAAGGTGTGTCTACATAAGATTAAAGTTCTTGAAGAAACAAAAAATTTTGATCATACAAACATCATCGGAGTTCGACGATAGGCATTTGGATCAGTTTTAAACCCTTTATTTTTGTAAGCAGGCGTTTTCATGGCAAACGTACTTAACCCAGTTTCTTTACCCTGGACACGACTTGATTGCTTCTTTAAAAAGTGTATAGTTTTAAATGTTGTAATCGCCATTAGAAACTAAGAAGTCACATAATAATCATATTTGTTTACGATGTATGGCACATCTGTATTTTTAGTTTAGTGTTTAGGTGTATTTGAATTTCCCGCGGTGCTCGGTAGCACTGTTTACAAACATTCCTTTGCACGTAAGCAATTTTTAGCCAAAGCTGCCTTTAAAAAATCACGCGCTGTAAGTTATGGCATTTCATGTTAATTCTACATATTTATATTTTTGTTTTAAAAAGGTAGGTGTATATGTTCTGATACAATCAGAAACATGTGTGCGGTGAGAGGTGTAAAAGAACGCTTAAAAGTAGCGCAACAATTATACGCAGTATATTTTTTTGAGAGCAGATGGTCATTCCAGTGAGCTTTTGGTATGTCCATCTTCTTGTATCTTACTTGCATAGGTTATAAGGTTGTCTTGGTGCTAATATATATGGCAAGGCGTGAATCAGAGACTGCGGGTTCTAGTCTATAAGAAGTTAAAAATAAGAAAGTAAAGGACATAAAAATTAACCACTTGTTTGCGCATTCGACGGATGACAAACCTCAGTAGCTAGACTTGGTAATATCGTGCTTTCTAGCATTCACATTAGATGAACAGGACCATAAGTTGTGCGACAGCAAATGAGAGCCACTGAAAGCACAGAACGCTAACAGTGCTTCTAACGGCTAGTTGTATTGTTTCATACTTTGTTTATAGTTGTAAACAATGGGTGACAGTTCCGCTGATCATGCGGTATCCAAGTCAGCTAGTGGATATGAAACACAGGATTCTGGAGCAAGTTCTTCCGAGCTTATCCCTCAATCTGTTGACCAGAAACCCAATATTGTAGCAGACGGTTCAACGTCTACAGAAGAAAATATCGTCACTATCGACTACAGGACAGGTATAAAGAGCGCGGATAAAAAAGAAACGCTTGATGAGTATTCCTACATCCATCGAAACAACTTTACCTCAGAAATCTTCAAGATTGAGGTTGGAAACCTGCCTTTCTTCATGACACCTAGCGATTTCAAAAAGGTTTTGACAAAGCGACTTGGTCTTCAACCCCATAAGATTAAGATGTTTAAAATTTCACGTTCTCAATTCGCTTTTGTGACCTTCAGAAACGAGGAGTCGAGAGACAGCGCGATTAAAGCCTTGGATGGATACAGATACAAGCAAACTATTTTTAAAGCAGGATTGGCTAAACCTCGTGCAGACCCCGTGCAAAAAGCAAAAAAAAGGTCTGCTGAGGAGTGTGGAAATGCGTCTCCTAAAAAAAAATCTATGCTTGATATTATCATCCCTTGGCATTCGCTTAATTACGAGGAACAGCTTCGCCGGAAGCAAGAATATATTGAAAAACTTCTTATAAAGCTTGACGTGGATCTGAGTCGTCAACAAAATAAGGATTTCAACGATACAGTTAGAGCGCTAAAAAAGGTAACTGGACGTAAAACAATTTGTAACATCTGTGAGATTTGTCGCAGCCCGAGAACTGAACACTATAGAAACAAAAATGAGTTCACGCCAGGAAGAGACGGAAACGGGGCAATAGTCGTAGGATTTCGTATGTCAAGCTATAAAAAAGGATCTATTGAAGTCGGAGGAGTCACCGAAACGATGAAACATGTGCCTCCACTCGCCGTGAAAGTAGCTCGATTGTTTGAAGAATTTCTGCGAGCTTGTGGCGATTCTAGGCCGCCATATAATGCAGAGGAAGAGAAAGGCTACTGGCGGCAATTAACTGTACGGACATCGGAGAGGAACCAGTGTATGGCGATATTGATTATGCACCCGCAGAATTTGTCACCACAAGAAATTCAAGAAGATATAAAAAAGCTTAAGGTGCTATATGAAACTAAGCTTAAAAGTACTGTGACTTCTTTTTACTTTCAACTGTTTGATAAGAAGGGCAATGATTATCCTTTTGAACTTTTAGGTGGCAATACAGTCATAGAGGAAGACCTCCTCGGACTCACGTTTGAGATATCACCGCCGAGCTTTTTCCAAGTGAACACAAAAGGTGCTGAGACACTTTACGATCGAGTGGCAAATCTTGCTAATATTAGCAAAAATACGACGGTTTTAGATTTATTCTGCGGGACCGGCTCCATTGGTTTATCCCTGGCATCGCGGGCTAAACGAATTATCGGAGCCGAAATCGTTCCGGAGGCAGTGACGAACGCGAAGAAAGTTGCAACACGACACGGTATCACTAATGCCGAATTCATCACAGGGAAAGCGGAAGACGTATTGTCGTTGGCCTTGAGTAAACTAGGCAACGAGGAACATACTATTGCAATAGTAGACCCTCCTCGGCAGGGTGTACACAACCGGGTCGTTAAACTTCTTCGTAGTAACCCGAACATTTCTAGCGTTGTGTACATTGCATGCAATCCGAACGCTGCAATGCAAAATATCCTTGATTTTTGTAAAGCAAGTAGTAACAGCTATCGGGGCGAGCCGTTTATACCTACAAATGCTCAGCCGGTTGACATGTTCCCTCATACACCTCATACCGAGCTTATCATAACGATGAAGCGTCTCGATTTGGTCAAGCTTGAGATTGAAGAGTTGATAAAAGCTAACGAGGCACTAAAACCCAACGTTTTAGACGAATTTTAGTTTACGATTGGTGATATAAATCGTTCATGTCGTCACATAGTTACGTAACTGTAGCAGCTTTGGCATACGAAAAGATATATATTAGTAGCTTTTGGTAGTATCATATAATTAATTAATATACATTACACTGTTACTATGTACAAAATATCAATATATTAGGAAATAAAAAATATCAAAGAATAATAACACGATTTCATTCTTCACGTGACTTTTCAATTTATTATTAAATGTTTAACAGACGAACAAACACTGACAACCGACCCCGCCATATGCAGATACTTTTTGTCAATACGCGAACATTTTTCTTATATATCTATTTTAGTTGAAATGTTTTTAAATATATCGACTCAATTTATGAACTAATAATTTCTAACTTATTTTAACATTAATTTGCCTTCACTAAATTAATAATAAAATAGATGAAACTACTAAATTGCCATTGTACTATAATAATACGAAATAAGTTCAACGAGTCGACTCCAAGGCGTTCTTTATTAGAAAAGTTTATAATGTTGTTGCACTCCGTTTGCATTTATGCTTCACTAAGTACTATTCACATATGATACTCTCAGCTCCCGGTTTACTGAGAGTATAATGAGAACATAAGGAGAAACTGGCAATCTATGTTAAGAACATATATTAAAACAATCAGTAATACAGTGTTAATGATATCTTACACGATATTTGTGAGTTTGATGCCGCGATTGCGCAATGCATTCGTGGACAAAAGATGTTCACCGGATAAACCTGGTACATCCTAATACTCATCTTTTCTTTTACCAATCCTCAATATACCTATCCGTTTTTATTTATTAGTTTTCCGCTCTTTTTTTTGAACACTGAGTGGTATTTTCGTGTATAACCGGTTTGGATGATTTACGACTGGACGATCGTGAATATCCATGTGGGTCCTATGGGTTCTGTAATTATTGCCAGGAACTTCCGTTGTGCTGTGGCAACCAGTGTTTATAATAGCCACGGGCAATGTTTATTTCTTGGCTGTGCTGTACGACACTCTGCTTTAGCGCCACGTATACTTTTTACGGGCGAAATAGAAGGATGCATTAAACAACAATAGTGATTCATCATAATTATTAACAATTTAGTGGTGCATTTCATGTTTGGTTACAAATGGGGTATGCCGGAATAGCGATATATGCTAGGCCAATGTAGAGGAAGTGGTTATTATGCAAGATTTTGCTGCTTCTCAAATTCAGACCATGCGTCGTTCAGCTCCATGAAAATTAGCTTTGCTAACTCTTCCTTATCCGTTCCAGCCAGCTGCAGAAAAATAAAATAACCTATGGCAATGTACTGATTTACTGTATTTGATATATATATTCAAGACAACTCAGTCGTTTTTGGCAAGAAATGATGCAAGGTTGATCAACATTTCATACCTTGTCCGGATGAACAGCAAGACAGGCCTTTCGATACATCTTCTTGACATCACTGACTCCTACTAACTCGTGCATGCCTATTTCAGCCCAACGGGCTTCGGACCAGACGACCGAGTGCAACGAGCACAGTAGAGCCCGAATATTCCGTTCTTTTCCTTTCGTCCAATCGTAGATCTACAAACATAAAATAAAACACAATTAAATAAAGTTATACTATTGCACTACTACTGTCGCTACTCGATACTGATTTGAAAACGTCTATTTTTTTTGTATTTATTTGAAATGCAATGAGTTATCGTTTAGTAGAACTTATTTATTGCAACTTTGAAAAGCACTAAATAATAAGTAATCTGACGTTTATACTGTTTGAAAAAAAAATGAAAAACTACCTCGTATTTAGGTATAAAATGCTGAAAGATATTCTTGTCCTTCTTCTCCTTTTACTACTTTTCTTGACTGGATGCGTCATAAAACCATTATTCAACAAGGGGTGCTGCCATAATGTCTACTGAGGTACTTACGACAAGTCGAACAGGGTCAATTTCTTTCGCCATTTCAACGCGTTTCATCTCGGCCATGGTACGCGGTCCAATATCTTTCTTCCCAAAATTGACGAACCCTTGCGTACCTAGAAGATCGCCAAAAGCATTCTCGCCGACGGGCTTTCGAATGGTCTCACCTATCAATCTTGTTCCCACATCAGCAGGAGATTGTGTTCTGCATAACCAAAATAGACCAAAAAGCACCTGTCTAAAAAACTCGTCATATTCTCCCTCTATTTAAAGATTCAGAGTTTCGACCCATACTTCAATAATTTGCTCACAAATCCATTACGTAAAATCTTTTTTACTCTAACTTCGGAAGTATTCACAGCCAAGGAATTTCAACAAAACTAGTGTAAATGACAAGGAAAAGCTGAAAAATTAAGAGAATATATTCTATGATTTAGTAAGATGCAGTAAAATAAAATTAAGCTAGAGAGTAAAGTTTGGAACAAATAGCGAAACGAATAAAGTATTCATAGAGTAGGTAATGTATGTAGATTTCCAGACAGTATCATTTGGTGCAATAAGAACACCTGTTATGTTACATACGCAAGTCCATTGTACGGACTTTTTTTCGTTAGCATTTCTATATTTAGTTAGATACAAAATGTATGTTGTGGTAGGGAAATGGACGATAATCTTATGAGTCGTGCAGAGTGAGTACTAGATAAAGGTGAATCTCCAGTAGTCCAAATAGCTATTGGACAAGTACAGTGACAGTACGAAAAACTATTTAAGGAGTCAGTAATAAAGCTGTTGAAAAATCTGCTATTCTGGTCATTTCCGAAGAGCTGAATTGAATCTTGTCCATTATATTTAGGAGGGGAGAAGGACGGAAGCGTTGTGTGGCTCGATTCAGACTTATCTTTTTTAAAGTCGAACGTATTTACTGGGATGATTTGGAGATACTTATTGCTTGAGTTCTAACAAAAACAAAAAGGAAAAACTGGCTATGTGGCTAAAGTATTAAATGGTCCAGTCCGAGAAGTTCATCTTTACTGGCAAGAGAAATATTCCCTATTTGTTGGAAGTATGCCAAACTTCTTATATTGCTTTTGGTGTAAACGTATTTTTTGAACGACATCAGCTTATATTCTGAATCAATAGGTGATCTCGTCAAGATTAAACAGCACACCAAACAGAAACAAGTCAAATGTACTTCTTAACAGCAAAATGAAGAAATTTGCCTTATCAGATGACATCTACTTGAAAAACAAATAACTCAGGAAAGTGTTACTTAAATTAAGCAGTTTTTGCTCCTTTGCCTCAACGATTTATTGCTTAACTTTTAAAGTCAGTTGTGGTCGAGTAAGTACTTGTAGTGAACCATCTTCAGAGGCAATACAGCAGTTTCAATAGATAAGATAGCAAAACGGATTTTCTTATCAGTGCTGGCTAGGAATAGGGGAAGACCTGATGTTTCAGGTTGTGGGGCATCTTGCTCCTGGTCTTACATGCTGTTACGGGCTTGCAAAGCTGTCTGACACAAGAGGAAATATTAGAAAATATAAATATTAATTCCGTGAAATAAATCAATATATAAAAGAGCCGTTAATTTGTGCCATTTAATAGACTGTTAAATCAAAACGCATGAAACAATAGACGCGTGTGGCCTTTCAGTATGACCTTAGATCGAGAAGTTGCATAGACGTTAGGCTCTTCACAAAACCGTCCTAATAGGATATATAGACGGTCTCGTGTTTGGTCTCAACGGATTAAAATTTGGGCCGAAAAAACGCTTCAAGCAACCGTTTGCATTAACACAGGAGAAATCATATCAATATAGATTCGTTGATTAAATGGTACCATCACGGTTCAGCATTACACTCGTAAAGGCAACTTCCAGAAGCAACTTCCAAAGTGTGTATTCATGTCAACTTTTATCGGGCAAAAAAGGTTGATGCGATTACTTTTAACTGTGCACATGGACAGTTAACTACAGAATGGGCAACAAATAAAGATCATGCAACCTCAAAAAAAATGACTAAATGGCTACATTCAGGCAGGCAGAGGTAATGGTTTACCAAAACAGTTCTTTATCTAAGAAGTTGCAATTTTGCAATAGCTGGCGGGGGGAGGAAGGAGTATTGTAGACAAATCAGGTTTTAAAATGGAAATAAGAATTTTAAAGAGCCACCATGACGTCGATCATTCGTGCAAATTTCAATCGTAACGTGGGCCTTACTGAGCAAGCATCAGATCTTTTAAAATTTTTCACAATTTCATTATTAAGCAAAATATGTTTTTTCATATTGTTTGATTCTTCATTTGAAGGTGAGGAATTAGTTTGCGAGATGTTCTTCGTTAACATAGTATTTTTCTTACTCACTTCCAAAAACATTAAAAACACCTTCTATGGAATGATAAACCGATGTGTGGATGTTATGACTTTATAGAATTGCCTACATTATTAATTCTGAGCATTACGACTTTGTTCGTTAAAGAGTTGTGGTTCGAAACGTGACGTGGTATTATCTAATGCTAGCTAGCGACCCCTGCCTGTTTGCAGCCAGAAATCGCGTGACACAAAGGTGTAATTCTAACAATAGGCTACAAATAAACAAAATAGTTAGTGCTAATGAATCAGTCGAACACCTGCAGATCGCTATACCACATTTAAAACAGGCTCACTTCAATGAAGCAGCTTGACCGGTTGTTTGCGCTGATGCATTTCTTGGTGTCCACTGGTTGTTTGCAGTCAAAGAGAAGGACCCTCCGAGAGTAGAGGTTTCTCTTCCGAGTGCTCCCATCCCGTTGCCCAGGCCATTTCCTGTGTTACTGTCTCGTGAGCCCATAAATAACGTACCTGAAAGGATAATTCCAGTATATAAATTAAACATAATAAGAAAATAACTTGATTTATACGAATTGTGTGTTATTTGTGGATCGTTGACGGGAGCTAACAAAGCGCAACTCTCTGGTTTATGTGTAAGGCAACAGGGAATATAAATAAAGAAGTGCAAAGTATGCATATAAAATAATTCGCAGATATATTGCTTCTAATAAAAATACTAGAACGGGCTTTAAAATCTAGACTGCTGCAAAGTCATAAATTTCAAGCATTGGCTCTCTAAAATTCTCTTGTGAAGAACAACAGTTAAAACTTTTCATAGTAATTCTAAACCATTTTCAATAAATATCAGTGCATAATAAATTGAACTGGAAATGCTTTTGCAACTCAAGTTTTTTTTTTATTACTCTATGCGTATATCTGCACATTTTAGGACAGCGAAGCGTTAGTTTTAACCTAGAAGGATCCAAAAATCTAAACTGATCCGGGAAAATGGCTACGACAACCATAACCATCTTTAAACGTAATCTCTATTGGTGCATAATTCAAACTACCACATTTTCTGTGTGACCTGAAGTTAGTCAAAATCAATGGAACACCCTAGCCGTAATGTTTTTTGTGAACCCCACCTAGTAACGTAATATAGTTTGAACAATCTTTACATTTGATGTTTCAGAAATTCTCCAGCGTCGTGTAAATTCTCGTCAAAAAGTACTGGTGGCTATTTCACAGTACTCATATGAAGTTAACTAAAAGTTGGGGTTATTTAAAGTAATATAAGATTAAGAAAAACTAGGCCCAAAAACTTTATCGCAACTCCGATAACTCAAGCTCTGCTGACTTTTTCCATGTGTTTCTTTTCTTGGCAGTCCTCATTTGCTTAAAAACCAGCCATTAAACTTATGTACTTAAAGACGCTTTTGCCGACGAATCGGGTATAGCGGATTTTTATTTAATTGGACGCGACTTAAGCGCTGGCTTGAAGTGTATCAAATCTAGTTAAAAAGGCACGACGTTGTTACGTTAAAACAAAACTTTTAGTTATACAAGGAACTTTTCTGACTTCAAAGCTGCTTACCCTTGCAACGGCTTAAAGCTTATTTGCTATTATTTTCGGAGCATAAATAATAAGATATAATAGATTTGTGTTTATTTATGCGGTGTCCCAATAATGGGAATTTCGAATGATTAATACTGAAACTTTTCAAACCATTTAACAGAATTAAAAACGGAAGCGCAAATTACACAGAGTTAGTGCTTTGACACTTACTAAGCTTTGATTGGGGCCTGTTTAATGATACCTCAGCACATCCATTTTCGTTTACTAATTCCGCTGAAAGTTCACTGATGAAACAATTTTTTGCAACACCTAGGACACTAGAAGTATCCAGATTTTTCAGATCCACCAGTGGCGTAGGTGCGCTCATGAACGAATTCCATTGGCCGAATAAGTCTCCACTTGCAGAGTCGTTAGCTTCTGTAACTGCAATAGAAAGTTAAATGTTAAAAGATTACAGCATACCTCCAGAATAAAAAGACAAATGGATCCGATTTTTAACACTGACACGTGATAACATGTTTTGAAACCATTATAGTTATTTGTGAATTATAATTATTTCGAAATTGCTCTAACTAACTTGTGCCTGCCGCATTATTTGTACAGTCGTAAATAGGTGCTTTCGCGTATCACCCATTTATAAAAATGGATCTAGATGAATATTTTATTTACAGAATCGCAACAGTTTGTAAAGTAAGCCCTCATGAATTAAACTCTGTTTTTTTACACAATTAAACGGGAAACCCAGGGCTCGACTATGGGTGCTACCTGATTCGCATTAGAAAACCATTCGCTCAAATACGAAAACACACAAACGTTAATGATGACAAGACAGAGTTTGATTTTTTAGAAGAAATATTTGCCTACCTACGTCGTATTTTACTGTTTACAGTTCATCAACGTCGCAATGGAAAGCCGACGTTTCTCTCGAATAGCGTTGAATTTATTTCGTACCTTACAGACAAAACTAGCACTTCCAGTAAGAACATACACATTGAAAATCGTACTGACAAAACTGATAATTCACGTCACCACAGTTATTACAGATTACAAGTATTAGCAGAGTAGTGGAATACCTTCACTCATTCCCAGATAATAATTTTCCCTGAGTGCATTTTGTTGCTTTAAACTCGCCACAAAGGTTCGAATAGAATGCGACCTATCATCAATCTTTTGGCACACGCAAATGTTTCTAGACTCACTGAGCATAAAATCTGGCAGATAAATACTTGTGACACTGACATGATCTCTGCCAAATCATATTTTTACTAACCGGCAAGAAATTGCAAATGCTGCAAGAAGAAGCTGCAACTCTATAAAGGGGATCATGAAATTTGCGTTGTAATGGTTTATTGAAATACGTGTTTGCCGTGATCCCCTTAGTTGGCCAGACCTGTGTGAAGTACAGAATAAAGTTGTTGAGATAACATGCAACAGGAAATCGACGGAATTATTATTATTAATAAATATTAATTTTCAGTGAAATACAGCAACTGAAAACAGCTAAATATTGACTCTTCTAATTCAAACTTCATAAATTTTACCCTAATTTAACGTTTAATATATCGGCCTTATTTTTTTAATGTAATAGATGAATACACATTTCTTTCCGAATAACATGGCTTCTTTAGTTCGCGATCCTGTGGTCTGGCATTTTGTGATCTGGCGCTATCTCTATATTATTATCACTTTTCTCCTGACGTTTGCAATTGCTTGGAGTTTTACTATCCACCGTTCTGTGACAGTAAATATTGATAACCAGTCTGGAGTGACCATTCAGTAACACGTAAATTCCTCAAGGTTCCATTCCGAAGCCATTTATATATTTATCTTTTGCATACATAAATGTCCAGCTTTTTCTTAGTCACTTTAAACCGCCATTGGGCTTGTATGTTTGAATAAGTTTATTCGTATCTCAAATTAGCCATCCTTGGGTTGTTTATATAATTGTCGCATACTTTCATTTCTTGAAGGATAACTCAATGGAATCCGTATTTTTAAACATAAAAAAGGTGCACACCTGAATAATCACACTGTTAAAGGGTTAAAAGAGGTCTTCGTCGGATACTACCAGCTACGGTATCTATGATACCCCTATAATATCGAAACCGGTATCCCAACTATCGTTTGTTTAATCGTTATCAAACGTGTTGTCAAACGGGTTATGAAAAAATAGCTGCCCGAATCTACAAAGATACATTTGGTATGTTTTAGTCTACTGAATCGTGATCGAAACAACACATGACCACCATATTCTTCGACTAAGTTATCACTTTATTCTGCTTCAACAGCTCTCACCGAGGATGTAGTTGCAGCACCTAGATTATTTCGGACAGTTAGTGTGGAGAACTACGAAAAACACCTATCATTTTTGCCTTCATCATTAATTTAATTGACAAGTAGACTGTTCAATAAAAAATGCGCTATGCAAAGTGAGACAATCTCTGATAAATATATTCAAATTTAACGCATTGTATTAGTAACCCGGAAAATTAATTCCATGTTGTTTGTGCAAAAAACTTTCTGAATGAATTTAAGAATCACCTAGCACATCGATCAGCCTAGTCAGCCTTTTCACAGTCTTTGAAAAATTGAGCTCATGTTGATGACAATGAGAACTGAGTAGACAACATGCAGTATTAAAATTATCGGCCTCTGCTTGAGCAACGTTTCGGATCGCACTAACAAGAACGCCATGTTAACCTTTTATCCGAACGAGTGAACCGTATCTAGGTCAACTGACCTTTTCTATTAACCGAGAGCTTTTACGTCTCTCTGATATGTTGTAATAAACAGCTTACCTGTAGTGGACGATTCTGTCGTCGCTGCAAACAGATCCTCAATAACGCGTTGATTTGATGAGGAATGCCCATTTAAAGGGTCTGACGAGGTACCTGCGATCGATGAGGTTCCAAGACCGAATGGGTCGGTGTCTTCGACACTTTGGGATTGTTGTAGTTCATTTGACGCCGTGCTCACATCCCCAAACAATAACGTCGTGCTGTTTACGACAGCTATGCCTCTGCTTCCACAATCACCTCCACCCTTGCCCAGCCCAGCCCCAGAAAACGACTCTACTACCATCCCCCCGAGCGATGACGATAGCAAATCAAGGTTGCTACCATCATTGCTACAGTTCGTCCGTGCGTTGCTGCTGTTTCTCGTGCTAGTGTAGTTGCTGTCAACAGGAGGAGAGAGACAGACAGACAAATCAACACCAACAATAACAACAATAACCGATAACAATACGAACAAAATCAAAATAGAACGATAATTGTAGCCTAGTGGCAGCTAGAGGATTAATAACAAAATATATTACTAAAAAAAATTATACGAACACAGAAGAACAGTTTGTTCTACAGGCACGGAGGATATTCAAGGGAATGCGGTTTGTACGAGAAATTAAACTAATTATGTACATTCTAACAGGAGCGATGGAGAGCTAAGAGCACATAGCTTGCAAAGGCTACGAGAGACATGCTTGAAGCTGAGATAGTGGGAAGGTTTGATAAACAGTTCTCGAGAGCATTATAGAATGTTATGGTGTTATAGAATGACCCGAAAGCTCCACGCATATTAGGCACATATGTAGTTCTAAGCTTACTCCCTGATTCATATTTAGTGATGTTTTTCCTAAGTTTGTTGATTTTTAATGGCCAAATGCTGCATAGCATTGAAAACTCATTGTTATCGTTTAGTACGTACCACTTTTGAACTTTTTTCTTCTTTTTATTATTACCAATTTTCTTTTAAAACCTTTTGAAAATATTATATCTATTTGATTTAGATAAAATAATGATAATGGAATAACAAAGAAAATGAAGAACTTTGTAATATAATACGTCACCATTAGAAAACGGCCATACCATAAAGAAAATAAATAAACACAAACCGCAAGGACTACGCATAGATACAATATTGAAACTACAGATTGGTCTCCTCGACACCAGTAAATAAAAAAGGAATTAATTTTGTTTTCGTCTTCTTTTAATACCTGATTGCGCTGTCTTTTGATATATAATATTAAAAGTCCTGAAAACTTCAGGAAAGTTTAAACCTGATTATAATACAGCTTAATTATTATGTCGTGATACTACTTTAAATACTCAAATGTTTACATTATAGAAGACGGACATGTTTTAGTCATCGCTTAATACAACCTAAATTACAAATTACGCACCTGGCGACTATAATTTTTTTTTTTGTATTCAAGACCGAGACTCCATTAGCCCACCGAAAATATTTCAGTTACAAGAAAGTTAGCTTAGTTAGGACAAATAGAATTGTTTACTGAAGTATAAAAATATTTAATGCTCGCGACGTATAGATAAAGTAACAAAAAATATAAATCGAATAAAAAATTTTTTAATAAAGATTTTGAATAAAGAAGCATTTGGTCATTTTTAAAACAGGACAGCTTTTTCGTTTTCCAAGTTTCCGTAGAGCTTATTTGAAAGGACCTATTGTAAGGCCTTGAGCTTTACTAAACCCTTTGCTAGTTCGTTAGAAATGAAGCGTGTGTGCACCTGGTAAAAACTCTGCTTGGATATGTTATGCGTCATAATTAAAGACACCCTTCTCAATACGGGCACCGCATTGTCATTCTGAATCGCTGTAGTGACCAGGACAGTCAGGTTTGAGCTTACATTATAAGTAACCGAAAAATCCGGGAAATTAAATACTGTTAGCCAAACAAACTATGATGTTAATAATAAGTCTGTTATGCTGCCGGTATTCAGCTATTTAGATGTAAGTTAGGTATTCGGTTTGGTAAACATTAACACACTTCGAAAATACATATAATTCGAAAATAAGAAACATGCCAAAGTCTTTCCCTACTGGGGCATACAATAACTTTAGCTGCGGACTGAAGAATGCGAAAAAAAATCGAGCAATTCCTTTGTGATTGCCGTCTACGATCTTTGCTCTAAGATCTAAATCTCGGGGACTACTTGCAACCGCTACAAAGCAAATTAAGTAAAACATCAAGAACGTCTTCAGGAATAGCGGAGAAAGGAAGAGAGGAAGATGGCATCGACGGCGCTTCTTTAAGGCACCTGCAGAAAATTCCTGTAAAGGAGTCAACCTTGCTAGGACCGGTTGTAACTGTTATATTCGTATGCAATAGGTAAATAAAGTTAGTGTAAAAAGGGATAACAGTTGTCACTGGTCAGTAGACTGTGAGAAAAGAGGAGTCGGCCGAGTCCATCACAGTAACTCCGATGTTTAACTTGTAAATTAAAACTGTACCTTTACGTCCTATGTGTCTTTTTGTAGATCTTCGATTGTAACGCTACTGTGCATGTAAGAAACACGCTTGTTTACGTAACTTAGTAGTGATTTAAAAAAATTTATACGTCAGTGAAACAGTAGGTACAGATTACGGAGTACGAGACTATGGGCATAAACATTATAAAGATACTATTACGCAATTCATAATTAGACTACAAACGGAATGCATAATAGGTATGTATATAGAGGAAAATAGGTAAATATGTGGACATTACTTTTTATTTGAATGACTGATGGTGCCGGATTGCGCCGAGGGCGCTTGACTAGAATCAAACGTGGCTGATGAGCCACAATCCAGATTCAGTAGATCCGCTGAACTTTCCACCGTGTCCGTCGTTATTAAGGGCGCATCTGGACGGGGCGGGGGAGGTGAAGGTCCCTGAAAAGCATTGAGATCCATACATATAAATGTAAGCTGTGGGTTACAAGCTCATGACAGGTCTTACCTTAATAAATCAAGAAACAGAGCTCTATAAAGGCAGGACTGATTAAACCCCTTGAAGTTCAAAAGATATATAAAAATAAAATGTAACCTTATTTTCAGGTACAATAATAAAAAATCCAGGTAACTAAAAGGAAAAAACCAAAATAACTTTTTAAATAAGGATAACAATGCGCAGCAATGTCCGTTTTATACACACGTTTAGCCAAAAATCTAAAAATCAGTTGTTCTACGTACTCAATAGCATCATTCGCTTAGTGAAAGTTACAATAACTATAACCGACAGTTAGATGGCTATTCAGTTGGGTATTGCAAACGTCGGGTTCTAAATAATCTAAGTTGCCTATGTTTAGGTGCCTCGACGCGGTAAGCCTTTGATGACAATGATATTTAAAATATTTTTTTTCTTATAACTCTTAAGCTATTGTGAGTATTGCTTTTTCCCTCCAATATTGAAATTTTACAATCCCCTGCAATCAAGAACAAGAAAAACACAACGCTTGCTTGATTGCGAAGCATTTGTTCACTTCAGGAACGTACTCAATCGCCGGGCGATACGGTGGTTTCGTAAGTTTCTCTCGAATTCGTAAGTTCCATCTTTGTTTAATAGCATAGGCTGTATTATCAATGCTAACCATAAATTTGTCTCGAAATGAATACTCACAGGCGGAGGAGCAGGAGCTGCGGGTTTCATAATGGCAGATGGAGGGGGAGGACGGGACGGTGTAGGAGCTGAATTTTTCGATTTGAATTGATCTGAAAAAGATGAATGGATTACATTGGCAAAAGCAACAAAGTTAGATAATGTAATCTGCCTTAGCCTGGTAAAGAATAAGGAGTTTGCTACCTAACGAGTCTACCTCATGTCGGGAGCAAGGACAACAAATATATTTTGCCTGAAATGAATGAGCGCACGTATTTATTTAATAAAATCGACACTTGCAAACCTTCTAATTTGTCAGTGATTGCAATAGTCCTGTTTGAAATTTTCTAATCCATATCAGTTAAGGTGTACTGAGTAAATGCTAGATGCTTTTTTGGCATAGGTACAACGAAAACCAGTGAACCTCGATGATATGGGTTATGCAGTAGTGAAGGAATGGTTTAAAAAAAGCCATAAAAGAGAATCAGTGGTTTTCTTCGAATCTCGCTATACTTTATTATCTAAGGAAGTGCATATGCTTAAGAAATAATTGCGCCTTTTCTCTTAAGTAAGTTTGGTTTGTCGCATGCCATAACACATCACGGCAACCACGTAGTTACCGTGAACAGCAGCTTTAATATGTTAATATTGAAACCTCTGGATTAACAAGTTGGTTCGCGGTTCTAAGACGGTATGAAATTGTGAAAATTACCCCCTGCTCGTTTAAGCCATAGATCAAACAAACGTGACCAAAACAAAAACCATGTGATATTTAATGACTTGGATAAGAGTTGGTTAAAAACAGACAAAAACCATACTTCATTCGCGGAGGCTATAGCGTCGCTACAGTTAATTATAAGATCTCGAACAAAACCTATAGATACAAAAGTCACGATAACGTCAACAACAAGAACCGAATCCACGTGTCATCCTACAGCTCTTCGCGTTTACGTATTTCAAATCAAAGTATTTGATGCATAAATATATAATGATGTAAAATTTAATAGATAAAATCTGGACAGAAGTCGATTTTATATATATGGACAAGTTTAGCCGTAAGGCAGATGGCGTACGTTATGATGATAATATGCTCAGTCTTTCTTAATTAGTAAGCACATCATTTGTAACCGTGAAGTTAATTACAAAGGCCACGATTTTAATGAAACCTACCAATTGCTGCACTCATCTCCTCTTCAGATGAAAAAACAATTTTTGGCTGTGTAGTAATATTCAAAAATTTATTGAAAGTCGCTGTAGGATCTTGGACTTCCTCCTGGACGAATCGAATCTGCAAAACTACCTCAAACTCGCCCGAATACCGGTCCACCTCTTCAATTAGATCTAGCTGATTGATATCAAATGTCAGCTTGCTTGCCGTAGTATCGATATATCCAGTAAACAACTGGATCGTTGCCATAGGGACGGCCTGAATTCGACCTTTAGCAAATGTAGAGGCTCGTGCATGGTTCAGGACAACTGCTACGTCCCCAAATAGCCTCAAACCCCTTGGTATATCGAAGTCGACATTGCCTGCTGTCGCTGAAAAATGCGTGAGTTTTTCATATTCGAGACATGTGGAGTACACGCATTCATCTTTCACGTAAATGTTCACGAATGGTCGGCAGCCGTCACGCACCTTGGTGAAAAGGGGTGGTGGTCGCATAGTCACACGGGTAATCTCCATTAATTGGCCATGCGGGGCCTTGTGCCGAATCACGTTATAGAAGTACTGCAGGTACCTCATTTGAGCAGGACTGAGTGACACGGGGAAGCGTTTGACAGCAAACATACTTAAAGCATCTTTGGGGTTAGTAAAAACACGGCAATACAGCATAAACGCCGCAAACAGCTGCGCAGAAACAGCTTTTCCATCAAGGCAATGAATAACCACTGCATTGCGCTTTCCACTCAGGTATACGTATATTGTATGACAAAGTTCAAGCACCGCATCGATTTCTGGGGCTTTCTTCTGGTTCCATAGTCGCTCGATAACCTTAATGCCAGGAAATTTATTGTTTGTGTACGACCGGCCAGAAATATTAACGACCATGTAATTGTTCTGATGGCGGGCTTCTAGTACTGCTCGAACGTCTTCTATATGGTTTCGATATGTACTTTCCAGACCCTCGGCCGGATAAGACATGACTGCTATTCGGTTCGTAATATAGTGCATATCCAATTCTGATTTGCCGATACTCCTGAAAGCGACACATACCACAGCGGTACAAATAATTTATTACCGATATTGGTTAAATGTGTTGAATCTTACGAAACGGGTTTGTTACGTTTTGAATGATCATGTATTAATAGTCTGATCCGCGCCCGATACACAAATTTATCTCTATCTTTTCAATTTTTACGAAATTTTATCATAATTAAGAAGATATCAAACCCCATATAATAATTATCGCTTAACGAAATATGGTTCAATGAATCGCTTCCAGAACGGAATCGTTTCTATTATAAATGTCTTATAGATTAATTTCCTATAATTACTTTTTGCTCAATTTTATCAATAACTGGCATTTTTTTCTGGGAACACAAATCACTTAGCTATTATCTGTTCTTGTGTATCGGTTAACTTTTTACTCTTACAAAGTTCTGCCGAATATATAAAAACGTGAAAATATCGAATTTGTAAACTAACTGGATTCAAGCATCCCATTTGTTTAAAGAATAGGCATAGTTAGAATTATTTTTTTAAATCTGAACGTTCTTTTACTGCTCTCAATACTAGGGCGAATTAAAATCGTACCTCTCTCAGCGTTAATCAATCGTAATTCCTTTATACCATAAAATATCGTTAAAAGCTAACTAATTTTCTATTGCTTAGATGCAGAAAAGCAGCGTGGTCTGCGTGACAACTACCTATAGCGGGGCGCCTGCCCGTAACAAGCAGAACAGTAAGCAACGTGCCAGAGATAGGTGCAAATCATAGCAGCGTGTAGCTTAACTTAGTGCAACATTAAAGATACCATAGATTAAAAAATAGGTTTTCTTGCATTCTTTGCATACATTGTAAAGGTAATATATATTTAAAGACGCTTTCCTCTCTCCTTTTTTGACAAATCGGTTAGGATCGCGAACAAATACGAATGCTAAAAAGCTCCTAAAGCTGCCGAACACAGATACGTTGAACTTTCGTCTATTGCATCGCCGGGAAGTCTATGGTAAAGGAACAGTTCAAGCCTCGATGAAAAAGTTAAAATGTAACATTTTTGACTTGAAGCACACATTTTATTTTGGTAGACCTTCTGATAGATGACAGCCATTAGACGAAACAACAATTGTTCAAGTCGAAATTGTGATTTGCGTAGAGGCAACGACTTGGCAACGCTTAGGTTTTTGCACTAATTTGTCAAACTGGTTAAAGACTCTTCCTTCAACTGCGCCAGGACACGCGATCAATTTTCTCTGTCAAATATTGTTCTATGCTCAGCTTATTACGGCAATGACGCCTTCACGACGTTTCTTAAACAAACCTCTTTCAAGGCTTGCATTACTGACTGACAAGATAAATTGCGACTCGGCAGCAATTATCAAACAAATTTCTTCAATTAAATTTGCTCAAGAAAAGGGTTGCTAGTTCTCGATTTTTCTACTAACGATATCCTACCAAAAGTGGCTCTAGCGGTCCTTCGTCGAATTTTAAAAGTAAACCGGAACGGATAACAAAAGGTTTTCTGGCGGAGTCGTTATGACTCCGCCGTTATAACTCTCCGTTATAACTTTGTTAATTGTAATGTAGAGACGGACAGCACCACGTAGTGCTGACCACCGCTGACCATATAGCAGAACAACATTCGAGTCTAGGGAAGGAGCGAGCAGGAAGAGGCAATAAGCGGCCATTGCCACTAACTGTTATTGATTTCGTCAGCATGTAGTTCCTACTTGAGTATAAAAAGCGTTAACATTAAGGTGCAATTACAGTAAGTAAAGAAGCATACACACAATGTATGTTGCAGATGCGCATCCACTAGGTCAGTCGACGCTCGATATTGCCATTGCGTTTATTACCATTCGATAAGCTCCGTAGCGTTTTCGCTGATGGAACGAAATAAGCTGCAAAGGCAGCTTGCAGTATTAGCCTTGTACTCGACCAAGCTATGCCATGTAAAAATTCCAGGGAAACAATTTCGAACTCCAAATTGAGTCTTGCGGAAGACCGAATGCGTAGGAGAATGGAGCCAAAAGAAGCGACAAATGCTTATTTCAAGGTACATGTGCGTTAACACCTAGGTTCGGTACATGCCGAGAAGCCAAACCTATTCACCTCGGTCAAAAGTATAAAACTGGGAACGCATTTGCAGCATGATTTGAGAAAAAATCAAACCTGAAGATTGAAACGCAGAGTTCTTATGTAACGTAGAAACTTATAGTACCTATTTGGTGGTCTAGCGCAGGTGTTGTCTACTACAGTTTTAAAAGTCTTGATTCACTGATCACGGTTGATGTACACGCTCGACAATCTCAACAACTATAATTGTGACATAGAACTAAGGCACTTTTATTTCGCGGCAACGTATAACTTCACACCGCAGGAATTACAATGGCAAAGGAATAAGGGTTACAGTTGAAAGTTCTCTGTTACTACCATGCTCATCAGACATTGCTCCCGTAGATTACCATATTTCTCAAAATTGCGAAGATTTCTCATAGGAAAATTGTTTAAATATCATCAATATGTTGAATTTTTTTTCGAGACTTCAGAGATTCTACCACAGGCTTCTACAGCGGAGACACTAATTTATTATCGACGATTTTTTTCAGCTATATGTGATACCCGCATAGCTTATTATTCGTAATTACTATTCTTTAGGGTATTGCGTTGATCACTTTTTGTTAACTACCTGAAACAGGAAATAACTTAACAAAGAAGCAAGTTGACTACTATTTAGTGAATTGGGAAATTTACAAGCTTGAGACTCGCGAGAAGCCCTCAACATTATGAAAACACGGAATAGAATTCGAGGGTACATCTTGTATTTAATAAAGGTGGCAACGAGGTAAAGAATGATACATACTGCTGAGCTATTTGAATTACTTTCGAAGATGTATCTCCAAGTTTTTTGAAGAAACTGCCCGCTCCCTCACGAAGCGTGTTCATCAAATTGACCCCTTCAGGGATCGTGCCAGGTGTTCGCGCAGTTGTGGCATCGAGTACTGGATCTATAGCAACTGCAATATACAATAAACGGTGCATAAAACGACAATATGAACCAGAGCTTAACTTGATCAATATTTATCATCGCAAAAAAGTGACATGAGAAGTAAGGACTGTTCTAATAGGGCTTGATTAATAAGGGTTTGCTTACGTTCCGCTATTTCATAGGCATCGGTGTTTTTTTAAGCCATCTAAAATAAGTGCCTAACATCAGCTACTGTCTGCTCCAAAAATAAGAAATATAAAAAAAAAAAGGCGAACAACCGCGGTGCCACTCTCGTGCCACACAAACAACACGCTATTTGTGTACGCTATATTTCGAATCGATATCATTTTTACCTAAACTAAAATTGCACAATAAGCTGTCCTCTTAAAAAATAAGAGGATACTGTGAAAAAATACTACACGAAGTGTTTAAAAAATCATAAAACGACGGCTAATGAAATAAACAATACTGTAAATAGTACTAAAGGTAACGTAATTACATAAGCTTTCAAAAGGTAGTATATGATTGTCTTATATTATTTATTGACCACGCGACTCAGAAGCCTGAATAGTTCTAAAACGGTTAATACATTCGCCGTTAAGTTGTCCCTTAATAGACAAAAATACTACTGTACCTGAAGACACTAACGCTAGCCTTAACGGCAGACGTGTGGAAGAGTTACACACCAAACAAGCAAGTGAATAAAATTAGACATTCTGAATTAGGTTTTCAGAAGAAATTAATAACATTTCAAGTATCTTCAATAAGAGTGTGTACGTGAAGAGGGAGCCAAAAGTAGCTCGAGTGTTATAACAAAAGATAAAAGCAAAATACAGAACATCTTTAGGATATGCAATTTTCACACCTAGCATGAAATTTTAAAGCACATTGTATATAATGTTGAAGACATCAAAGTGTATTATAATAATATCCAAAATACTACACTGAAGAACGTACTTTGGTAATTGTTCAACCTGGCCACCTCCTTTATTTAAAATTTTAAACAGGGTCACGAACTCGAGACGGATTATTGACTAAAATGACAGTGCACATATTCTACCGGGTTGAAAAGCAATAACCAAGTACGTCCTATTCTGTAAATTACCACTATATTAAAGTTACACTTCATAACATAATTTGGTAGCATCATAAACAAAGCAAAAAATTAAAACAAAAACTTTTTTCATTGGCTCCTGTTGCACTTATTAACTCCTTCCTGATATTTGTTGGCATTTGTTTATCACTTTCACAGAAAGATGTTCGATGTTTCTGGGCATATTTTCTGACTTTAATTTTCACTGGAATTTGTCTCGCACTAATAGAGTATGTATCAAGCTTTTACGTTTCCAAATACAATTTGCCTTAAAATATTTTTTGCTTTTTGAAATTTTGAAGCTAGCAGCTGACGGCGTTCATAATAGTGGATCTTTACCCAAATACAAAGTTCATACTATAAGCTTTTCCGATTTGAAAACCACATAAATTTTCCGATTTTCCATGACTTATTAAAACCCGCCCGCTATGAACTCGAACGGCAATATATCATTCTGTGATTGCTTTTTTCTAAAATCCTTTACCGTCCCTTATTAATACAAACACAATAATAGCAACCATAGTTCATAAATTATCTTCTTCATGCTCAGTCAGCCCGCTTAAATTAAGTCAAGTGGTGAATAACTTCCTACTAGAATGTTCCTAATAGCACACTGTGTGCTTAAAAAGCCATGCAGCCGTGCGGAAGCTTTATCTAACATATATCTTTCATTAGCCTATCATCATAATCTATTCTTATTTTCGGCAGTCGTCGAATTGGACACAGTGCAGGATTCTTTCATTAAAAAAAAGGAACGATATATTAGATTAATTTACAATTAAATGTTTTTTTCCAACAAAATAAATCTGTACGATTTCGCTTTTCACATAAGCATGAGTATGGTATACTAATATTTCATTTTCCTCAAAAGGTGAATAGAGGAATATTTCCCAGTGAAATTTCTACTAAATAAAGTTGGGCTGCGTCGCAGAATCACTAATGTACTGGACCTTATGATGCGATTTCAGCACGATAATACTAGAATACTTATATGACAATATCACCCCAAAGTTTCCCAGCGTATTTAATACGCAATCATGTCATTTGGTTTACATGATTCAGTGTTTCCAGCATGATTCGGCGAGGAATAGCCATCCATGAGACCCTCTTGGGGATGTAGAGCATTATTCGAAATCTTGGTCGATGTAAATCTCTTCAAGTCGAACTCTTTTATATGCTACCCGCCCATTGTTCTCTCTCTGTCGAAGAAAGCCAAATAGAAGTGCCCATAACCAGATGATTGGCCAAACTGTCCAAACCGCTACTGCGGAACAAAGACCCGCCGAGCGTGGTTCTGTATTCCCCCTGCCCCCATACATACCTGAAAGGCAAAAAGGCAACACACGGCGACTTAGCTTAAGCGGATTTAAGCGCGCTAGACTTGCACCCTCTTGTCGGATATCAAGATCCATCAATTTAAAACCGGTTTATTATAATTTGCTTATGAAGTGTGCGCTACATTGCTGTCGTCGTTCAGCTTTTCGCATATAACTATTATGACTAAAACGTAGTGTTTTTAATTAAAAAAAATACAACTATTGGACATTTTCGTAGCTTTTAGCAGAAGCATAAGGATTTAACTTACATTTCGTCATTATTATTATATTATAGCACGAATAACAAAAATCAAAACTATTACCGTGTCCTCTTTTGTCGAATATAAAACGAGTCAAGTTGGGTTAAACAAGAAAACGAGAGAACCCCCGCCCTTAAATGTACAAATATGACCAATTTCAGTCCTTATTTACGTTACCTCATTTAATATTCTTATACGGGCTTATATGCGACACACAGGCTTATGAAAAATTATGTGATGAAATTAAAAAATGCATAGAACAACGCTAAGGAGACCATCCAGGAACGGAAGTTGTGATATTGAATCGAATCAGTAATATTGGAAACCTTTTTTGAAAACCTGATAAAATTAAAGGAATCCATTTGCAAAGCTCCTGTTCTACATAACTTTACAGCATCTATTTAATATAAACTACCCGGCGGCCAGATAAGCCAGATGACCTAAAGTTTTGTCTTTCGTGAAACATAAGTACAAAGTTATCTTTGTTTTATGGACGTCTCAATTCAAAAGACAATAGCTTCTTCCTATATATTGTTATACATGTGAGTGATGCAAAAGGAACATTGAATTTTATATTGCTACATATTATACGCATCACAGCATGCTTATTAATATATTTTGTAGATCAAGTAACAAAACAGGCCTTAAGCACCGTACCAGCACTTCTTAATGATCTTCAATATTTTCCACAAATCAGCAGTATAAATGTATTTACGTGTTTCTCGGTTTATTCGAAACATGTCAAGACCTTTTTCGCATGTTCTATACTAGAATTTAAATACCATCTACTTCCATTGTTTACACATCGTAATATGAATACCTATTAATTGCCAGTGTACTAAAACTATTAGGTGGCACTTGAAGCTAAGTCCCGGTGCAGTTATCATCAACAGGAATCATATAATTAAAACCTGTAGGGCAGTGACATGAGAATATCAATTCCAAATACTAGGTTAGTCTTTAAACAATCCTGATTCGAATAGCTTTATTGTTGCAATACAAACAATAATTAGGGTTATATAGAATAGGCCGTAGCCATCGTGGTAAGGATTTGTAAGTCTTATAAATTTTATGATTCTAAACGGAACCTGTAGCGTTACCCGAAGCACCTTGTTTTTTGGGACAATATGATACTTATTGGCTACTGTAGGTAACCAATTTCCCACCCGCTTGCCTCATAGAAACTGCATAACACGTACTTTTGGTTTATTAATACTCATTTAGTTCTCTTATCTTATAGAGATGACGGTCCCATATACACTTGTACTTTATTTACATTCCTTGAGGTCACTGCGCATGTAAGCAATACATACTAAAGCTCAAACTAGTTTAGTAGATTGCATAAACACACGAACTTTACGTTACAGGCCATACACGTTGAAAATTAACATCATTTCTAACTCTACCATGTGGACTGTCTTTTTGCAATATATCAGAAAATTAAGCTTTTCCTTATGATAATTCTTTGTAGCCCAAAGCTTGGTACTTCCCTGAAAATTTAATTCCGTTTACTTGATCAATTGCTTCCCGTATATCAACAAGTAAAGTCAATGCATTATCTTGTTTTTTCTTCATATACTTCAGTAGTTCCTTAAGCAAATTCTCATCATATGAGTTAGTTGGTTTCAAGCCTTTTGGGTGTTCGGCCATTTTGGGCAAGCACAACACGTACGAACATGCGACCAGTTAAGAGCTCGAAATAACGACTTGTAAATGTCTTCTATAGAGCATGGCTTATAGGAGTTTTCACTCCTAGAGGCGGGGCAGAGCGCAGGCTTTCTTCTCTATTTCTCCAGCGTTCGTATTAATGAAGGGACTTTTTTCTACTAATTTCAAAGTATTTAAGTTTCTCTATTATGACATCAGCTTTACTGTGTTATCCACTAACCAAGAAAATGAAGCAGAGCCTAGTTAGGTCGTTAACCTCTAACTCAGCGTCTAAATAACACCTTGGTTATTAAAAAGGATTCATAACATAGGTGTAAACAAGTAACAAAGACACCACAATCGGTTATTCATTATAACAGTGGTGTGTGACGTTTTTAATATTACTTTGTAATCTATTTACACCTAATCAGTTATGATTAGATAAAGAATCATGCAATATCATTCTTACTCGTCTTTATCTTAACATGATATACTCCCCGTTGATATATACAATACTGAATCTAATAGTATTATATGACTCGAAACGATATGAAGAAATGTATTCAAATAAACGGTGAAATCCCTCTTTTAACCTAATAAAGGTTTATTTTCTTGAATTCACAATAATGTATTTACCCATAATAACAGTAATTAAATCACTCATAACAAACTGATCCGCAATACGTTCTATTAGTTTGTAAGTTTTTAAGAAAGCAAATTCTAACTATCATTTTGTTCTTAATGTAGTACTTCAGTGCATCGTTTTTACCGCGCATTATATAGTAAGCTACGTACACAGCGATGGAGAATGGAAAATACAACAGGTAAGCTATCTATTACGGCCGACTCTCCGCGCAATTACGACCGAGGAACGCGACAACCATAAACCGCATAAGCATGAGCCACAAGCTATTTACGTTAGTTGCGTCTATAACTTTCATTACACTAACTCACCTGGAACCGAAGCGACAATACCATGTTGTGTCAGAAACGGGGCAGAAGATAGTTCGATACCTCGTAGTTTTCCGAGAACTTCGAGTCGATGTAAGACATTATTCACTGACGGCCGTTCTCGGGGATCAATAGTTAACATATCACCTAATCCATAAAACAAAGATATTCACTCATAATGTGCTTATCGTCACGCCGAATAACGGAGAATAGACACAGGTTCATCTCATAGCTTTCAGTATAGAATCTTGAAAACACCAACAAATATTTTACGATAAGCCCACTATGAGTAGTAAATTAGTATTTCTCCCAGCCCACCAAATCAGTTGCCTTTGTTCTATTTAGTATAGTACATGAGCGCTTAAATTATTGATATTTTTTATTGTTAGTTATTTTTATGTTAATACATGAATTACTTTTTAGATCAACTTTTATTTTATTAGTGTTGCTATTAATCTGCCAATGACGTACCAATGAGCTGCTGTAGATCTCCAAATTCAGTGTCGGCATTTGCGGGGATGTTGTACTTGGCATTGAGTATGGCAAGTTTAGCGGCGTCTGCGAATGGATGTTGTCGGTAGCAAAGCACGTACAGAATACAGCCAAGAGCCCATACGTCTAGGCGATGATCGATAGGAAAATTGTTATACGTGTCCAAACATTCGGGGCCACGGTACATCGGCGTTGTATTTCGTTGTATCTAATGGAACGTCACATTATAATCGCAAAGATCAGTGCTCTTATTTAATTTTCTGTAAGAAGAACCTCGAAAAATTTTCGATGAATGGCTCCTGCACTCTGAGCCAGAAAAAACTGTTTTCTTTACATATTCGAGATTACTGGTAAGGTCTCAAAGAAACTACGTACAAATACGAATTCCCTTATAGATAATGAACGCCGAGAGTTTACTTCCAATCAACATGGCTTTTTAAATACCTCAAGGCTCAGCAAACAAAACTCTGGATTCTAAGCTATGAAAAGTGTACGATTAGTAAGAATCTACTCATCAAAATCGAGACAGTCACCTCATCTTCAACGAGACTCCTTTTCAAAGCAGTCCATTTGTCATCAACGATATGACAGGCAATCGTTGAGCTGCCAAAATCACAGAGTTTCACAGTGCCATCACGCGCTATTAGCAAGTTTTCCAACTTCAAGTCCCGGTGCGTGATTGGCGGTTGCTGTGTGTGCATATGTAATACAGCCTTGCAACATTGGTAGAAGACTTTAAGCACCTGGTCCATGCTTAGCTTCGCCTAAAAGTATTAATTCGTATTCATCAGTCACATACAGAAACGGGAGATGCAGGAGCAGAAGTAGATTAATGATTGGTAATTATTGGTAGGAACATTCTTTCTAACTTTGCAGTTAGAAAGAATGTTCCTACCAACAAAAATATTAAGCTAACAGTTAAAATATATTCGTTCCCACGTCTAAGTCTACCTTCTTTCTAACTCAAAATTAATTTCTTTCATAACTGTATGCTCCACTTTACACTCTGTGTGCCTACTCCTCCCACTGCTCCGCGAAATAAGTTTATCATACTGTATATAATGTTTTCACTAAAATTTGGCAATATATCGTTCAAATTATAATAAATTAAGTAAAGGGTGGACGAACTAAACTTGCGTAATCCTGGCGTTTTTGAATGCATTTATTCGAAAGCACTACTACAAATAAAAAAATTGTTTCCAGAAAAATATAAACAAGCTTGCACCGATAAACGGCACAATTATGAACTTGCTGGGTCATCCCCAAGTTGATCGCGTATGACAGTGCAAATAAACTTGTGGCTGCAGGTGAGGCAGAAGCACATTTTAGCACACATCAATGAAAAATGTTCGACATACAAAAGCAGTTCGGACCTCAGAATTAATCGATGCCTTTCCAAAATATATTTCTGACCATCGTTCTGTTTCGCTTAGATCGGTTGTAAAAAAATCTTATTTGAGTAAGACTACCATGTTACAGAATGTTACATATCAAATATCATAAGTAAGACAAATGCACTCCAATGTCGATAAAACCAATAGATCGCCATTATTCGCCAGAGTTCTCTTAGAATGAAACAGTAAATTGTCTTCGATTCTTTTCGGACGAAAACATCTTTTTCACCCTCGACGCGAAAATCAACCGTAGAAATGATCGCTGGCTTGCTTACAGCGCAAATGATACGTCACGCGTAGAAACAATTTTTCAGCTAATATTCAGGTTTTTAGTTTGTCTTCACTGATAGAGACGTCATGTCATCGAACATCTTCCAAGATGGGAGAGAAGTTAATTTGCGTGTTCTAGAAACTGTTATCACACCGTAAATCTATGTTGAGGTATCTAAAAGAAGACCTTATCTTTTCCAAAACTAGGCGCATCGGCACTGCTGCACCTACTTATACAAGGCGATGAGTGCAGTGTGCGCTATTTAGCACTACATTCATACCCTGGAATAAGAACATACACTCGCCGAAAAACCCAGACTTGAGCCTGTTGGGTTACTATGTATAAAGCATTACCAAGCGAAAATCCAACAAGTTTCAACATGGCAACGATGGCTCGTTCACTCGTGTTATAAAGAAAGCGTTTGAAGAATCGTAAAGAAAAACTTTGAAACGAGCTTGTTAGCGGTTGAGGCCTCGAATTAACGCCGAAATCGCTGACGCTGTAATCGCAATTGATAAGGCTTGTATTGGCTTGGCATGACCGTTTGAAATGTCATTTCTAGCACATGCTGAGCATCTGGTTGATAAGTCTATTTTTGTTTAGATACAGCCCTAGAAAATCCCTACCACGCTCAATGAATATAATATAAGAAGAATAGATGACAAACTCGGTATATACAATTAATCAAAGTAGACTTGGTTATGCGTCGTAATGTGCGAAACGAATCGAAATATTGAAATGTTTGTGCTAATCAAAAATAATTCAAAACGTTTTATTTTTGTATGTCAAGAACAAACGACTCATTATTTCGGTATATAAATGTTTTTATTATTAAAAGCAATCTAGCTGATGAAATACTGTGTTTACCTTATTAATAGCATCAACAACCACACCACCGGAGCAGAACTCAGTTAGAATGAGATATTCTTTACGGCCCCCTTGGCTTTCGGCGACGGCAGAAGCGCAGAATTCGATGACATTTGGGTGTCCCTTGAGTTGCTTGAGCACACGAATTTCCTGCTCGATTGAATCTGCGCTTTCTTGATCGACGCTGAACATTCGCTAATCCCCAAGTATAATACAATGCAATAAAGTTAAAGCTCAGATTTTATGATTATACGTAAATAAAATGAATCGTAATAACAGATTAGAACAAATATCAGACATGCTCAGGAACGTAGACACACAGGATTATTATGTAATAATCGATAGTCACCCCGGATTCACTGAACCCATCAGCTAAAATTGAGCAGTGATGATATAAGTAGTTTTTTAAGCAATTCATTATTATCAAAGTTTTTGTTTTAAAAACCTTCTATACAATAAGCGTAAATGTTTGTAAACAACTATCCCATATTACATCCTAATGATTCCATCGCGTGATAGATCTGTATGTATTAAACCTTTACAGTGAATGTCATTAATATTATTAAATATGACCAGCTCTTCCGTAATTAATAAAAAAAAAGTCCTTCGACCATCTTATTAATAAGAATTTCGTAATTGGGTGTACAATTAACCACAACTGTTTTCCTCTTATTCGGAAGGGACTTCAATCATCATCAAACATCCTCATACGCATCGTTAGTATAGCCTTTACGGAATAGCACTACTTCTTGCAATACAATGCGTTACTTCGGCTAAATAATTTTTCCGCTTTTTCAATCAGCTCGATTGTTATAAGGACTAAACTGCGGTTCTCGGACACGCTCGACATTAACGTCTTATTGTCATATTTAAGTCACTTATGAAAAATTCATAATTATATTTCCACTTAAAGCGCGTTTGTCAAACAATTTCAATTCCAGCAACACACTAATTTTCCCAGAAAAAAATTAATAAAAAATTACTATAAATTTTGTTGGATTTAATTTTCCTCGTTATGCTATTTTCACTTAACTATCCCACTGTTGTCGTGTGGTGATAGATCGAATGCTTGTAGATACTACGTATCATTGCCTGAGATTCTTAAAGAAACAAAACTTCATATAGCCCATTATTTAACATGGTACGTAACAATCAGGGTTCAATCTGTCATGATCTACCTTAAGCGCAAAGCTTTTTCCGGTGTTTGTGTCCTGAACTAAGAATACGAAGCCAAAACCACCTGTAATCAGAAAATGATAATTTTCATTATAAGCGTATAGTCTTAATCAACACACTGGCTTAATATTACTGTTCTCTACTTTAATGCATTAATATCAATATATAACATCATTTTTTTATTGATTTGAAATTGTTATAAATAGAAACACGGGGAACATATTACTATTTATTTATGATAAGGCTTATCATTTAGATTAAAAACTAGAAGATAGTTTTTAACCTATGACTAAATTCAGCGATGGCTATATTCTCCTAGGGCATATACATGGTCGGACTGCAATGCTCGATTATCGATTCAATTATGCGGGTAACTTGGAAAACCATGTTGTGTTAGCACTTTGCCAATTTCAATTAAATCCGAGCTAAAAAGCGCCATGGAATTATGTTTTGAGAACGAAGACTGGAGTGTTGAGGATCAGCAAGTAGATGACCAGATGTCGAAACCCGAAGAATAAGAGTAGGGAAGGTCTTTGCGAAATCAGAGCTTAAAGTCTAAGGACCCTGTCCGCCAAAACTGGCATTCCACATATAACGTGTTGTTATCACTCAAATACTAAGAGAATGGAGACAGACTAACAAATGGATTCATCGCAAATTAACGCCAAGCCAGTCGGAAATGTGTATTCTACATTCAATCTGTTAAACTTTAATCCACGAAAAACCAGCTTGGAAAATCCCAGTCACCACTGCAAGCTGGAGAAAGATCAGGCCAGAGAATGACGTCGCTTTGGCGACAAATTAACTTGGTGGCAGTTTTGAGTAGGTGACGATAGTAGTTACAACATACATAAGGCGCATCTGCTGCTATGAGACATCCGCCGAAAATAAAATAATGAAGGTAGCCTGCTGTTTTGAGTGTTGATGAGATTGATAGACCGTTGATACAGCGATAGAAAGCACGCAGTCTGGTTACTTGATGACAACGCCAGACCTCATCACCATGCTTAAAATACTTCCTAGATTGAGTAAAGGAATATCCAGCTTTCACTTTCACTACATTGTTCTTCCGAACTACGATGTGTGATTACGGGCTTTCCACGTAAGGCAATTGGTGGGCAAGCATATTACTATCGATTCACTTCGAGAAGCCATAGATAAGAAAATTACTTATGAGAATACAAATGGTAGGTATGGCTGCCCAGAGGTTGCCAAAGCACTGTAATTAGTGTGTACCTCTGACACATTAAAAATCATGTTAGTTCGATTAATTCAGAGGTTATTCAGCTTCAAAATCCGCCGAATTTGCTTGTAAGAGCCTAATACTTTGTTTATGAAAAGACTTATTTTCTCTATAAAATTAGATCAATAAATTGGTACCAATTGCTAAAACATGTTATTGTACAATTCCGATCTAACTCTGATATAGTTTGGTATATTTACAAGTACTTCTTAAATTACATTTCTGCGACTGCAATGTGTACCCATTGTTAATATGATTTATATTAAGCGCACTGCGCAATCTGTTTAGAGATATACTAGTAAACCCCGCTCAGTCTAGAATTTACAATTTTATTCCAAAGTTTCTCGTCTCGTTAAGATCTGTAGACTAAAGGGAAATAACGGTTTTCATTTGTTTAGCGTATCTTATTATATTTAAGATATGATAGATTATGTTCGAAGGCTGCGAGAAATAAGAACCCGATGCTTGTGCCGAATGTGCACTGTAAAGGACGCTGCGATACGCCAAAGTAAGACCGATGGTTTTCTAATTGTTATATATAAACCAGCGCGTCCTCAAGGTAGGGTAGATGCGGCTGTCTAAATTTAGCCAAACGGAAAACACAAATAGCCAAAGATGTTGTGCGCTAATGTCACATTGCGCTCTTTCACCGTGTTTCAAAATTTCCAGATTATTTGACCAAAAAACAAACATCTTATGATATTTGGAAGTCATGTGCTCCTAACACTAAAAAACATCTAAAGGTTGGCATGAAAATCCACGATAGTAAGAGACTTGAAATTAAGTTATTTCAAGTTCGTACGTGTCAAGCAAGTATGTGGTCGTTACTCTAAGTTAAGTAACGATCGCATCGAACTGACGACAGAGGACCGAAATGGGCAGAATATTCAAGGTGGTTGTTTTAGAGGTATTTTCAAATATTCATGCCAACTTTAGGCCGTTCGTTCTAAAACTCGAGGACTTCTGTATTGTCACTAGCTTTCATTCGCCTCTCTCTTAAGAATGTTTCATTAATGTTTTTTGTCTATTCATAACATGGTCTTTTTTTTTGTATAAGTTGGCATACGATCCCGCATTAACTTTTTGTTCAATTCTGGATACTTGCAAATAAAGCTGAAGCGTCCTCGTAAACACTGTTTAGTTTACCTCTTACCAAAATGTTTGTTTTTTTCCTTTAAATGGAAGTAGGTAAATACGTTATAAACTGTTCTCGTTTTCCCTTGCCTACGTATGGTAAACTCTCCGGCGCACCGAAGTTCGCAAGAGCAGGAACGAAGGCCCAGCAAGCTATTATGTATATTTGGCTCTTCTTTATCCAAATATGACCCAATGCAAACAGCGGCACTAAAAAGCGTGAATCATCTCCAGGTTACAAATCATCTCACTATTCGACCTTATAACAGGTCCATGCCATCTATGGCATATGCTTACATCAAAGAGTGGTACTGTAATTAGTATTACATACCAAATTACAACTCACACCTAGAGGAAAATCGATTAATAGCGCAGTGAAGGCACTAGAGGCAAGTGAAGACATTTGTTTGTCATATTATATTTTCACTCTGGGCAGAAAAATGTCAACACACCAGATATAGTCTTGTTAATTATAAGGACTAACGGTAAATAGGCATCTGGTAGGAGAAGTATGATACAGTCTTATGATGAAGTGTGTCACCACGTCAATGTGAATTTATAGATTTTGACGTGTATAATGTAGTTGGCTATGACGTACTAACCATGTACATGTTCTCTGGTTAACCCATAAACAACATTACCTGTTATTATATACTTATAAGCCAGCTAAATTAGATCGGAGAATTTAGCAATAGTCAAAAAGCAGAATTTCCGTTGATTCTCAAAAACCTTGTGCATGGGCAGATTCATTCCATTTTAGTCCAATATGATGCATAATTTTTGTCGAATTTTTTTACTAATGTGCCAAAAACTAGAAAACAGATCCTTTGTTCTAGGTAAATGTATTATATGAAGCAGGGCCTCAGTGGAAATGTTGAGACTTTTAATTTTTTTACTCCAAAAGATATTTCCAAATTTTAAATATCAAATGAATTATCAAATACGATGGTTATATAATTTAGTATAACGGATGTAATGTTTTACATCTTATTATTTTCTACGTACAAACCAATCATATTTTATTTTATTTTAGCCATAACCCAAAACAAATCTGTTAAATATAAATGGAAGTAAAATTCGCCAACTCAGAGAAAAATAAGACGTATAACTGACTTTTTTCTTATTAGCCAATCGTCTTCCCAGAGCTTTCTCAAACAAAGTGCTAAGGGGCAATTCCTTTTCAGAAACTTGCATGTTAGGGTTACGACAACTTCTGTTATATCGCACACTAAGCAAGCGTATTCACCTGAGTAGTTGCATTTCCGTAGTCAAGCAAGAATAGGAAAATAAAGATAATGGGTACTTGTACGCGACAGAACATACGTAGAGCTATTTTTATAAACAGTAACTTTGGCGAACAATTATTTAATTAGTGAAAGGAAGGTATGCTAGCTTGGAGCACAAAACACTACTAAAGTAGGTGACGTGTTACTCAATAAGGCGAGAGCTGTTTTGCTAAACGCAATAACCCTGTTTATTTTTTATTGTAATAAAATTAAGGTGATTCAGAGATACAGCTTTTTCATTTTCAAGGACTACCCCCATAGCGAGTACGTCCTGGTATTATGCACACACATATTGCAAGACCACACAGTATGAGAATTTTCAAGTGCTTTGACTATAAGGGAAATGTAGAGAGTGGTCGGAACCTGCTGCTCAGCGAAGACAAGTGGCATTTCGTGTTAGAGAAGCATAAGAGTTTTCTATCATTTTACTGGCAATGCATACTCACAGTATGCTACACCTGACAGAATTGACAATGGACAACTTAATATACTCCAGCGGCCGTGTCTAGTTGTTATGTAAAAAATAACTGAAATTTCAGTGTCATATTATTAGTTTGACTAATTTTAGGTTATCAGATTGTGCCTACACGTCTACTGTAGATAAAGCTTAAATAAAATCATTGCCAATCATAGTTGCTTTTTTGTAATAGTAGCTAACCTTCAGCAATAACTTTCAAAACTCGCAATTTGAAGATTCCTAATGATACAATCTGACCCACGAATTCGTTGTCTTCTTTTGAGGCGGACGAGCCCGCCCCCGAAAAGTAGCCGAGGGCAGACTTAAACATGATGATTTCGATGTTTTTCCGTTTCTAACCACCGTTTCCGTTTCATACACATACACCAAAGGCTGTGGAAATGCCGTAGAGTTACATGCGCGTGTCTAACGTACGTTCGATGGGAAATAACATTGAACAAGGAACAAAATTTTCAGGTCACATACATATGCAGACAGTAAATTGCAATGAAAAATTGGTAGCTACGCACAAACGGTGCGGATAGCGGCTGGTGGACTTGCCGTTCTAACTATTAACAATCGAGCTGTTGTGTGGGTTATGGCTGAGTCGTAGATGGCCCAGTCGAATGACAGCCAGCGAGCTACACACAGACAACCGCCCTCGCTAGCCGTTCAATACAGCTGGACAACCAATAACAAACACATTTCCCGTACACGAAACATACGCAAGCGACAGTTTCGAATTACATTTCTACGTTGAATTTGTTAACAATTTGTTCAGAGCAGTGCAGATTGTTCAGAAAAAACTTTAATAATCTATTTGGTGTAAATTCTCACTCGAGTTAATGCCTTCGCCATATTCGATTTTACATGTTATATCTAATTTGGTAATGAGATTTTCAACAGGTGATTAATTAATGTGTAGTTGCAAATATATTTTACAGATATATTATTCGAGCGGATGAATCGAAAAGTAATTCTGTTTATGAAAAACGGAGTTGCTCTATATTGCTTGGTTTTAAGTGTATTACGAATAACAGATGCTATTTCGTATCGCTCTAAAACAAGTTTGTTATTGGGAGGTCAAATAGTTGTTTCATTGTACCATGCAAATAAAGGTGGCTTTGCTCCATTGCAGTGTTGGAGCCTTGATTAAGCTTTTATACATCCGAGCAGTCAACAACAGGAGCTCAAAAACAAGAAGGTACTAATTATTCTACAGTTATCCTTTACATAAAAAAGGGTAACGTGGCTTCCATATCAAGAACGCTATCAGTGTATCTTTAGTTTCTGCAGATAAGAGTAGGTTTTTATTACTTCAATTTAATAAAAGTAGAAAGTACGTTTTTGAAAATCTATAAGATATATTAAATTATTCTAGATAGATAACAATTTATTAGTCATTTCATTGTAAATATTAACTCTCTCATAAGCTCACCCATTCTTTTGTTTCATGACGCTTTTAAAAGACAAGCATAATCAGTCCGACGAGTAGCATACTACAGCACCATGGTACAACTCATTTATGATCTAATGCAACTCGATGTCAATTTCAAGGTTCTGTTTTTTGATTGTTTTGGTTGATTCAGAAATCTTCATTTAAATACAGCATTTTTTCATCTCACATATATATATATATATATATATATATATATATATATATATATATATACATATATATATATAGAGCTATCGAAAAATATTGATCGTTTCAAGCTAAAATTAAAGCAAATACTTTTTTGTATTTTAAAATAGTTGTATTGAACTTTATATGTGATATTTTGATCGATGAGCTTATGCTATTTTTGATAATATTACTGTACCATCACTATAGAACTCCTCTGGTTGGTGAAAAGTTATGACAACTTATTTTTATATGCCTCCATTGAAACTAAATTCACAACGTTAAAGGGATCTTGCGGAGATCAAAAGTAAAAGGTTACCTTCTCATTCAAAATGCGGGCTATACGGGAGATGTATTAAACTTTCCCATCGAAGTTCTTTCGACTGTTGCTAGGTGGTTAGAGATACACCTGGTGTAATATTGCCATGGTAGAAGGCTTTTTTTTGTTCATTAGTCCCGGTGGATTTTTTTCAGTGGCTTGTTGCAGTTTGTTTTAATTTTTGACAGTAAAAGCCCGAACCAATTGCTTTGCCAGGCAGCAGCAACTCATAATGGATAATTCCTTTCCAGTTCCACTAAATACATCACCTACTTTGCCGTCAGACTGAACTTCGCCACGGACTGCAGATTCACTCTTTATTTCCCATAATAAATCGTTTTAAAGGAGGCTCAATCTCGCTGCGTCTCTGTAGTTTCGCAGACGAAAATACGATCAAGTAACTCCTTTTGCATAAATTCCTACGGTATCCAAACATCAAGGTTTTTGTTGTAACCAGCACTCTTTGAATGGCTTAAAACCGTTTGGTGGTGGCTATTTAGTTCTTTGGCAGGATCATGGCAACGGTCGCAATATTTTTATCAATTCATTCGTCGACCAATGCGAGAATCAGCCTTTAAGTCGAAATTTCTAGGACAAATGTAGGATACAGATTCATCCTTGGAACATCTCTTACAAAAATGCATCTTGATTATAAACAGCATACATTTTTATGGGCATGGGCAGAATATGTCTTTTTATCGTAATAAAATTATAAAATATTACAATTATTTTTAGAACTTTCATTTGTTTTACGGGTGCTCTATCATGGGTCAGAATAAAGGCAATAAAATGATTTACGTATGTCTTCTACTGTCAAATTTCGGCCTTCAAATGACACCAATGCCAACCCGACCCATATTGCTTAAAAATATATGCCTTCAAAACTATCTAACTAGAAAATACAGTTTTGATCTACCACCAGATACCAATTAATTTTCTATTATTTATTTTTCTCTTAAACAAGTCCAGCCTATCGATTTTAGCGGAAATGAATTTACACTTCATACGTATAAAAAAAGACGCTACACTTGAAATTACATGTTTAGTAAAAACGCATTTGTATGTTAAGGCTACAAACAAAGTTTTCTTAAGCTAATAAAAACGTCCTGTGGTACGGGTATCGGGCTAATACCATGTTGAGAATGTGTTGAGCAAAACCTATGTGTGGATGTGCAACACAGTCTTTGATAAATGAGTTCATGCACCATCGTCGAGCCAAAAATTTTTGAAGTCAGTTACCGTATGCTTGCTATTAATTTGTGATGTTCAACAATCGAGATAACTGACAAAAAAACCCTTGCCTTTAAAAACATTAAAGAAAAGAGAAATACTTCCAGTATTTACTGTTTGTCCAGTGTTCCGGTGAGGAACGATAGAGTAGTAAAACAGAACAAGAAGTGAGTACACGAAGGAGCAGGGACTATTATAGGAGAGTCCAATCAGTCATTCAATCTATGTACCCTTGTACTATAATCTAATAATAGACTTTACTTTTTCGAGTGTATATAGAGAATGGTTCAATTTATTATTTCTTTAAAGTTTTAGTACGTAAAGTAAATGACTGTGTTTAAAAGCACTTATGAAGGACTTAAATTTCTTGTGTTTGGTCTTACTGTAGAACATTCTGTATCTGGTAGTAAATGCAAGCGTTAACTGTATGTTTTAGGATCTTGATGACTAAATTATTTGAGTGAATGCTGTACACGATGACAAGGTTTTCACTGGCCCTTTGTTGTATACATGCTAAATGCGTCAAGCATTTATCTTTCTATTTGACATGTTCGACCGCATGTAACTGTTGCACACTACTACTATACAGATGTTAATTTATTCTGTCTCTGAGCAAGCTCCGTGCTGATTATAAATGCGGTTCTAAAAAGACGGATCATTTAAATATGGCGCCATCGTAGCTGACGGTCTGATGGTAAGAAAAATTCTCCCTCACACAAACAGACGAACACATGGAGGCAGTACATGTATTTGACTGAACTTGTTCGCACCAGAGTTGATGTTTCCGTTTTGCAAGATGGCTTTTAATTCTTGGTTGGATAAGATGCTAATCAGTACAGCGCATTGTTGTTCAAAATGATCGCACCGCTTGGGCGCAGTGTGCTGTACAACTCAATTCCGGCGTGTTCCAGGTGAGTTCATGGTAAAAAATATTAGTAACTACATAGAAAGAGAGTTAATGGGGTATCCATTGTTTATTGCCTAATGAACTCGCGGTTTCTTTGTCGTTGTATATTTATATTATGTGCAATAATACGTGCAACAAGAACCGTTTATTTATTTAAGATGTGTGAATTATATTTTGGTAAAATGTAAAGATAGATACAACTTAAGTCACACCTACTCGGCACTACCTAGTACAAATATCTAATTCTCACCATGAACATTTATGACGTAAAGACGATTATTAGAACTCAAGTTCGCCCTAGTGCAAATTCTTTTATAAAAATCGATGCAGACTATGTTTTTAGGTAGAAGTTAAGGAGAAGTCGAAAGGAGGGCGCAGAAATGATTAATTTCAGTGTCCATTTTTGTTAACAGTTACTTTCTTATTTGTAAATCTATTTTTAGCGAGCGTAACGAAGTAGAGTATTAATCTAGTTCATTATTATTAATTTTGATTATTTGTCCAACGAACGTTGTAGACATTCTTAGTATGTTTGTTTCTCTATGCATTCATACTTGCCCCTTTTTAAAACGTTACTTATTGTATCGTATTTTCTAAATACATTCCCATGTGTATTTAGATACATTTATGTTTTGTATTTTGCAATATTTTGTAATGTTTTGTAAATGAAAGGATTCTCTAGCTTTGTATCCTTACGTAAGTTGCTATGTTGATTTGGTACTAACGAAGGAACCGCCATAACCAACACTGCTAACCAACTATTCCCCGTACTACCGAAGATTTAACATTATACATACATAATTTCGGATATATTTTGCTTTGTTGTTCTCAGTATTTTAAAAGCTATAAGCAGTAAATAAATTAGCCATAAAAGGAATGTGTTCGGTCTGATATATCAATACCATTCAGGCAGATCGTGAGCCGTCCAGGTGGATTATGGTAGTGTAGCAAAGCTTTGATAGCTATCCCCATCGGCCCCCGGCAGATTTCGTTTCGCGCTGGGGCCAGCTATCTAAGGCCATGCCTAACGACAGTACCGGATGTAAAACCGAAAATATTTACTATGGGATACTCCCTCATGGCTCTCGGCAACCGTATCAGGAAAGCTCTTGATGAACTCGACATATGTAACCATTAAGTCAGCTCAGTATTTTCGTACGAGACAGAGCCATTAGGGGCTATTACCGAATGTTGGAAAGTGTTTCCTAAATAATACTTTTTGGCTTATTAACATGACCTTTACAGCGGCATCCTGTTGTTATGTGCGTCTATTTGAAGTAGTGATATAACATATGCAGATGTATCACTGTCACCCTTACAACTGCATAGCATTGCCGCACTTTTACAGTACTGCTAGCAAAGACAAACCTGATCAGTTCTTTAGGTTTACGTGGTATTTGGTTATAGGTACCAAGGTGTTTCTTCATAAAAAAGTTTAGCTCAAGTTACAATAATGTCTTAATTAAACAATCTGTTTTGAGTATCACATGAAATGCATAGAATGGCCATAGTCATAGAAAAGTTGAATAGACGTTTCATTTTTGATTTAATCATTGGCATACAATGTAGCTAAAATAATGTTTGTATACGGAGATGAAATACATTGAAATATTCTGGGGCATGGTGCATTCTGACGTATTATGTAGCCACTCTGGGAATCTTGGGTAGATGTGACATATAGCTTTTATAGTCACCCACAGTTTAGAACAATTTTTTTTGTATCGGTGTGAGCGTCCCAATGTATTTAATACCTTCCCTATGACAGCTTCGTGGGTAATCAGAATGATATTAAATGAGTAAATCTGGTCAAAATAGCCTAATTTTAGGGACACAGGGTGGTTTAGGTTCGGATCCGGGCACAAACACACTTCGTTTCGCGCTAAGAGGCAGCCGTGTGATGGAATGTCTAACGGCATTGCTTGATGTAAATTTTGACAAATTAAGTTTTAAATACTATGCTCTCGTACCTATGTTTCCTAGGTTTAAACAATTACTAACAACATAATTGTTGTTAGTCATTAATAGTCAACTATATTGATGCCTTTTCAGGACGAACAAGGCAATAGGCATGGCGGGTGGAGGAAGTGTTCCACAAACCGGTGCAGGGGGGCCTGCCACTATTCCTCTCGGTCGATTAATTGATTTCGTTTTGCAGCAGACCTACCACGAATTGACCGTGTTAGCTGAACTTCTACCCCGCAAATCGGATATGGAACGTAAAATCGAGATTACGACTTTTACGAACACAACGCGACAGCTCTTCGTGCGTCTTCTAGCATTAGTGAAATGGGCGGCCAGCGCAGGAAAGGTGGAGAAATGCGCATCCATGGTAAATTTTTTGGACAAGCAAAGTTTATTGTTCATTGAGGCCGCAGACATGTTTGCGCTGCTTGCCAGAGATACCCTCGTACAAGCACGATTACCTAGTTTCCATATTCCGTGCGCTGCCGAGATCTTGACTACAGGGACGTACTCGCGTTTGCCGACGTGTATACGCGATAAAATTGTGCCCCCTGACCCGATCTCTACAGAAGACAAGCGTTCCACACTTAAACATCTCAATCGTATTATTCAGTATCGCCTCGTTTCTTCAGAGCTTCCTCCGCAGATGAGCTCAATAAATATTAAACGCGGACGCGTCATATTTCGTGTTGACAACGAGTTTGAAGTTAGCCTAACGCTGATGGGGGACGGGCCGCAGGTGCCATGGAGACTACTATCCATTAATATCCTCGTCGAAGATAAGGACACTGGCGATTGTCGAGCATTGGTATGACTTTCCTGTATATATATTCAATAACCTTCAATGCGACTTAAAGTGCTCGTTTGGATCAATTTTAGACCGGTATCTATTTAAGCAATGTTAGGGGCCGCTGATTCAACATCCGCAGTGCAGTATTAAAGTAACGCATCTCCAAGGGTACACAGCGCAAGAAAATATGAGTAGTAGTATTATAATCCACTTTACTTTAAGGTCGCTAAGCTTATTTGACTTTATATATACAAGCGGTGTATACAAGCCAGGGTGTTGTTATAGTTTTCTTGAAAGATATTAACCTTTCAACTAATACAATCATTTAATCTATGTAGATTATACTAATACTATTTTTGTGCTTATATTTTTAATATCGCAGGTTCATCCTTTGCAAATCAACTATATCCACCAGCTGATCCAGTCGCGCCTCGTAGATCATCCGAAGCCGCTACACGAACTATTTGAATGTCTTCATTTCTTTTGCCTCAGTTTGCAACTCGAAGTAGTACATTCCCAAATTTTACGCCTGTGCCGCGAACGATTGGGTGATTCCGTTCGTATTGAAGAGTACGTCCCAGGCAGTTCCCTCCGGTTACATTTCTGGCGTGAGCATATCTCTTTGCTCGACCACCGGCCATTCGTACTGATGGTGCATGTTGACGCAGAGCAGCCCTGTAAGCCTTTGCAGGTGTCGCACTCGCCGGAAATTACTGAAAAAGCGGAGCAGATTTGGGTCGAACCGTGTATTCGATCAGAGTTCCTTTCGATCGAGAAACTGCTCATTCAAACGATACACATTCGATCACGTCAAAAGCTCGCCTATTTGAAGGAAACTTATCTGAAGGAATTGCTGCCGGTAGGTGTTGAATGCACCCTCTCTGGAAGTCCACCGCTGTTGCAATTGCCTGTGGTACATCCATGTTCGTCGTCGGAACATCTTGTTTTAACTGTGGACACACACACTGGATATATCATGGCATTCGTGCCACAATATGAGCCGCCTATGGTGACGGAATTGCAGGACACTATCAATAACCTTGTTAAGGGGGCGCAACCTGCACTGAGAGCTCGCCTAGCTTCGGCAACCCTCAGCCTTAAATTTTGGATGACGTTGAAGCGATGCAAAAAAACCGTGCAACATTTACCCGTTCTTGCCATGGACACGAATCCGTTTGTGCAGGCACCGGAAGAGCACCGTATCAATCAACTAAGCAAGTACTCGTTGTTTGTCAAACTTTGCAAACATGCCCACTACTACGTCATCATAGACCTCCAAGCTGAGAGACCTTCAGATAACATTGAATTCCGTTATTACCTCATGAGCATCACAAGTGAGTTATTACATGAATATATACGTTCTCTTATATGTACTAACAATATACTAAAAATAAAAAGCTTAGTGTGGATAGGATAAAGAAAATTGACATTTCTGTTGCATTTTAAGTTTGTAGTAATAATCTTTCATGATTCATAGTTAGTTTGAATATTCATTACTAGCTTGACAGGTCTGTCTCCTCAAAAGGGGGTTTTAGCTGAAGTAGCATAAAATACGTTTAGCTGTTTTAATATTTTCTAATATCTTTACCTTTTATTTTTGAAACACTAAGATCGTTGTTATCGCGGTATCATTGCAGGCGACAATCGTCTGAGCAGCTTTTACGAACTGGACGCCCATTCAATCGTACACGGTCCATGCACTGATGTTGATATCCTTACGTCGTCAACTTCAGTTATAGGCTTGTCAAGTTCGATTCATAGCAGTTCATCGAATGCACTTAAGCGGCCTTCGAGCTCTCAGGAGAAACCGGTTTTAACGAAGAAGCCAAAGTGTTCAGATTATTTTTTTAGCGATATCGCTCATATTGTGGCCTTCTGCGATGATCGCTTACCATTTTGTTCGCTCACTCGCGAATTGGAATCGCGGGGCATCAGTCATCGAGGTTTGCAGATAGAAGGTGCTCAAACGAACTTTTGCGTCAACGTCGTACAAATGCCACTAACCAGAGATAATGGGCTGTCAGAGGAGGTTGCTGGGGAGCTTCGTCATTCCCTTCTAAGTTGTACTTTTCGCCTTCAGGTTAAAGGTATTAAGGCATGGCTATGCAAACTGGTTTTTCACGACTGCCCGTTAACTACAAGCAACGTACGCGAACGAGGTGCCACAAGGCCCGTCTATTTCATGTACGATTTTTCCCAGAATAATACGGCGGCCGTCGTTGAAGGATGGTTAGCTGATTGGGCTGTCGTGTGCAAACTTTATGGGGTAGTGGCAAGGTACGTAAGTGACATGAAGAAACCGAAGCATGCACCATTACTCGAGATGTTTGAGGTACGATCATATACTTACACGAGACTGACATTAGCGTACGGATCGGAAAAGAATGATACGGTCACTATCTCATGGTCGACAGTGGAGCGTCGTTTCCAACTTGTTTTTGGAGTAGTGGGCCCATCAGTTAGCGCGACGAATCCGCACGCCACTATCGCACATCAATTATCATATGATTTCAACCAGCATGAAAGTGTCATCCAGTTGGTACAAGCCCTTCGAGATACGTACCGGCCACTGTTGTCACTTTCACGTCTACCATCGACTCCGCAACTGGGTGTGATAAACTCGCGGCCGACCGTCCCTGTCCAAACCTTCGTAATTATCCCCCAGTCATCGACTTGCTTCAAGCTGATTTATCGGGGGAATTATTGCCTGGAGGTGCAGTGTCGCAAGGATGACGGTTGCGTTATAATTCGTGACGGTGCGTTCAGCCATTTCGACAAGGGCCGGCACGTCGAGGAGTTTGTGCCGATACCGGACTTGCGGGATTTTCTGGGCAAATTCACGGGCGGATGTGAGGCACCACAGGATACCGAGAATCCTGTTTCACCGGTGGAACTAGAAAGTGTCGACGCGTTTCTCTCTCCATCACAGGCAAAGGGCGCCGCCAGCTCGCCTGCAAGTAATCGTTCGGCAACTGCAGACAATGCCCTTCGTTTCCCACAACACCATCCAATGACACCACCATCGAATCCACATACCCCTGCTTCGCCTCATCCGTCGATGCTGCATTCGAATTATACCGCCTCACCTAATTCGTCTTTTGTACACACTCCGTCAAACGTACCGCCTAGTAGTCCGTTGGCGCCTCCACCGTCATCGCCATACCCCGTTAACTCACCACATATGACATCACCGTCACCGTCACCTGCACAGCAGCCACCCTCGCAACAAAGTTTTGCCACAGCCGCTGCTGCCAACGATCCCACTTCACCGGCATTCCCACTGTTGTCTGCTTCGCCTGCCAACGCATGGCCATCCTCCCCGGCTCCACCTCGTCCTTCACCACGACCATTTCAACCATCGCCAGGGGGACCGTCGCCTGCACAGCCACCGAGTGTGGAGGTGCGTCAGCCACCTATAATGTCTCGCGTGGCATCCCCGCATCCAGGAAACTGGGTAGCAGCTATGCCGATTGTACTTACGCATGAGAAACTCGATCAGCTCTGCAGCTTTACTTCGCCAGGGCCTTCACCTGTAGAGCGCTTTTTAGGTTGTGCATTCATGCGTAACTTTATTCAACGGTACGAAGAAAGCGCACAGGGAAGAACGGTAACTGGCTTGATTCCAGATTCTGGCATCGTTACATTCCGGCTCGACCCTCTTGTCTATCGGGTGTCTCTTAATCCGTCAACAATGCAGGCGTTACATGTCAAAATCTCACCAATAGATCCCAATAAGGAACAGCTGTTTACTGTGGATGAAATTCAAGTTGTGGAACGTTACTTCGACGCAAAAGTGGCGTCCATTCCCTACAAACCTAACGCGTTTATATCATTCTATCGGTTAATGAGCTGCACACAGCGGGTCCTTCGTGACTTCATCCAACTTATGAGACTCGAATTATGTCCTCCACAAACTCCAATGTTCCGCTGGAACTTCCAATTATGTCTGACGATTCCACCGGCTGTGCCGCAGATTGCACCTCCTGGCATGACTTCGATGTTAATAGTGCGTAACAAGATGCTTTTTTTCATGCAGTTGTCGCCTGCAGGACCGCAAAACGACTCTTCAAATGGCCAAATTAATCTACCAGGTCAGCCATTACTTGTTATACCGTTGGTTTACGACTTCCAGACAAATTCGATAACCATTGCTGCCGATCGTCGTAGCAACGGTGAATTAAGCGGGCAGACCCTTCAAGCAATGAATATCATAAACCAGATTTTACGTCAAGGCCCTGAATATCAGAACAATGGCGAATGTACCATTTTTACTTCAATACGTGACGTGCTTACTCAACTAGTTATTAGTTAGGTGATACATGCGTTTTACCGCTAATGTACGGCAAGTAAAATGGTGGAACTGTAAAAGGTTGCTTACACATATATTAATAGGAAGTGAACAGCGGCCAAGTTAATTAATGGTGTCGGAACATTGCAGCGCATACGGCGAACAAAAACATAAATATCATTTTTGAACAAAAGCACTGCCAAATTGTATGCAGGCCTCTTAAGAATTTGTTTTCCCCTGGCATTATGTTCCTACATGTAGATAGGTCAGCCAAATGGAGTCTTTTGCCCTTCTCTTTAAGTTTATTGTACAAAGAAACATGCTGCATATATATAACGCGTAAAACCCTAGACAGTTGCTAGGTAATAAATATCACTGTATTATTCAGAGAATTAGGCTTTACCCTTGTAAATAGAGCTCAGTCCTGATAGAAGTGAAGCGTAAAATTCAACATTACAAACAGATGTAAATTCAATAGTAAAAATGGAGTAATATATTACTGACGAACGACTTCTGATATGTAGTCAGCTCGGTAAGCCAGGTTAATGGCGCCTTTATATTCGTGTGTTTTTAATTTAACATTTTAGTATTTAAAGTTATTTCTAAAAGAGACTTCTTTCTTACTTTACCGCTATCCTTAAATCCCGCTATAGTAAAACTGCAGTTATGCATAGATATTACTAGGTTCAAAATAAGATGTACGGTAGTTACTTCGAATCTTATTCATTGGCATTAGTTCTTCTTTGATCCTGATTTCCAAACAATATTCGCATGCATAATCACTAGAAATACGTATATACTAAACAGTTTCTATTTCGAGTCTAACTTCTCAAAATTAAAGCGTCGTAAAACGTACATAGTCCTTCGGCTCGCCTTTTATAACATTTCTAGGATGTGTTTCAAGTACCTTATAGGGCACAGTAATTGTACCCAGATCATGAATAAAGGTATCCTATGGAAACTGGGGGTGAAGACTGGTAAGTGCTCAGTTCGAGAAGGTTGTATATTTTTAAATAAAAACCTACCGGTAACGGTGCTTTAGAAAAGTAATATATCTTAAGTACACAAAATATTACAAAAAAAACTTGCAAGTATTAAGTTCAGCTTACTCTCGTTTTGCGCTGTAATGAAATTGGAATTTCAAAAATTACTATGGTGAACAATAATAAAAAAAAAAATATTCATCTGAGTACGATAAAAATGATGTTATTAACGACAACAACCGTTGCCAGTAACAGCCTATGAGCACGTTCAGATTTAGGGTCACTTCTATTTAATGTTCTGTTACCAGCGCCATCTCGCACGAGATGGTGCTAATGATAAAGTGTGTTATTTTTGCGATTACTATAATCCCATTTAAGCATAAAATATTTCTGTAATATCAACAATAGGTATTATTATTAATGTTATATTCTAATCGACACTGTCTAATTATATTATTCGAACAGCTTCAGCTACTTGGTTGGGATACAGCAGTGTACGAAAGTAACCTGTACTATCTGGAAGAGTATTTGGACAATTTTGTTTTTAATAAATAATTTTGATACGCGTCGTTATAGTTGGACAATCTTATATAGCATAAAAACAAGTTAAGCGTCACAAGCATCACACACACAACACAAGTATCACAAGCGATTATACGGTTTAGTCAAAAAATTTTAAATGTAAGAATGTAGACAGCTGCTGAATCTCTTGCGGCTTGTGAATTGAAAGGTGCCACTCGTTGTAAATAAACATGTGGACATATATATAGCGATACATGTGTCTTTTTACTAACGATCTTTATCTAAAGACCGGTTATATAAACCTATCCGTTTTAAAGCGACAGAAAACAAAAATAAAAGATTTGATGGAAATTGATAGCTATATTACTTTGTTATTAACATGCCCTGCCTCTTACTCCACTCAAGTGCCCAGCACGGCTTGTTCCAGAAGCTTTTTAATGAATAAAAGACCCATTGTTCTGATTTATCTGTTTTTTAATTGTATTTGTGTCTTTTTGGCTCGTATTTTTTCAGTTTTTTGATATTTATATAAAGAAACATGAGTTGGTTTCGTTAGTTAGTTTTCATCGTATCCTACTGATTTAAGTCTTATTAACTTACTATAACGATAACTAGAAGGTAATCGGACTGCACTTCAACCGTACCTTAAACCACAGAAGTTTAAGTTAGCAAAGTACTAAGCTTAGATTTAAAATGCTCATAATACAAGTCTTTGGCTTAATATTTAAATAAAGATAATCAGACAAGAAGAGCAACACTTTACATCACAAGTTACAAGGCACTAATTACTTTTGCTCAAATATGGCGCCATGGCAGATGTTTGTCTGCTGGGTTAAGTCCGTTCTTGCAGCGCCAGACGAACACATGCGAGCAATATTGTCTGTAGACTCTGTTGCTGCTACGGCTAGAGGCTACCTTTGTTGGTTATACAGTCAAAGTTATTGTTGTTGTTATGAGTCTTAAAATGGCGTTCTGTTGGCGGTCGGATACGATGTTAAGCGTTGGTGAGCGTCTTCGCCCAAAATGACTGCCTAGTTTTTTTCTATAGTGTAGTGCTGTGTGTAGTTCAGGTGCGACGTATTACAGATGAGTCAGTGTGAAAAAGTGGCACAGAACGTTATGTTACCAGATATGCAAAATGCTCAGAACCGTCTAACTAACGATACTGAAGTCAGTGTCTTGACGGAGAATCTGTTTAGATACACAAAAAGTACACTGCAATTTGTAAGAAATGGATACACCGTATGACTAGTCGAAGACGACCGACTTCTTCACACAGAGAAATTGGCCTTGGTCCTTACACCAGAAGACTCTACAAGCGCGGCACGCGCATATTCTACTGTTAGAATTTGGCGCACACTTGTACGTTTACAGAAACCTGCTCAGCCTATAATAGATTGTGGAGTAGGGATTATAATATATTGTATTCCTATATATAGCTAATATCAATGACCACCTATTACGGAGTTTAATTCTCTAAGAGTGAACTTGAATGTTTTAGCATATTTGTATTTATGATACGCCATTATGACGGCGAGTGGACAAATCCACTAGCCTTTCCTATCAGTTTTAGCTTAAAATAACATTTGAATCGAACGAACAGCACGGGGACCTTAGTTTAATGAGTGGGTGACCCATAATATTAAACAGGCAATTTAGCAATGAAGTCTAGTCTGCATAATAGAAGATTATTTTTCATAAAGATAATTTATATTCTAAAGGCTGTTTTTTCAGGCATGCCGTCCTCAAACTAAGTTTACACGCGAAAATCGGAAGAATCATTCCATTTTTATTATCAATTAAAAAAAGTGTTAAATAAGTGAAGCTGAGCATTTTTAAGCAACATATGCTACTCGAGCACATTTTAGTCTCCCAGCCTACGACAGTTATTGTTTAAAACTTTCGAACGGCATAGGGAGCACGTTCAACCGTTTACTAGAATAGGACCGACGTACGGTTTTAAGGTGTCCATTGTGGGCCCAAAAGTGCTTAGTCTGCTAAATTTGTCGAACAATTGTTTATGGCATTACCAATGACAAATTCAGAAAAGGAACGCTTCTGAGAAAGAAAAATTGGTTTTTAAATTAAGCCAGTAAGAATAGGTGGTGGTAGTCGTTTTACCGTGGGATCGTTTTTATCACGAATAGGTAACTTCAAGATGTGCTTATTGCCAGTAATTTATGATTCAAACTCTCAATTCAAGTCTGGTAACTGTTTAAATATAATATAAGTAAATAAAAAAAAAACTAACATTTGAATAGTTACCGAAGATAGCTAACCTATATTCATATAGAAAGAGCCCCACCGTAATGCTAAACCTAATCACTTGATATATTTTTCTAGGATGGATAAGGCAATAGCAATGGCAGGTGGGGGAGGTGCGCCGCCGAGCGGCGCTGGGGGTCCAGCAACCATTCCTCTCGGTCGACTGATCGATTTCGTTCTGCAGAAGACCTACCACGAATTGACTGTGTTAGCAGAACTGCTACCCCGCAAATCGGATATGGAACGTAAAATCGAGATTACGACTTTTACAAACACAACGCGACAGCTTTTTGTGCGTCTTCTAGCATTAGTGAAATGGGCAGCCAGTGCAGGAAAAGTGGAGAAATGCGCATCCATGGTCAATTTTTTAGACAAGCAGAGTCTGCTGTTCATTGAGGCCGCAGACATGTTTGCACTGCTTGCCAGAGATACCCTCGTACAGGCACGATTACCTAGTTTCCATATTCCATGCGCTGCCGAGATCTTGACTACAGGGACGTACTCGCGTTTGCCAACATGTATACGTGACAAAATTGTGCCACCCGATCCGATCTCTACAGAAGACAAGCGCTCAACGCTTGAACGTCTCAATCGTATTATTCAGTATCGCCTCGTTTCTTCAGAGCTTCCTACGCAAATGAGCTCATTAGATATTAAACGCGGACGCGTCATATTTCGTGTTGACAACGAGTTTGAAGTTAGCCTAACACTGATGGGGGACGGACCGCAAGTGCCGTGGAGGCTACTGTCTATCAACATCCTCGTCGAAGATAAGGACACCGGTGATTGTCGAGCATTGGTATGACTTTCCAATACATGTGTACACTTGATAAGAGTTAAAGTATTTTTTAGTTTAACTTCAGAGCTCTCTGACTAGGCGGTGGCTTAAGCGGTAGATTGGCTGCTGATTCGAAACCGGCCGTACAACAGTAAAGCTACACAACCTCCAGAAGGACAAAGATAATAAAGAGCATGAATAGATATTACAAAACAGTACTTCAGGAGCTCTTGAAATTATTTGACTTAATGTCACTACGCGGCGCTACGTAGCAAAGGTACCAAGGAACCTTGGTACTAGGACTTAACTAGCCAGGATGCTATTATAATGTTTCCTTAAAAGGAGTATTCAAACTGTCAACACTGCTCGAGTGTACATAAATTCTACTAATACTATTTTTGTGGGTATATTTTTACTGTCGCAGGTTCATCCTTTGCAAGTAAACTATATCCATCAGCTGGTGCAGTCACGCCTAGTGGATCATTCGAAACCACTCCACGAACTATTTGAATGTCTTCATTTCTTCTGCCTCAGTTTGCAACTCGAAGTGTTACATTCACAAATTTTGCGTCTGTGTCGCGAACGATTAGGTGATTCCGTTCGTATTGAAGAGTACGTGCCAGGTAGCTCCCTCCGGTTACATTTCTGGCGTGAGCATATCTCTTTGCTCGACCACCGGCCGTTCGTACTCATGGTGCATGTTGACGCAGAGCAGCCGTGTAAGCCTTTGCAGGTGTCGCACTCGCCGGAAATTACCGAAAAAGCGGAGCAGGTTTGGGTCGAACCGTGTATTCGATCAGAGTTCCTTTCGATCGAGAAATTGCTCATTCAAACGATACACATTCGATCACGTCAAAAGCTCGCTTATTTGAAGGACACTTATCTGAAGGAATTGCTGCCAGCAGATGTTGAATGCACCCTTTCGGGAAGTCCACCGTTGTTGCAATTACCTGTAGTGCATCCCTGTCCTTCGTCAGAGCATCTTGTTCTAACTGTGGACACACATACCGGGTATATAATGGCGTTTGTGCCACAGTACGAGCCGCCTATGGTTACCGAATTGCAGGACACTATCAACAACCTTGTTAAGGAGGCGCAACCTGCACTTAGAGCTCGCCTAACTTCAGCGATCCTCAGTCTTAAATTTTGGATGACGTTAAAGCGGTGCAAAAAAACCGTACAACATTTACCAGTTCTGGCCATGGACACAAACCCCTTTGTACAGGCACCGGAGGAGCACCGTATCAATCTACTGGGCAAGTACTCGCTGTTCGTCAAACTTTGCAAACATGCCCACTACTACGTCATCATCGACCTCCAAGCCGAGAAACCGTCAGATAGCATTGAGTTCCACTATTACCTCATGAGCGTCACAAGTGAGTTATTAACAAGAATACGTTCTCTTACACCCCCAATATAATAATAATTTAATAAAATAATAAAAAGCCTATACTGAATAGAATAAAAAAATTTCTTTGGTGCGTTTGAAGTTTGCAGTAGTGATATATCGAGATCAAATTAGCTTCAAATCAGTGTTCATGCTTGGTTTAATAGGTGTACCCCAAAAATGGGTTTCCGCTGACGAAACAACTGGATAAGAAAAAAAACACTTATTAAGAGTGGTTATTTTAACTTTTATTGTTTTTATATTACATTGATTTTTATTTTCAAGATGCTAAGGTCGTCACTATTTTGGCTCCATTACAGGTGACAATCGTCTGAGTAGCTTCTACGAACTGGACGCCCATTCAATCGTACACGGTCCGTGCACTGATGTAGATATCATGACGTCATCAACTTCAGTTATAGGCTTGTCGAGTTCGATTCATAACAGTTCATCAAATGCACTTAAGCGACCTTTGAATTCACAGGAGAAGACTGTTTTAATGAAGAAGCCGAGGTACTCAGGTTATTTTTTCAGCGATGTCGCACATATTGTAGCCTTCTGCGATGATCGCTTACCGTTTTGTTCTCTCACTCGCGAACTAGAATCGCGAGGCATCTGTCATCGAGGTTTGCAGATAGAAGGTGCTCAAACGAATTTTTGCGTGAACATCGTACAAATGCCGCCAACCAAAGAAAATGGACTGTCGGAGGAGGTTGCTGAGGAGCTTCGTCATTCCCTTTTAAGTTGTACCTTTCGTCTTCAGGTCAAGGGTATTAAGGCGTGGCTATGCGAGCTGGTTTTTCACGACTGCCCGTTAACTACAAGCAACGTTCGCGAACGAGGTGCCACCAGACCTGTCTATTTTATGTACGATTTTTCCCAGAATAATATGGCGGCCGTTGTTGACGAATGGTTGGCTGATTGGGCTGTTGTGTGCAAACTCTATGGAGTAGTGGCAAGGTACGCAAGTGATATGAAGAAACCGAAGCATGCCGCATTACTCGAGATGTCTGAGGTACGATCATATACTTACACAAGGTTAACACTGGCATACGGACCTGAAAAAAACGATACGGTTACCATTTCGTGGCGGGCAGTCGAGCGGCGTTTTCAACTCGTTTTTGGCGTAGTGGGCCCATCGGCTAGCGCGACAAATCCGCATGCCACTATCGCACATCAATTATCATATGATTTCAACCAGCATGAAAGTGTCATCCAGTTGCTACAAGCCCTTCGAGATACGTACCGGCCACTGTTGTCACTTTCACGTCTACCATCGACTCCGCAGCTGGGTGTCATAAACTCGCGGCCAACGGTCCCTGTCCAAACCTTCGTGATTATCCCCCAATCATCGACTTGCTTCAAGCTGATTTACCGGGGGAATTATTGCCTGGAGGTGCAGTGTCGCAAGGGCGACGGGTGCGTTATCATCCGTGACGGTGCGTTCAGCCATTTCGACAAGGGCCGGCACGTCGAGGAGTTTGTGCCGATACCGGGACTGCGGGCCTTCCTGGGCAAATTTACGGGCGGATGCGAGGCGCCTCACGATCCGGACAACCCCGTTTCACCGTTGGCATTAGAAAGTGTCGACGCATTTTTATCTCCATCACAGGCAAAAGGCGCTGCCAGCTCGCCTGCGAGTAATCGCTCAGCAACTACAGACAACGCCCTTCGTTTCCCACAGCACCATCCAATGACACCTCCATCGAATCCACATACCCCTGCTTCGCCTCATCCGTCAATGCTGCACTCAAATTATACCGCCTCGCCCAATCCGTCCTTTGTACATACTCCGTCCAACATACCGCCCAGTAGTCCACTGGCGCCTCCACCATCATCGCCATACCCCGTAAATTCACCACATATGACATCACCGTCACCGTCACCCGCACAGCAGCCGCCCTCGCAACAGAGTTTTGCCACAGCCACTGCTGCAAACGATCCCACCTCACCAGCATTCCCATTGTTGTCTGCTTCCCCTGCCAATACATGGCCATCATCCCCGGCTCCACCTCGTCCGTCACCACGACCATTTCAACCGTCGCCGGGGGGACCATCACCTGCACAGCCGCCGAGTGTTGAGGTGCGCCAACCACCTGTGATGTCCCGCATGGCACCCCCACATCCAGGAAATTGGGCAGCAGCTATGCCGATTGTACTTACACATGAGAAGCTAGATCAGTTATGTACTCCTACTGCACCAGGCCTTTCACCGATAGAGCGTTTCCTAGGTTGTGCATTCATGCGCAACTTCATTCAACGTCACGTAGAAACCGCACAGGGAAGAGCACCAATAGGGTTAATTCCCGACTCTGGCATTGTGACATTCCGGCTCGAGCCCCTTGTCTATCGGGTGTCCCTGAATCCAGCAACAATGCAATCGCTACACGTGAAAATCTCACCTGTTGATCCCAACAAAGAACAGCTATTTACAGTTGATGAAATTCAAGTTGTGGAACGCTACTTCGACGCGAAAGTTGCATCCATTCCCTACAAGCCTAACGCGTTTATATCATTCTATCGGTTGATGGGCTGCACGCAGCGAATTCTTCGCGACTTCATTCAGCTCATGAGACTTGAGTTATGTCCTCCACAAACGCCAATGTTCCGCTGGAACTTCCAACTATGTCTCACAATTCCACCAGCCGTGCCGCAAATCGTTCCGCCTGGCATGACTTCAATGGTAATCCAGAGTAATAAGATGCTCTTTTTTATGCAGTTGTCGCCGACACGTTCTCAGAGCGACCCTCCAAGCGGCCAAATAAGTTTACCGGGTCAACCGACAATAGTTGTACCGTTAGTATACGATTTTCAGATGAATTCAATAAGCATTGCTAATCGTCGAAGCAATGGAGAATTGAGTGGACAGACTCTTCAAGCAATGAATATAATAGCGCAAATTCTCAGACAAGGCCCTGAATATCAGAACAATGGTGAATGCACTATTTTCGCCTCAATACGTGACGTGCTTACGCAGCTCATTGTTAGTTAGCGGATGTGTAACAGCTAAGGTTAATAAAGAATAATAATTAAAACTGTATTGCCGGATCAAAGTGGTTACAGGTCCATATGTACAACAAGCCGCACACTTTGTTCATATTAGTTCACATATATAATGGATTGCTCAGTGATTCACACTGGCAATAAAAAAGATTAAATGAAATACTAATGTCATAGTATGACAGCATATCAAAATAAATAGAAGTGAGAATAACTGCTCGGATTACGAAGGTCGATTCTCAGTAATAAGAGTATCACAAAATTATCGATAGATTCTGTGTAAGAAGAAGTGGCTGGTTTGCCCCGGTTTCGATTGAACTTTAAAGGAACTCAGCTACATAAGTATATGTAGCTCGTGCATGATGCGAAAGGATCGGAGTGCTCGTTATTTGCTCGGCAAACTTTGTCGTTTTTGTGTTCACGGTGTTCTTCCTTCTTTGTGTGAATATAACTCCTCTTCGTAAGAAAAAAATGTATACAAGAAAAATGAATTGATAAATTACTAACGAAGCACACTTTGTTGTATTTTCTATTTGCCTAACTATTATATATATGCTTCAAAGAACAAAACTGTGCCTCTTTTACAAAGGTAGATTAGCCAGCTGGTCACTACTACACGTTTTGTGTACTATTGGATTATACTAAACTAAAACAAATGAGCATTAATAAATAGAAAATACTTTTCTTTACGAAGTTAGAGATATATATGAATGGAAAGTTAAAAATCAAAACAACACTAAATAATACCAATACCCTGTACTAGCGAAGCAGGTTGGTTAGAAGTAACAGTTACTCAGTTTTGCAAACAACAAATACAGCATATTGGATTGGAAAATTGCAGGAGGTACCTTGTGACATGATCTACAAAGATTCCAACGATTTTATGACTCGATAAGGGTTGAAAAGGTATGGGTGGAGTTGATACGTTAGTTGCGTACACGTAGAAAGGCTTCAAACTTCTAAGAACGCCAAAAGTACGCAAAATACGGTAAGCTTTACATATATATCCTGCAAAGCAGTCGCTGAAGACCTGATAGTTCTATTAGTAACTTTTAACATAGATGTTTTACCTTTTTTCCGGATTAACACCAAGCTGATTTTCTGTAGAATGTGTTTCAATAATAACCTAAAACTAGGCATGTTGCCTCATGTTAGCCACCACTGACATGTTCATTTTGACCGACGTCTCATATTTTGTGATAACTGCACAACCTCCTATCCTTTACTTCTACGCGTGCAAGATGTCAAAAATAAAGTAGTAGTGCTATGTAACAACTTCGAAAGCTATTAACAGATGCGGTCAAAAGTGTGCTTATAGTTCGATCTAATAACAATTGTGACAAACCTCCAATTCCTTACCTTGAGGAGGAGGTGTCAGCTGGCAATCAATGTATAGTTTTCTGACCATCTGGATTGAAAGACTGTTCTGGTATTTTTCTCAACAGCAAAGTTCGCTACAATACAGGCAGGTCTATATACGAAAAAACTTTCTTATATAGAAATAGAAATTAGAGCAAACTGTCGCTAGAATCACTGTATAACGTACCAAAAACATATGGCCACTAACAGTGTAACAACGTATGACAATAGACAACTCATCAGCTTCAACATAAGCTCATCAAGCTCATCAGGTTTCGACATAAATTTTATATATTTACATATGTACATCGCCAGCAATGTCGGTGACAATTTCGTTTTTAGGAAGCAGTGTCTGGGACGAAGTCAGACCATTACATAATTCTTTTAACTTGTCTGCGGTCAAGCTTGGGTTGCCGCAGTTATGTTTTCTGAGGTAATAGTACTTCAGGTATTCAAACATTGGAATCTTTAATCCTGAGATAATGCAAGGCCACCAAATTTCCTTTTTTGGCAACGCTCATAATTGATTTATATTATCAAAGGCACATGAACAATTGTCGCAAAAAATGCTTTTGATGATTCTGGACAACAGACATACGTTATTATTTTCGTTAAAGAAGTAACGGCTTGCTGCATTAGTTCGTAAAAGATCAAACTATAAGTGATAGTGTCGCAATACTGCTACAACATACCGCGGTATACATAAAATATAATAGTGATATACTATAGCTTTGACGCGGGAACTTGCTTGCGGGTGATTGCTGGTTTGAGCTTCACCATTGGCATTAAGCTAAATAAATAAAAAAAACTGACTGCTACAGAATATACCTGGTCAAAACCGTCTTTATCGCAAACATATAGAAGTGCACTTTAGTGTGATGTACAGAACAACAATGTCATATCTCTGGTATGTCGAGAAGCTAAAGAATAAGCTGGCTTCTCCTCACTCAGCACATGTACCGTGAGCGCTGCAAAAAACTTACTTCGTTGGATCCGTCTTTTGACAGGCAAAGGCTTTGGCGCTGTCGATGGCAGTGTTTAAGATTCTGCGACAATTTGCTTGTACTTCATGTTAGAGCCCACACTCGTTTAGCAAAAAGTACTGGTGCGACGCCGAGACCATGGCATTTCATTTTAAAATAGTTTGCGCCTGTTGGCGCCTTGTTATCTAACCTTCACCGATGCACTCAAAACAGGGCTTTTCACACACCTTGGCCTGTCATTTAAGCATGACACTCAAACGTCCCATTATTAATGGTGGCGAATAACTGCTGCTCTTCGCTTCGGTGCGCACGCAGATTCAAGGTGCAACGGTGATGAACATGGGAAACCGTTATGGAGCTGTCGTAATGAAATTGGACCTTGCCTTCCGCGGCCATATCTTCCAATCCTCGTTTCACCCAATATTATTTCCCTTTAATTGCTTACGAACTTAGCTGGCACCTTACTAAGCTTCTCTACTTTGTTTTTATCTCGCTCATCCGCCATCATATCGCTACCATCAAATTACAACAGATTAGTTCGACTGCCATCGGAAGGCACCAATGAGTTGTTAAATTATTATAACCCTTTATTTCATTCACATATAGCTTTTCATTCCTAATGTATAATTTTTAAACTGATAAATGATATTAGTTTGTAGAACCTACACTATAGAACGACTGTTTTATACAAAATCGTTGTTTCGCACAGCGTATTACCTTTAATGTTATGTTGTTCAGATGAATGCCCAACCTTTTTAGAAACACAGAATGAAACAATCTTCGATAACTTCTACATGAAACGAGTGTCATTGCTAAAGCATTTCTTTCTGGGTAAGCTCTCTCTATCCTACAGACTTTGCTTTCAGATACCTCCGGAAGTTAACAGCAGCGGCACCCCCGAAGGACTGTGTTCATCAGAATTCTGCTTCAGGATGTCCAACGCGCGATAGCAAGTGGCCGCTTTGTTGGCACCATATACGTGCCCTACTGAAGGCACTCAACATTTTCTAGCTGCGGCTGTAGCTAGAACACGACCTGGTTATGAATTCGCCTAGTTTCGACATGAAATTCACGAACTTCGTTATTAAAACCGCTTAACAGGGCTTTCACGCTGCTCACATTTATTCTTAGCTAATGTGATATTTCGGTATTTTCTGTATATAACTGCGAAATAGCGCTCACGTTTTTTGCAAGTAGAACGTATTTTTTAGCCAAATGCTTACGTATTTATTTACTGCACGAGGTCATCATTACGTATTAATAGATAACATCGTTCCAAATAAAAGTGAATGATTTGTCTAGTCGTTACATTGATTAATCATGCACACCACTTCTCCCTTAGTGATATACTGCGTCGTTTGACGTTCTTGCTTTTACACCAATTAGGCTAAAACAATCATACATCTGGTCCTACTATGTACACGTACGATTTCGAGATTTGGGAAAGAGTAAACATACCGGAAGTTTTCATAGCAGTAACTGGTACTTTTAACTAAAAAAACTCCGTAACTAATATTCTTCATATAAGAGGGTAGGAAAAAGAGAGCTTATAGTTGGCAAAAGAATAATCTTATGTTTACCAACAGATTTCGACAAAAAAATATAGTGTGTATACAGTTGAAATGTATACTTAATTTGCCTTAATTTACGCATTTTCTAACTAGAAGCGAATCCCCTTGAAAACGCTGGAGATCCAATTTTATGGCTAGGTATTTATAAATTAGCTTATCGTAGTACGCATTAGCTTGATGATAACCGTGGGTCAAATTCGTTATCCCATACGTTAAAGACGATCCACGCCAACCAAAATCGTGGCACGGAACCGTGAACAAGAGCGTCTGCTATAAATTTTACCTGATGGCAAGGAGACTATCCGTATTTCTGGGGAAAGCGGTATCCGAAAACAACATGGAATTAGAAGTGGGAATTCGACTGAAACCATAAGATCCTACTTGCCGATACTAAAGCTTAAGTATTCTTCGGCAATTTATCTTATTTATCTATTTAAAAATGTATTAATGTTTGTTGACTTAAAAGCTTCCTTCGACTTCACCTTAAGTTTCCCCGCCGTAGTCGGCCTTCCCACGAACGTGCTTAGCTCAATAGCAGCAATACTGGAGGAAAGCCGGGTTATAATCCATAATGGGGTCTTGGAGCTGCAAAGATCCTCCCTGACTACTTGGAATACTACCTGACAAAGATGAATAAATGAGTTTGATTGATTGATTGATATTTATCAAATTAAGATATTTGCGCTTTTCTAGAACATTCCACAGGACCCTAGATATTGTGATACAATGCTTTTGAGCCTTAACCTATGTATCATTACTACCCCCATCATTAAACACATAGGATGCTCGCCCAAAGGTCAGTCTTCATGACCAAATACATATGCTTTTGATGCAAGTTAGCAACCTGCATAAATATATGAATCTATATAATTTAACGTAAACATAAATTACGCACTCTTTTGTAAATATTCAAGAAAGAACTAGCTTCAAACCAAATTGTAAAATGAAAACTAGTACTTTGAACATTGCTAATTTGTAACACTGGTCTCGCTGTTCCGACCCAAATAATTTGCTTTCTCATTTAATCGTTTTCCTTAAGTCTAGTCATAAAAATGATTATATATTCGTCGTCACTCTCCATGACCTTCTCCTATTTCTCAACTAATTTATTGATTGTTTCTCATTAGAAATATTGAGGTTCGAAATTCGCCCGATAAGGTTTTGACACCTCTTCGCCGTTAAAAGCACAGCCACGAATTTCATTTGCGAGTGATCGGGAAAGGTGGTGTCTATGGGAGCGATGTCTGGAAAATACAGTAGTTTGAAAGAAACCCCCCACTCAAACGCTTGCAGAGCGACTTTTACAGTCTTTGTCATATGCGCCGTGGCAGTGTTATGGAGGAAGGCGACTTTACTTCGCCCATCGGGTTTTCTCTGAAGGATAGCTTTGTTCACTTGACACATATTTCACGGTGTATATGACCCTTTTAATACAACCAAATACAAATGATCGCCTATTTGGTATGGAGATCCAATTTAAATCTGGCCTCATGCGTTATCGGACCTATTCATTGCTCTCTCTATTTAATGTCAGCATGAAAATACCATTTCTTGTCTCGGTGACAATTTTGTGTAGAGGCCTGTCATTGTGATTGCGTGTGTCCGGGGCTCGGCGACATGTTAGCAGTCAATAAGAAGCTTTTTTTTTTTGCAGCCTTTATTTAGTCCACAGCACACCGAGGCTCCTAATTCTAATAAAATTCTTCAGAAATATTCAAGGTACTTCTCAGTGGTCTGATTTTTATATTCTTGGTCATTTAACGAATTGTTTACTACTAGAGGTTCTTATCGATCTCGAATAGTTGACTGCAATACGGTATTCTTTCCAGACCTAAAATCTCAGCTTTGAACTTTGCAAACCTTTTCTAACAGTCCTTTCATTTATAAAACGCTCACTGTACGCGGCGAAATTAGTCCAGGCTAATTCATTGATCTCAGTAAAAGAAGAAATAAGGTAAGTGTAGAAAATGCGTTTTTTTTTCATTTCGTTCTTTTCGTTTAGAACATCCATCTCTAAAACTTGTACTCGACACAAAATTTCGTTACACAGCAAAATTACAATGAACTTACAGAGGAGAGGAAAATCTTCGAACTGTGTATAAAAATAAACAAACAGTTTGGTACGGACAAAAACAAAGTTATCACAATCAAATCAACTTTAAATACAAGGTATTACTAAAGATATTTACAAGCCTTCAATTAAAATTAGTTAAATGTTTCATTATAGAACGAGCATTTCTTGCGTGTAACAATCAAAGGCTAGTGCATATTATTCATGATAAAGAAAGCTATCGGCTCTACTGTCGACGTTTTGAAAGAACAAGTAGATTAGAGATAATTAATCTTTGTATACCAACCGCTGTTCGAAACACAAAAAAATTATTCAAGTTCAAGTCGTCTTTGTATATATTTTGATATATTTATTCCGAAAGATTTGGAACAAATCTGGGAGTCTGAGCTTTACGACTTCCAGGTAATGTTAAGTAAAACACGAGAGCTTATTTTTAAGTTACTTCATTTTTTTATTCTAAAAACATGAACTGTCGAATGAAGAACAAGAATATTACTGTATAAAGCTGCCAACAAAGCGGTCGAAGTATTTTGGTCAAAGTAGGTAAATCAATTCTACGTGATCCCCTTGTTGTAACGGTAACGTTTATGCTAATTAAACGATTTCTTGGTTGTATTAGATGCGGCCTTTACTGCCATTTGCTGGGTTCTCTAACTTAGTCTGCGCCAAGCATACTTAAGGCCTCCATTTTTTTGATACGTCGATGTACTTCCCATCCGGTACGTCGTAATTCTTGATAGCTGGCGTCTCGGTGAGGACTAAGAACTTTACTGGCAACAACTGCTCATCAGGCTGGACAGCCGCCTGATATAGTGTGGGGCTAGCAAATCGAAGTTCCTCTAATGCTTTACATTGACACTCAACCATTGCTTGTATAATCTGTAGGTCACAAAAACACCAGAGTATCTCCTACTTGTATTATTGCAAGTAATAGATCGCTCCAATTATTCGGATTGTAGTTTAAAACATTCACTCGATTCTTAATATCAAAATAAGTCACATTTATCTATTTATTACATTTATTTATTTTATTTCTGTATTCTAATCAGTACTAAATCATTTCATTTATCCAAATTAATTAAGAAGCTTAAATCAATAGAATCTTTTTGGCTCTCGGCAAGCGTAATTTAAGCTACTAAAAGATAGCATCCTTCCTAGCAACTACCAACATATTTTAAGTAACTTAAGTACCCCAGTGCCTCTCGAAGTTTTTTCTTGAGTTTTTCTTGAAGGTATGCGTCTTTCAATTTGGCCTTTTGAGCCCCAGAGTCAGCTGGTACCGTTATCCCTATCTCGTTCTCGTAGGAATACTAATTAGTTTGTTAGCTCAAATTAAATTGCATTGAATTATATAACACATTTATATATAATGTTACAAGGATCTTAATCGAATTGATGCAATGTCTATTTAACAGTCTAGTTTTCTAGCTGTAGGTTGGTACACCTGAGATACTGACTGACTTTTGTGTTAAACAAGAGCAGGATTAGTTACGACCTACGCGATCGTAGTTCCTAGGCAGTACCCTTAACGGCTAATACGCAGCTCTGTATATAAAAGTGTAAAACTGAATTGCGGGATGACAAACATTTCGCGACAAAATTGTGACCCTCACAATTTCGGAGCGATGTAGATTTGAGATTTAAATCAGGATAATTTGCGACCTATAGTGTACAGGATGAAGATGTTTATCATGCCAACGTGCAATAAGTAAAACGGTCTAGATAAAGTTGACGAAATGAGTCAAAATGTTCAGCATATGTCTTTTTATGATTTGATTCAACGCAGGCGTTTCTGCGGCCAGCCATTGCTGCCAAGCACGTAGTCAAAAAGGCGAGCCAAGAAGCGCGCATTCTCTGTTTCAAAAAAACCTATGTATGAAAGAAAGTTTATTCCAAATTATGAACTCTGATTTCTTGATTAAAAAAACCTAGTCCTTGAAATCATTGAAATTAACAAGCGTATCTTCTGATGCCAGCATACCCGCATTATTTGTCAAGGTGATCAGCGATAGCCCAAAGCTAGTCTTAATATCTCAGGAGCGTTTAATCTGAGGTATATGTCGATAGCGCTGTCGCTGTGAATGAAATATTTATCCGATTTCACAGTTTATTAAGTTATTAAGTTTTCGAGCGCATATACATTTTTGCTCAGTAAAGTTAATAAAACGTATGTAAAAGCAACTTCTAATGAATGGCAATTCTAGAACGTCATTACTAAATGGGCAGATAATTGACTATGAAATAAGAGACTTCTTTATGATGCGGGAGATATTCCCAGCATGCAAAACAATATTTACATATGGGAAGATGCAGAATGTATCATTGATGCACACTGAGAAGAGCTTACACATATCTATAGGCTGATCAAGGTACCTCGATATCCACGCATCGCTTACAGCTAGACATAATAGAAATAGCAGAAATAGAGAGAAATAGGAGAGACACACGAAATATCAGATAAAACTCATGCAATTTTTTGGACAATGAGATAATAATTTTATCAAAAACCTTATGATTAGAGCAACTGAAAGGTGCTTTTGTTGGTTGCTTTATGTAGCCATACTCTAATATTCGTTTTTTAGTAACACGTGAGAAAGCGTGGTAAGCTTTTCATCGGACGGTTCCATTGGTTTTCGGCAATAAATCAAATATTATTTTTCTATGTACTTTTGGTAAAGGTAATCCAAAATTAATGGAACCGATTGAACGCCCAACGCGCGAATGTGTAGATAAAAAGTCTACTGAAAGTGTTGTAGTATATTTTAATATATGCATGCACGATACGACAATAGCGTTTGCTGTGAACCTGGTTTATATAAGCTTTCGTTCGTACGTTTCCATTTCGACAGTAACTGCAATTTATATCGGAGAAGTGGATACTAATTGAGTATTATTTGTAGGGCAATAATCATATTATTCAAATATGCCTTCTCGCTCAATGCATGTGTACTTCATTTGATTCTCTGGTGTCAGCCGCTCCAATCCATATTTTCAATATTGTTTACGAAATGTATATGTAAGGCCCATGGCCTATGGAACATTTTTGAGCTTCAGTAATATACTCTAACAAGAATGTCTATCATTTAAGCATATAGAAGTTTTCGTGTAAATAAAGATGAAAAGTTGTTAAATTTATAGAATCAAATAAACTGTTTGCCAGTCGGGTCATAAAAATAACAATTAAAAAAATTCTGCCAAAACGAACAACTTAACTAATTACCAGTTATTTACAATGTTTAGAAAGATACGCGATCTTTTGAGAGATTAACGGATATATTTCATATTCTTTGTTCTATAAATATATACTGGGATGGTTATGTTAACCTTGGACCAACCAAAAATGGAAGAGAAGCAATGAGGAAAAATGTATTTCAAAAGTCGTTAGTCTTTGTTGTCTGTCCGACAGGCCACTCAAAATATTAAGAAACGTTTGACGATAAGGATAAATTTCTATTAGTCTCACGTTAAATCTCATTGTAGGGTTTTTAGGTTACATATTTATTTAAGATGCTGACTATATATCACTTAAAAAAAATAATAAGAACTTACGCTTCTCTCACCTTAGCCTCTTCGCGGTATTGTAGAGATCTAATATTACCCCATGCTCGCATCAAATCCTCCCTAAAAGATATGACATTATCTGTGATCGGCTCGCTATTTCGTTTACGGAGACCTAATTCCTTTTGGAGTCGTGGCGAAACTTCCATTTCATCTATTGGTTTCAATTTTTTTCCATGTCTTTTCAGCAGTCTGGAATATAAATAGGATATAGTTAATTTTTCATTAAAAATCAGAAAGCTCATGCCTCAGTAAGAGCTTTCAAGACCATAATCTGCTTTCTCAGGGTTTAATGTCCGCAGCCAGTTTCGTGAGCAGCTTAAACAATTATTTTTTTGAATTAAATCTATTGTGTCTGAATGATTATACAAAAACGTATAAAAAATCGTTAATAAATTCTGTACATTCTCTAACAGATCAAGCTAAGAGTTATAGCAATAACTTTATTAAAAAGTTCCTATATAAGATGTGGGAGTTTCAACCAATATTGCTTTAGTTCCAAGCCCCAGCACGACACTTATTTAGCTAGGTGTCACCTGTATTTAAACTAAAATATATATAAACTAAGGTTAATACTAAGTAATCTTTGTAAGCCTTTGATACCAACCCATTAAACTGTAATTTGAAAATAGTTTTTGAAAAGTTTGATACACATAAGAAACAGGCAACGTAATTAAAGAAAAGGACATAAGAAAGTTACCTGGTTGCCGAAAACATTCTGACACATGCAGAGTGCAACCAATAGGAGTAAAGATATCAGAAATTCTCGGGAGTTCAGAAAAGTTTTGCGTTTGGTTTCAGTGAGAATTGGAACGCGAACTACGAAGTTTTTGTTAAAAAAAGTCCCCTTAGAGATTGATAGAAGAAATATAGTTCAATATATATTAAGTATTATGTTAACATGCATTCAAAGATGTAATTAATAAATGAATGAATACAAAGTATGCACAATCGAAACTGTACGTAAATATCTCACCTAATGCCTTTTTCAATTTTCCTAATTTTCCTTTGTTCGCGCATCCTCAAGATCTGAGGATCTATCCTTTTTTTCTTCCTAAGGGGCTCCGCACACAGAACTGGTGTAATATGCAAGTTCCGTATACTACTGTAAACTGAAGAAAGGATCGACAAGCTACTTGCCCGGAATAACGTTTCGATGCCACTGTAAGTTCGAAGTAAGTTCGAGAGCATTTTTTTAATGCAACCTTACGGTATTACAAAATAGAAATGTAATGCTCTTAAAACCGGCTGCGTGACAATAAATGTCGCCATCTTGGATTTGATGGCGAAAGGGAAAAAGCAAATGTAAATATCAGCCGAGCGGTCCTATAAAAAACATAGCAGCTGTATTATCATTATTATTACTTCTATTATCAGTTGTCCTGTTGTTCGCATCGGGATTTTACTTAATTTTACATTAAAAAAAAAGTAGTGAATGTTGTTTTTACACGTTCTAAAAAAATTCTGCCAGCATCAGAGAAAATGATCACTTGAAGAAGTAAAGCAAGGACTACATTTCGGCAAGTTACTAAAAATGCAAGAAGCCGGGTGTTGTCGTAATCAAGTATCACTCCTCTCCTATTGATCATAGCTGTCTTTTTTGCTGATGCTTTACTTCAAATAGCTGAGCTGTTCATAGTACATAATTGAGCTATTGTTTTTGTTGTTTGAAGGAAACTTACAGAAAAGCACTCCTCTGCAGTTCCAATAAATGCATAGCATAACATTTTTTTCCATAAGGTCTGGCTTTAGCTTTCGTGTGAAGGGCATTACTTTCCTCTAATTATAATCTGACTAAAAAGTGATGTTATTGTAAATTATCCACGTTTCATCATCCATAGTTTGTAGCATCTCATTTCGTTAGGAAACCTAGCATCTTAGCGATCTCGAATATATTGTTTCTGATATTCCCAGAATTGTTCATAAGGGCAGATTTTTATTAAATGTTGTTATAAAACAGCCGTTGCGATTTATTTGAGGAAGGCGAATATATTTTACTGAGTTAAATTATCCGTAACTCTTTTCGCGAGAAAAGGGTTTTGCATGTTCAGTCTTAGAATACCCTCGGTTTTTTAGTTGGTGATTAGTCAAATCATGGAAAAGCCACATGTCTGCTTGACCGACGTGATTGTTGTTGAACGGTCGATTTAGATGCTCATTAATTTTCTGGAATCTAACAAAGGCTCATGCGATAGTTCTGATTGAGCACAGTAAGAATTCCACAATCTAGTAAGAGAATCGATATACACATGGCCTATTTTCGGTGCTCAAGTTATTACTTCAAAAACGAGAACCACATCTTGACCGCTAGTCAGCCGAAAGATTGGGTTTATGTGGTCCATAAATTTCCTCAAGGACTTGGGTTTGTTCTCACCTCATCCAATTTTATTTATGCTGCAAAAACTAATCATAAATGAACTATGAACTTAAGGACAATCAATAATATTTCAGAAAATTGTTGAAAACTTTTTATTGTTACTAAAAAGATGGAAACATGATTTAGTTAGGGCATTTATTTGTCAAACACGCAGTTTTTCGGAGCGGTTTCCTGAAACAGGATATATACATTAGTAGTGACCATGTTTTATAAATATATAGTATAAGCAATCAACCGCGGCGTCCAACTTTTCCTGGTGCGTCATGTGACGTATTAACCAATCCGGAATGACAAGCTCTCTAGAAACTAGTAGTTGTGAACATCAGTAGCCAAAGAGCTAGTTGCATATTAAGTACGAATAATGCTATTAAAACTGTTACAAATATGCGCTGATAACACTTAAATAATACTTGCTTGCTGTTGTTCAATGACGTTCTTATAGGCTTTAATCTACTCTCTTACCTGTCGATCAAGTCATTTATACCTTGATGTATAGCAAATGTGACTTAGGTTTCTAGCCATGATACAACTGTACACATAGTAGTATAATTTTAACCACAAAACGCCTGGTTTGTGACGGTATACTATGTGAGCCTTCTCATGAGTTCTAGAATTACCTATACAAGCCACCTTACACACTGAATTCTTATTTTTTACCCTTATTTTATTATTTTACTAATTTTTGAGCATATAATTGTTTATAACTGCTATACATATTATTCTTTACATAGCAGTCAATCATCGTTTGTCTGCTTACCTCCTGTCTTCGCCCTCTTATACCACTACCACTCACTTAGAATTCTTAACTTACTAGTTTTACTAGTCTCGCTCGTTATTTCAGTTAACATCATTAACCTAATATATTTCAATTACTGTTATGCGTCAAAATAAAATTGTTTTCTTATTGTGGCATTAAAAGATGCCTATGCAACACTGATTCGTACAGTGAAGGTTATATCACGTATAGACCAGTATTCTATTCGTTTAGGGCACGAAGTAATTACAGTGGGTAACTGCAGGAGACTCTACAGAGATGGTTAAGAGGCTGCAGGGGATTCCCGAAACAACTATCTATAGTTATACAGTAGTCTCGTATACATGTTAAGATTATCCGCATTCATCGCACCTAGTAGTCAGAAATGAATGCTATATATATAGGCAAACGAAGATATATGATGAAGTATGAGATACCGTGCCATCCCAAGTTCAGAATAAATATTTAAAATAAAAACTTTATTCATATTAATTCTATGTCTGAGATAACTCAAGCTACTCGGAAATTTTTAAGTATTCGTATGCATGTTGATTTGTTCGTATTGCACCTGTATCTGGAGAGCAGCATAGCAAATCTCTTGCCCTCAGTATACTGCAATAGTTTTTATTTTTCTGATAATTTTTCAGAGCGAAAATAAAGATGGAAGTAATTCGACAGTACGGCAACTAGTTAATGGATCAGTGTTGCAAATCTTGCCGCAGTAATCGTATTAATTAATAAATTAACACTACATGTAAATTTAATAACGTTCAATCAGAAGGGTGAATATCGTTGTGAGACTATTAATTGGCATTAAAATTATATGCGTTTTGATTGAAAAATTCCACATTTAGTTAAAGCTTTACTGATGATGTCTTCGAAAACGCAATATAGTGCAGTCATACACTGTTTAGCTGCTACAGCACTCTGTCTGTGGTTTTGCGAGATATCACAAAAGGCGGTAGATATATTTTTGCTCTCACAACAATCGATCTATAAATTCCCTATTGTAAGCCCAATAATTTCTTAAAATAAAATACTTGCGCCCTCTTCTTGAAACTACTGGATAATCTTAAAGATATACCAGGGTATCTTACTTGCCTTACGTGTCTTGGTAAAAATACTTGGTGTCTTACCTGCTTACAATCTACCTTCGTTGACATATACTATTTTAACTATACTTAAGAAACCAGCGTCCCGAAATCTAGGGGTTTGCAACATCAACCTCTCAATACAGTCGAGAGTGCTTATTTGCAAAAATCTGCTGCACGCACTAAAATATATTTAAAAATCAAGCATGATTTAGAAGGGCTGAATTAGAAGTCATTGCAGCATCCAATGTTTGAATTGACTAAAGAAAATGCACCGTTTATAGTACATTGCAACGCTGTCAAACTATCCAAGAGACAAAACATGGAAACCTTACTGCTGTAAAGCTATTTCGTGTTTTGTTCAGGTATCTGCAAGTTTATCCTGTCGAGGTTTATAATGGTAGGCTTGCAGTTATTCTACACATACGTCCATAGTTAATCATTCCCACACTCGGCATGATTCACACCTCAACTTACAAAGACATTCTTTTGAGTAATGATGCAAAATGCTTTTTTATTCAGATATACTCTGACAATGAGATGAGTCATGGCCAAAAAATCAATCTCGAAATTCTGTGCCTCCAAATTATGTCAATGTCCACGATGTTATGCTCTCTTAATGATTACATTTTATCCCCATTGTATGCGATTTACAGGGTCAATAGTCGAAGTAGCTGATTCTGCATAAGCCATTCGTAGTGTGTAGGATTCCGAGTATCGTGAAGGCTCTTGGTAACCAACATCTACCTAGTTTACCATCATCATTATATGAAGTAAGCTCATAACGACATCGAACATTAGGCCCGTAACCGGGTGATAGTGGCTGAACGGAAACCATAACTCATAGCTAACGACCGTGAGGTAATAGACGGGAGGATACGTGAAAATATAGTCAAATAGAGAAACTTATGATTCAATGGGTGATTTTGCAACAAACATTAATATAGCACAATGTTGTCCCCCTTTGAAATAATTTGGCCGGAGGTTGGTCACATATGGTCTGGTTTTGGCTGAGTCTGATCAGAGACAAACTGGACTCGCAGAGCTTAAGACGGAGATTCAATATTGGCAAATAGTGCATAGGCACAGGAGTGCTTGGCTTATGATCCTTCAGACTTCGCATCATATCAAGTACTTCTTCTAACTCTAATGGCAGCTAGCCGTCTAGAATACCCTACCGCTCTTGAACATGTCTTACGCTTTGCTAACCAGAAACACTTATTGAAAAAAGAATCATTCTAATTAACATGAGACATTTTCGTTATATGGAAATGGTTCAGCCTATATAAAAAGATTACATGAACCTAACGGAAGATCGTCAATATAATGTCACTTTATGAACATACTAATTTTCTTCTCAATTGTCTTTACCACACAAGGTTTATCCGACAGAGTCCTACAGAGTTGATGATACTTGTCGCTTCTCAGGTTTCTGTAAACTTGTTAGGACCGAAAGCTCTTTGTAAGGCATTATTATAGGGGTCATAACGTAGTAGATATAAATTCACCAGAAATTTTTCCAATTTTATTATTGCCGTTACTCGTCTTTCAGGAAGCGCTGGGTCATTATTCTACGACCCCGTTAGTTTCATTCGGCGCATAACTAAATATCCGAAATAGCGTTCATCTGCTAAGTTGCATTTACTGCATCTCCATTCGATTCAGTTACACTTCTTGTTCTAATTTAATTATATGTGCATGTATGTACACTCAATAATAATACATACGCCTCCTTTATATGCATCTGTATGTGTATGAAATGTTTTATTTAATATCTTCATGATCATCTTAAATAGTCCCGTAAGCGTTGGGCTTCACCTACTGGTATATCGCTTGTACTATTCTGTTAGCTAGATAACCTCTATTTTAATATTATTATTAATAGTCAAAATTGGTGAGCAGCTTGTGTATATACACATATATATATATACATATATACATATATATATATACATATATATACATATATATATACACATATTTACATATAAATATATATGTATATATGTTACACGTCTGTTTTGTTAGAGATAGGCAACCACAGCTTCTCCAATTAACTTTTTATTTTCAACGTTCTCGTATCTCTAAACAAAAGTTTTACTAATCAGTATTCCTGACAAAGGTTTCTACTCGAAAAAAACTGATTAAAGAATATTTTAACTTCTCTTTTCATCCTATTTAAAACCGATTTTGCGCAATATAACATATCCCACTAAAGATTAATCATGTTGCCGTGTATTGATATGCTATCTCATAGTCGTGGTCGCCAATTGTTTTCGCCCTCAAATTGTCTTTTCTTAGAACGTGAGTTTTTCGCAATCTAGCGCAATACTCTATACAGCTTTTTCAGTCATAATTACTTTTCATTAGGCGTTCATACGAACGAGCAAAGGAAATAACGAATTATAATTATGAGTTGCAGAATTACAGTTTTTAACAAGGGTCTCCTTGAACAACGGAAGACCAACATACTTTAGGTAAATACATTTTGCAGACATTATGCTTATATGCTATAAAACCTTTTATGCTTAATAGTTTGTCTTTACGGTAAAGGTTGAACTCAAAAACATTTTCTATGCCACTTCACAATTTTCTGAGAGTAAATCAATTTTTTTCACACATACTTTCTGTATCATGTTTACGTGATTTTTAGGACAAATCGGGTCAATATGTTTATCCTCAATCATTTATATCTATCCTCAATCATTTAAGCAAGTACACAAGTAAGACCCGTTCAGTAATAGAGCTATAATCAATACAAACGAATAATTTACATTGTCATTTCGCCAAACTCATTGCTTTAAGTAGCCTACGCATAATGACGGACTGCTACGATATTGCTTAGTAGCTCCTCGACCAACCCAGACCTCATAGCCACTTTGAAAGGAGCAATATTTGACAACAATTGAATGATGAGAAAGGTCTTGAGTAAAATTAGTGAGGTAGAAAAAATTCATATGTCTCGAAAAACCTGACCCGCTTGACCCTTGTAAAAGGCCCTATACTACCTAAAAACCACATCAGCCAATTGGTCCATTCATAACTTCGTGTATGTAGAGTAGTCCCATTCGCTCGGTGCTCTTCTAGACACAAATGAGTCAATCAATACTATTACTAATTAGCCACCACAACTTCCAAATTACCAACCCAAACACTACTCGATTCAGACGTTTCACTCAACATGCAATCACTCATACAGTTACTGGTGTTGTTGACGAGCATCGACTTTTCCAAGCTGACAGTTCAATACTGCACAGGGCAGGTGTTCTGAAGCTAAAAATGTAAGTTTTTTTTAACATGTCACATGTGTGGATGAAGCCCAAAGTGGTACAATTATGTGTGCAAAAGAGGCTGAAAACGATACATCTGCAAAACAAGTCATCTGTTGCTACTTCATCACATTTTAAATTTCACTTCATTATTATCATTTGATTTGACGGGTGTCTCGTTGAGTTTACATCGACACAATTCAGGATATACATTGCCTCTAACATATAACGATTTTTTTTATTCGGCCGCCAACAACTACTTAGAGTGTTAGCTGCAAACTTTCGTTAAACGCAGGGCATTGCAAAATAAAATTTCAGATTAGCTTCAATGTCAACTTTTCGTCTTGGAAAGAAATTAGCCAGCGATGTTTTCTTTAACATACTCGTTAAAGAAACATACTTATAGACTTCCGTGACTGCGGTAACGTCTGAATGTTGTTTTTTTTGGGAATTCCACACTGCACAACTTATTATTGTTATTGAGTGTGCGACGTTGCTGGATAAGTATGCGTATGCTGGATTTGCTGCTGTTGTTGCTGCTGCTGCTGCTGAAAAGAACTCTGACCGGCAAGTGTGGAGTCTCCTAATACAATTGTCTGAACTGGGTGGCCCACCAATGTGGGCGCAATGCCAGCCCCGATTGAAGAGGGCACTGGAATACCCTGGAAGCGTGTGACAACGAAAGCATAACTTATGGAAAGCTTATAAACTTGTAATATCTAGATACTAATGTCTTACATATGTTCAACGCCTCTTTCGCCCCCGTTTTCATGCGTCTACATTTCCAACACCTCGCACGCTTTTCTACTATGATTATGATTTGTTTATATTTATATTTTTACTCATCATTATTGTTATGCTAGACAAAAACTGAGCCCTTAAAAAGCTGCGCGTAACACAAACTACAGTGAGAAGCAAAAAAAAAACCTATTTAATTATGCGAGACTGTATAGACAACGAACCCTGGGTTTTTAGTTCAAACCTTTTAACTGTGTCCACAAAACAAACTCGAACGTTTTTGCTTCGCAAAGCTTAGTTTTTATTCAAAACAGCCTCTGCACCGGTTTTTGAAATGTATGAGGTCATTTTAAAGACTTCGAACATTAGACTTAATGACTTCGAATGATGGGATAATAGCGAAGACCCTTAGATAAGAACCTGCACATATCCGTCAATGTTTAAGGTGATTGCAGTTCTCTGATATATTCGCCAAATAGTAGCTGATTAACTAGGCTGGTCACATAAAGAAAACCTTACCTGCAGCTGCGCTTTATACTTATCACCCGTAGGATCTGCCGTGCCATTCATTTGTCCTGACGTGGCCAGCTGCATCATTTGGCCATTAACATTCACCATATCAGTCGTGTTTGCTAAAAGAAAAGATATGAGAAGAGTTGATAATATTGCAGTAGATTAGTAAGTGCGGTAAATAAGATGACGAAATTAGTAAGCTAAATGTAAACATAAGTATGGCTAATAAATATTGCGCTTGCTTCATTGAATCAAGACTACCCAAAATTAGGTTGGGCAATTCGAACACTAGCTTTACCTAATGATCATCTTAGGGACAACCAATACTGAAACCGACATTCCAAATGACTAGTGTTAAAAATACAAATTATTAAAATTGGCCAAGACGTACCAATAATACTAAGATGCATTAATAATAATATTAAGCAACAGCTGTAGACGATGAGCGTGACATATATAAGTGCACATTCTTTTCCAACAATGGTACGTTTTCCTATGCTCCTATTATCGTACTATACTTAAAAATAATATTGTTACTTTTAATGTCTTACGGAAAACCCAGCGTTAAAACCTACTGTACACCTGTAATCCTTCTCCCGAGGACCCTCTGCCACCGTTTGTAAACTATTGCTTGAATAGGTACCGAGTCCACCTAATATTTCACATTAATGCTTGAAATACATACAAATTTCAGTACATTCATACAGATTAGTCCAGAGGAAAAACATCTAGCCCATGTGGCCAACCTCACCAACAACCAACAAAGCCGTATATTTTCTATCAGTATACGGCTTTAGTTATTAGGGTTCGTTGACTGTATGGGCCGGGTGTGTTGTTTCTGGATTAAGTGCTGTCCAAAACCAAAACTTCAAAAAAATTATTGTGTATCTACCAGGTCGTTCACCGTTTGTACGACAGAGATCAGTGAAATGGATGTTGCAGCGAAATAGCACAGATATTTCGTTGATGGAGTGTCTTGAAGTTTGGCTCGCACGTCATAAATATAGACGGCCCTGAGCAAAGTCTGAACCGGTTCACTATAGTAGTGACAATCGGAAACCTCCTAGACTGCTATGGGAGTGCACTAATTGTCTAGCAAAATCCTAACGAATGAACAGGACACCGCAAGAAAACGCGCTTGGGCCCAAAACCTAAAGAATCGTAAGTCGAGAACATTCACCACCGCTGACAGGTTAACTTGATAGGTAGACTGCTAAACGAGATTATCTATTATGCTGAATTGCACAGCGAAGCCAATGGATGATCTCGGACCGACGTAAACAAATCCTTGCCTCTTTATCAACTGTTAGCTGGACTAGCAGATCCTCTCGGTCAAACGTACTTCCAGGACACAATCCTTGCAATCGAAAACAAAGCTCTCTGAAAAAAACAGCATTACGGGTCTATAGCGGTAGCAGTCACTCTTAAGACCATACAGTTTTTCGCATGTAAGCACAGAAGCGGCCCTCAAAATTTCTCGGGCGGAAAAAAAGGAAAAGCTTAAGGGTCCTTTTGAGCGTCGGTGTAACCAGAGGTAGGAAGTTACGAAATACTTAACCAAAGCGAGCCAGCATTGGTACCTAGTTAATGTCTAATTACATTAATGAAAAGACCGGAGCGTATATTAATACCTAAGACCTCAATTCTGTGAAGCTTCCGGCTTTCCACGGAGGACAAAATCATATGATCATTTTCATCTACCAAACCTTTACTACGGGGTTAAACAATGCGAAACCGAGGGGGCTGTCTTGCTGAACACCTTTTCTCGTAAATAGCAAGGTGGTGCGCTATAGTAAGAGAGGGTTGTCATATGCTTGGTCCGTTAGTGGGGTGGGTCTCTTAGCAAGCAGTTGAACGCAAAGCGAATGTCAATTTAACAAAACTAACTGATAACTAAATGTGAAAGAACACATCCCGTCTGTTGCATTTACGCTCTCCGGTACCCGAAAGTTTGCTGATCATAACACAACCAGTCTTTAACCAGTCTTTTTCTCTATGAGAAATATGAACACCTTTGTTTTTCTTAGTTGGTTCGGCAACATGGGTTAAAAACATTTTGATACTAATGGATAGCCTTCGAAAAAATATTAGTATCAAAATCGATATTAGATATGTACAATATCTGTTAGATCATCGTGGTCATATGTGAAATTATTTTATATAAGCCACTTTAATCGTAATTGTTTGTTAGTCTAAAAAAACTACTTCAGACATTTTGTAGAAATCTAAACAAGGTTGTACACGTATTGATGTGCTTAGGGTTTGATGCACAAACGTATGACTGCCCTTTCAATGCATCTATGAATACAGATGTGATTAGATTTTGATAAATTTTTAATAAATAAATTAATCCTTAATAAATAAAAAGGTTTAGTGTTTAGAAACCTACACAATTTTGCTAATACTGACAAATATGCATGATCCCCCACATATGCACAGCTTTCATAACTCGCGCGAAACTACGCATGATTGCGGCAATAAAAATCCATCATTTTGTTCGATGAACGAATTAAAAAAATTCATTAATTAAGTACTGTTTTTTGTGTTTTACGTCTGGTACTAAAATTGTTTGTAGGGAGTAAATGGTGGGTTGGCCCCTCCCGGAAAAGAACGAAGTGTAGAACGCCCGGATTTGAACCAGGCTAGGTTACCAACTGTGGCTTCACAGGGACCAATAATGGCAAGAAGAATGATAGTAGCTTCCCTTTTATAGCATGTAATAAAGTCAATACTTATCCATGAAATTACTAAACAAAGGATGTCTCAATTTTCGTTTGCACACAAAGCGTTTCAAAGATGGAGATCGGTCTTTTCAGAGTAATATAAGAGGTAAAAGCAACATTGTTTTACCGAAATGGCGGGGCGCTGTGACATTGTTCTCTTACTATGTAAATACTTAGATACACAATGATATACGCACGTAAAACAGACATGACAGAATACTTAAGTATACGTGATTGTATGGGAATCACTGCTTTGGTAAAGAAGTGAGGACAAACGTGTAAGGAGTGTTTTTTTCAGTCAGTACCTATTTCATTCACAACAAACAGTAATTACCATATTAGATATACTTTCCATCAATCTTCTCCAATCAATCTCCCTTGATTTTTCTTGAAGTACCATAGCACAAACTTTTCTCAACAAAATAGTGTACTTTGACAAAACTCGAAAAGGTATCTTGTTTAATGCGACAACCCGATGACATTATTGGAGGTAGTTGAAAGAAAATCTTATACTGAAGATTGGATTTGGAGAAAATAACGGATATCTTCAAAACCACATACGACTTTTCTTCATCAGTATCAAGTATAATTGTGGTTACTGCTCACTATTTCAAGCATTTGTCATGATACCATTAGATAACCTAGCAAAATAGATTACTTCTCTAATTCTGTTAAAGTGTATCGAAAAAAGAGACCTTACTCCCTAGAACTGAAGCTTTATCGACTCTTTAGCATTTGACTGGTACCAGGTAAAATAATGGATCATAGCTTCATACAGGTATCATTAGAGCTCCAGCCACAAAAAAATTCCACTTTAAATCTGGAGAATCAAACATATATATATATATATATATATATATATATATATATATATATATATATATATATAAACATCATTAGGCAAGTAGCTGACCTGAAAAAAGGTTTTTCGCACGCACGTCCTCAGCCTCTACATCGAAGTTATAATTCTCATACCATCACAAATTTCTGTTAGTGATACCTGTCATGTCGCTTTTACATACATGTTTGGCGTGACGTTTGGCGAGAAAATGCGTCGGCTCTCCATAGTCTCATTAGAAAAATACGTTTGTTAAGCTCCATCAGGTCTTAAAGGAAAATACATAGTATTATTGTTAATATTATTGGAATATAATATACGCTACCCGTGGTATTCTCCCCAGTATATCTGTGGGTACCTGTCGTACAACAACTGCTAGCTAATGACTGCTACCCACGCTGCGAGTCGTATTTTACGCTGCTGTGACAGCTGATTTTGAACATCAAAATTGGCACCCGTACTGCCAATTGCAAACCTATTTCCATATAGGTTTTATATATATATATATATATATATATATAGACTTTTTCCATAAAGTCTAAATATGACTAACATGTACGCCAAAGGTAATTTAAATTGTCCTCTTTCCACGGGCTGAAGTGCCTCACTATTAGTACTCCTGCTAGAGGTTTTAACTTTAATAGAATTAAGATTTTATAGAATTAAGTTAAAAGGTAAAGAAGGTGCAACCGAAGCCGGTCGGACGGCCGGATAAACTCAACCAACTGGGTATTCCAATTAAGCTTAAGCTAATGTTTAAAAATCATGTTTCTAAGCATCGGCTACTCTAATCCATAAAAATTGAAATTTAGAGCGGAGATATTGTTGCGGACGTATTTGAAAAAAATGCAGTTGATGAGAATCTTAAAATACGAAATCATAGAAATAAACGGCCAAGCACGGAATAGTGGCGTAGTTTATATTACAAACAAAAACCTATTTCTCTAATAATAAAATGCCGTAATTCTGGTAATGGAGTGCCTAGTCAAATTACTTAACGACTATTTTGGTATGGCATTAGCGAACGCTACGGAACAGCCGGGATCTAATAGCATTGTTGATCAATAAGTTTAACAATTAAACATGTTGCCGTAAAATCTGAGGTCCAAAGAAGATGCCGCATATTGCTGTACGATGTCATCCTTCAAATTTCAATGGCCAATGATCTGTTGAGTTTGTGAACTCGCTTTTTCCAATCTATTCATAAAGCGCTGACTTGTAAACTTCTCCAATAGGTGAAGATACATAAGTAACCAACCATGCTGCGTATTCCGAGAAATGCGCTTCCCTAATGCTTTTATTTTAATATTACGGCTCGTCTTTTGAAAGCGCAAGTGCAAACCTTACTGCCATGCAGAGGTTTATGCCGAAACTAGTAGAAACGCAAACTGCTCTTTACGCTTTACGCAGTTATATGAGCTTCTGATTAACTAAGAGTCGAACGTTATAGTTATCCCCTAGAACGTATCATTGTGGCGAAAAAAGAACTAGAAGCTAGCTCACTTCGGTAGAAGCCTTATTATTAGTCAGGTCAAACATGAGATTAAGAATCATATACAATTGTATCATCCAGAATGTGACCAAGATATCAAATATAAGATAACTTGTTAGTCTTTTCATAGTGACCTAAAAAAGGACTAAGCAAACTGGGTCTCGTTATACGCCAGAGATCCCATTGACCTCTAATAGTGCAGAAAGGACCCTTCCCTCATCGTGAGCATTGAGTGCCAAACAAAAGCCTTATTGAGCCTGACCCACGAACTAGAGTCTTGAATTCACCTTCAGCCTTGTAAACAACTGGACAGACGCGTCACCGGCATTTGCCAACTAGTGATCGACACCACTTTTTTCACGAGAATACTGCTCTTTTGTTTGCGCATTAACCGACATGTAGCTGGGTGGATAAAATACCCTAGTATCCTGATTCGAGTGACATCCAAGTGGTGGCAGGTGGCGACATCCAAGGTGTCCCTGTTAATTGAGAACCCACATAAATGAGAAAAACGTCTGTGAAATAACCTTCCAGGGTTTTCCTCTGATGGTTGCTGATTGCATTAAGATAACCTTTTTTTGCTATTTCAAAAATTTGAGTGGTAACAGTATAAATGCACACGTAATGGTTCTAAAGCCAGTGATTCTATAGTTTTCGATTGAAAACAAGACACTTCATTATGACATTTTTGTGGAAAACTATTTGGTTTTAAATGTTGTTAAAGATGACAGTCTACTGTTCCTTCAGAGACCAGTTTTAGTTGACAAAAACCTCGCCGACGGAAAATCCCGATAAAATAATTCCGTTACCTTTAAACATACAGCTAAACGGGACTGAGTAAGCAAGATGAACGGGACTGAGTAAGCAAGATGTACTCTGACATATGTAACTGGTGCGGATTGCTATTCACTATGCTAAAAAGGGCATGTATTTTTAATTTTCTTTTACCTCTGTTATTTACTAATTATTTCTGTGGTATGAATTTTTAGCAAATTCATTATGCAGTGAACGGAATTTCGAGTCAAGCTCAGGCCAGTTTTCACTACACTTGTCAGACAGCCTGGGTGTGCAATGAACTAAGTGATGAGCAGAGGGAGATACATCTTATTGATCCTCAATCTGGCCCGGCACCCGGCAACGCACTGCAATAATAAAAGATTTCTACGTACAATTGTAACAGGGGCTACAAGTGTATTATTCACGTCGACATAAAGCGGGAAAAGACAGCTAACTCTAAAATAAACTTAATCCCGGGGTTAGACCTAGTTTTCGTTCAGGAAAGACCACGACTTGCGTATTATAGAACTGAAGATTCTATACACTGAGAAATGTTTAAGAACAAAAACGGCCCAACAAGAATCTGTATATAGCCCAGTTTTTATCGATTGAACGAGGCTATCCAACAAAATAAATCCGGCGGAGGTAATCCTTTTCCATGACGACACAGCTGTACGAAACAAGATTGTTAAAGCCACCCTGGAGAAGTTCCAATGGAAGGCTTTTTTGCAACATCTGTATTATCCAGATCCCAAGCCTATAAATTCTTGTCTCTTCCAATCACTGATAATAGTAATTAGTATCTAGTCGGTTCATCTCAAAACCTGCTTGGGCGGGCTTTTCAACAGGCACCTAAAAACTTGATAATAAAGACTGAATAAATTGAGAGGGAAGAGAATGTCGCGAAAAGTGATGACAAGTAGATACATTTGTCGCTAAAATTTGAGTAAAACGCTGCGTTTTTTTTAATGGCGTTAATGTTAAAAGGAGAACAGCTTTTACTAATGTACCAACCTAATACTTTCCTCCAATGTTACGATGGTAAGTACCTTTTAAGTAAATTGTACCTGTATTATGCACGTCTGTAGCTGCTTGCGTCCAATAATCCTGAGAAGGCGAGGTTTCGCAGAAGCCGGGCGGTGCTTGGACTGGCTGACCCGCATAGCTGTGAATAACCAACAAATGAAGTTTTAAAAATAGTTCAACTCTTAAAGCTATATGCTTTATATATATAAGTATATATATATATAATATATATATATATATATATTTATATATATATATATATATAAGGCATACACTTTGTGTTTCAATTAATCAGGGCAAAAAATTACTGATGTTACCCTGAAAGTCGCGAAGCCGATCACAGCTATTGTAAACTAAATTGCTTATTGTTATATTTGAGGTAACATATGTTTACACCTATTTACATTCAAAAATTAAATTCGGCTGCTCCTTGCTTTTTGTCCTGAGTACAATTGAAGTTTCACACACCTGCTTTATCTGTTTACAAGCGCATAAAAACAGCCCAGTCGGTATATGTACTGCTGAATTTCAATACTTTTTTGAAAAAATGTATTTAGACATTATCATACCGCCAGATTCAAAATTGGCATTGTTTTTTAAGAAAATCATGTTTTATATGTGTTTTAACCCTACCGGAAGAACGGATTCTTGAGGTCCAAAGTATTTCGCGCGCGCACCTGCGTACCACGAATACCGATCTCGATTTCCACGTCGTAGCTCTGACGTTTGTTAGCTATTAGTTTGCAGCGACCGTCGAGGACCTGGCCCTTAGTTACTATCATTGGTTTTTCCACAAGACATCGAACTTGATACCAATGAGTTAAAGGCTGCGAGGGAGCCGTTGAAAGATAGACTGTTTGTTGGCTGCCTACAAAGGCTACATCAAACCAGAAAGCCAGACCATGCAACTCGCCGCTCTGCGTGACAACATATTCAAGCGGAATATCGATCTTATGCAGATCTACCTCATCCGCTTTTTCAAAGTTTACGGAATGCACAACAGACTGCGCAAGCAAGATACGCATATCAAATGTATCGACGACAGGTTGATTAAAATACTCCTTTATAGCTGCCTCTCGTAAACAAGTAAGGTCGACGCCATGAAATGAGTTCTGGCACCAAAAATTGGCCTTGTTCATCTGCTCCATAAATAAGGCAGCATCAGAAAACGGAGCTATATGCAAGTCTCCCAGGCTAGGAAACATCTTGCCACCGGGCTTGAGGAATTTCTTCGCGTGCAAATAACTCTCGAGCATACGCTCATTATAAAGCATGTAGCCCATTGGTTCTGAGATAATCAAGTCCACTTTCTCAGGAATGGATACTTCCTCGACTTTGCCGGGCACAAGCTTAATTAATTGTTGTAGTCGATTAGCGTACACTAAGCTTTCGGCATGTTTCGCAATTGATGATGCTTCGATGCCGTAAACACGAGCGGCACCCGCCTGAGCAGCAAAGAATGATAAAATTCCTGAGCCAGCTCCAACATCAAGGATAACCTTGCCACGAAAGTCCTCAACGTTCGAAAGAACAGCGCGTTGATATGTTGCTGTGCGCCAGTAATCTTGCATCATATTCTGCTGTTGCGATAAGTAACCATAGAATTGGAAATATTGCGAAGCTGAGGACTCCTCCGTTCGTTCCGAAAAGATGTTGTGCGCATCTCCTTTTTGAAACCTGTTGAAATGAAATTTGAAATACGTTACGTCAGAATCGAAACTGGTAGTATGCCTTAGCTAGTTGATCTCAATACAAGTTGAACTCGGCTCAAATTTTTATTAGATGCGTTAATTCACATAGCATTAAACACAATAATCAAAGATTATATTTTTCATCTTACTTGCTGATTGCGCTGGCGAGAGCCTCACGTTGTTTTTGGTCCTCGAAATGAATCAAAATTGTACCCTTCTGATGATTTACAACGAAAGCCGTTGAGCCCACGCGGCAAACATCGCTATCCTTAAACACTTCAATCTCAAGGTGCGCACTTGCAGCCGGCATGTCTGCGTTAGCATCTGTAATGCGGAACATATTTACTTAATGACAGCAATTGTTCGGCTCGTCATTTTGATCAGCCAACGTCACAGTCCCCTCTGCCGTATCGTACTAAAAACCGGTTTATCTATTAGGTGTTAAATATTCGATTAAAACAATCCGCGAGTCGAATCAGTCTTTTGGTCAGCCAGAATTTCATTTGTGTGTCCGCATCAGTTATACCCTTGCTTATGGTTGGGGCTTAGTGACTATTATGAGTTCAATGAACAGGATAATGCATAATATTGTGACATTGTCACCAGTCATACCGATAATATAAATAGTGGGCAAGGAAGCAATTTAAAAAACCGTAGCTTAAAAAGCACCGTCTCGGTAAAACAAAACAAGCTTGGCTCTCCCACTCTTGCCGAATGATTTACTGCATATGTTGAAATATATTGTGTGCGTGACTGATGTATGTAAACATGTGTAAAAGATATATGCGTAATTGTTTAGTAAAAATTTAAACCAATCAAGATTTACATCCGATGATATTATGGTATTCCCCTTAACGTCAAATTTCCGTTACTCTCGCTCGAGAGGAAATAGTTATGTCTCTTTCTTTGGAAAACGGTTTTAAGTAAAAATGAAAATACGTCCAATATTTCGTCAGCACATCAAAATTAATGTAATTACTACTGACCTTTAATCTTGCATAAGTAAGGCAACGTACGCAATTTAGAAACACTTCAACACGTGGTCATATATGTCCACCGTTTTTATTGTCATCTTATGGACGCTGCCAGTGCTGTTGTATTAGAATGTTAACATGATCGAATTATTCGATAATTGTACATAAGCTTTGGCATGAGCACCTGTCTGTGATCGTTTAAAGTGATGTAAGCATGAAGACCAGGAAGTTCTTGTTTCACTTTCCGCGTCTCATCTACCATCACAATGGTAGGTTTGATATGAATAAATAGATATAGGTATATCTATTTCCGTTATTGGGACACTCGTAAACATATGGGTTGCCATGAAGGTAATTGTCATTGATTCAACTGAAAATATTAACTGTTGTGTTGTGTATGTATCAGAGCCAAGCTCAGTGTAGATTTAGTATATGCTTCATAAATACGGGAGCCGTTTAGTTTTTGTGAAACGATACCCGTTTGTTTGTGATTATATCTTGCCATCGAGTACAATTATATTTCTACTTACTTACAAGCTTGTCATTATTTCAGTACGAATAATCGACTAATGGATTGGTCTATACGATGCGGGTATATATGGATACACAAGAAAAGCTAATAATGACCTGTTAAAATAGCATCTCAATCCTTTCAGGGTAAAGTTTGCAGCCCACCTTTGAAAAATCGCAAGAGAAAGTTCTCAGTTTGATCCAGGGGTTGTAGCCGCAGAACACCATCTTCTTTGCCTTGTAGCTCACCACAAGAGGTTAGGTGTGATAGACGGACGCCGGTGAAGCTCGCACTGGCAACCGCCATTTTGACTATTCCTCGAACAGAACCAGCAAAGGTTTATACGAACAAAATAGCTAACTGAGCCGGTTGAATCCACCTAATACACACGCACGAATAGGACAAGACTTAATCGCAAGAAAAAAGAATACACACCAGCATAAACCACCAAACCAGCCGACCACAAGTCTACAGTGCATAGCAGGCAGGACGGTCGAATGTTGTAGTAGGTCTACGAATCACTAACTTCGTCGTCTGCTAAATTTTGTGATATCGTCTGGTTCGAATTAACGGTGCACCACAAAGGACGAAAATAGCTTATCAAATAAGAGTCAGTTATCCTTGAAGATGCCGAGAAAACGCAAAAATGTTTATTTCTCGGTAGATCGAGACGGTTGTTGAAGGAGAGTTCATTAAATGCTTAAAAGCTTCTTGAATACTGCTAAGATGTTTAGTGTCAGCTGTTAGATGTTAATGTAATGATTTTGTTTTAGCAACGTTGGTGTAATTTCAAGCATACTCAAGTTATATCAAGTATTTTTTTCTAAACGTTCGTTCATAGCAGTCTTATATACATTCGAATTATTGCCTAGCTTTACATCAAGGGCGACTGGTAGCGGCAGTATAGGTGTGTAGAGGTTCTGCTTATGCTAATCATAGAAAGACAAATCGAGGACAAATGAAAACTATCGCATCAGTTGTTGGGGACGAATCATTCTAATTTTCTGAAACGTCAGTTTTGGAAAATAGTAATTTGGAAAGCATGCTCCAAGACTGCAGACGTTTCAGTATCTAAGCAAACTTATCATGACTTTTCATATGAAGTATACCCTCCACTAAACCCTAAACTGTACTCTTGTATCATTATATTACGTATTAGTCTATGCTTATCATGCCTATCTATTGTTTTTCCTCCCATAAGTGCTTAGTTATGTTTATACGATTAATGCTAACGATGTCTGGGGTTGTAAGAAAAGCTTGACACCTAAGAAAGGCAAGAAAGAGTTAGATACATTCAGGGAAATAAGGGTGACTTAATTTACAAAACGTTAACATTTTGTGATCCATAAAGAATTCAATACGACGCTCATGACAGAACGTTAGAATTACGGTCACTTGGAAAATGAGCGAGGTAATTCTATTCTACGAGAGTAGTAATATCTTACTTCAAAGTAAGCGTTATGAATTTGTATGAATACCTAACATATAATAACAACATCATAACTGATTCGACGTTTCAGTAAGAAACATGTCGAGTTCTTCTAATAATTGCGAGTTGCTACAATACGACAACAACTTTACTTTGACCTATTAAGAGGGTTAGGTGGATAATTTTACTTGCCACTTTTTTATATTCAGCTTTATAGTACTGAACGAAGGGATTTCCACAGTATAAACGATGTATAAATGTATTCAATAAAATATTACTCAGAAGCAAGGTTTTTCCATTTTGATTTTACGTGAAACTAAGCTGCTTATAAAATAATTCATCTCTTTCGAGTGTTTATTCTTATTTCACTATCAAGTGGAAGTAATTATGGAAAACGAATGTCGCAAACTGCTGATGTTTCTCAAGTCTTACTTCGTTTACAAGTTACTACAGGTAACTGTCCCGTCTAACGGTCATGCGAGCATGACACTCGGCGGCTTGTGCTGCTTAAAGCCTTCAGACATGCAATCCAGTTTTGATCTAAACCAATTAATCGACAACCTTCAATCTCGCCACCTAGACCCGATGCTACTGGATCGAATCAAAGCATTCATAATCTGTATTAGTTTTGAATATTTGTCATATTTGTTAACCTAAAAAGTTTGGTAAAGATAGACTCGAATGTATGACAATAATTCCGTGCATTCTCAGAAGCACGGAAAAGGTGTGACACCATTCAGAATCCAAGAATGAATAAGTAAGAGGATAGTCAGCCGCTAAGTAAGCTATGTCGAATGCATGTTGCAAAGCTTATTTGAACTTTGATTTATTTATAGTCGTTTATAAACACTATTATCATAAATGTTTAATACTCGCTTATGAATAGAAGACGCGCTCCCACTAGTATTTTTTTTATAAATCGGCAAGGCTCCCTTCTACCAAGTTGCAAAAAACTTCCGGAACAAAGACTTTTTTGTGCATAATACGATCGAAGTTGGGTTTTTATTAGCGATCAGAGAAGCACCAAGCGGTTGCTTTGCTTAAACTTTTGAGTTAGAACGTAACTTATAGATACACTAAGATGGTACATGAGGTATCTACATTTAATTATTTTATCATCTATAGCATGCTCACTCATAATTAAGTAGAATAAAGGATAAAACTAGTAACATTAATGCGTCAGACTTATGAAAGTTTATAGAACTACCACATCAGTCGAAGTTGTTTATCTTTAGAGGCGCGGATTGGTGCATGCGATCAGAGAAATTTGTGAATTACGTTCTTTGCTTATTTTTAAGGTTTAGCATACGCAAACAGTGATCATACGACAGAGTACTTACGCATGCGCTAAATTACTAGACGCGTGAGCGGCTTATCGAAACGTTATTAAAATGCCATAATGTAAGTATAATTTCTCTATGTAAATAATTGTGCGCCAAAAAACGCGTAAACTAATTGTCTGTTGTTGTGGTCGAAGTTAAAACTGCCCACTGCTGCAACTAATTTTACTTTTTTATAATATATTTAATTTATAGGTTTGTCACCTTTACATATCATATACCGATACGTAGCGAATGTATGAAATGAAGAAAATTATGCCTTACAAACTAATAAATGCCAAACACGAAGAGTGGAGAAACACGTGCTTTTACTATTCAATCGAGAAACTACGTTATTAGCAGTGTTTTTTACCTTACACTCACGAGGCGAAGTGATAACGGCATTGAATAAAGATTGCGAAAAATGTGTTTATGAGTTTTTATTAGTACTCGTAGAACTTAGTTTAATTAAAAATTATAGCATCTGTGTCAGTTACCCTCGGTTGACGATACTTTTGTTTAAACAGGTAAACCTTTGTTGCAAGTTTATTTCTTAAAACATATAATTTCAGTAGATTTAAACTACATTAGTTATTTCTTCGGCACTATGTAGAAAACAAACTACAGAGCCGGTTACTAACAAGGAAGCGCAGACAATTATGCCAATGTCTAATCTAGTTTAGTGTGTTATATCAGATATATAGATGCATTTTGTCGTGTTGTCTTAGGCTCTAAAAGGAACAGATTGTAAAAATAGACTTATCGATGATAATAATAACAATAAAAGATTGCCTGTTATCATGCGGATCAGTATCAAAATTTGCTATTTCGCATTCAGGCGCAAAAATTCCTCATTGAAAGCCAGTCACCAAACATTATTTTTTACGTTCACACGTTATCCTTAATTAAATGTTTTTTTTCTCACATCGACGTTTCGACGCTTTAACAGCACCAGTAAAAATAGTTAATTATCTGCTGTTATTTACTGAGCGTTTTAAAGATTACTATATCGTGTCCATAGATGAAGATGGAGCTAAACACAGCTGGGATAACTCAATTTTTTGTTCCAGCGTCTTCCTTTCTTCTGAAAGCATTTGCTTGACTGGAGAATTGTTTTGTATTTAATACATTAAATTAAATGCAGTATGATGATGAGTTAAGTAAAAATTATATGATATTACACTACTCACACAGCATATCTAAAAGTCACTCATTATCCTATCTCATTATACTTCGTATATTATACGATATTAGAACCGTAGCTCTCTAAGGAAGTTGTAATGAAATTTAAAGGCCAAAATATTCTTTTTCTCAGTATTAATAGTAATAAAATCCATGGTGATGCTCATACGGTGGGTATATGCCTAGCGCTAAATGATCTTCTTTTTGAAGAATTATCTTAGGTTACCTGTTATGCAAACATTGCAAACTTACGACAAAAACCGAAAAGATCCACAGCAGGTATTCTTAGGATCGGAAAAACAGTACAGCGTGAGGGCTGCTTCTTACCATATAGTGCTTTTTTAATTGTACTAAATTGCTCCAATTAAGTAATTTTCAGACTGCGGAAGCAATGCGCCTACTTACTTGTGTTAAACATCTTAATTCTCAGCTTTACTTTTCGTTGCAATAGTTTATTATTTCCATCATATTTTGAACACCTAATTGTAACACTTGAATTAATTTACTACATTTGCAGAAAGTGTTTGTCGTATCGGTGGATTAATCTACATACAACAAAAACGTGTCCAATGTACTAAGATACTGCCATCTGGTAAATAAAAAATTAACGGTTAATATCAACAGATTAATACGCAATCTAACGCCAACTGTTATCAGAAATATACCACTACTGATAGGAATAAGTATAAGAAAATCAGTTTTTACGGTCACACAAATAGTAATGTAATTGAAAAAGATTTACTTACTCTTTTGATTAAAAAAATATTCATACCAGAAAAAAATAACTAGTTTTCATGAATGAAGCATACTACACTAGTAGTCAAATAGCATTGTAAACACCTTGTCTTCTAAATCAATTAAACCTGTGAACGACATGAAATAGACCTTGCACATATGTATCTATAGGTCATACATACATGTATGACATATACAGACATATAAACAGACAGTGTATATATGTTGAGCTTTAAAGGAAATTCCTTGTGCGAGCTTTTTTTTATTAGCCCTACAATTGCAGTATATTTTTAAAATAAATTGTAGTTATTATGTAATTCCGTTAAGCGAAATCAATATTTTTGATAACCCAATTTTCGCTTTGATGCCTTCTGTACAACGTAAGCTAAATTCGGATAATTTTCAGATATATATTTCTGCTAACCAGTAATGCGTGTTATTGGAAGCTCTATAGAGCCTGTTATTTTTTGAAGGCAACTGCAAGCATTCGAAGGAAAAACCGGAAACGTTTTCGTTCTAAGTGTAACCCAAAAACATTAATTGGCGACACAGGCACCGTACACAATACAATAAGTTTTTTTGCTTACTTACAATCGACAGCGAACACTGTTGCTAACAGTTATCCATTCAAGTACTAAAAAATACAGAAAATAATTCTATGCATCGACGAGCAGGTCGATAATAGAAAGTCGTAGCTACAAGCAAGGGCTGAAGAAACTATGCAATATGCGCAATTAATCCAATTGCATTGAACTACATTGGTCATTAGGAATGCATCTAAAGAGACATAAACAGGAAAAGTATGTTAATTACTATCTTTGAATACAATCTGTGGTTATAATAACAAAAACGAATTATTTCGATTTCACTAACGCACCTTGGATGGAAACGCAAGAAGGTGTCTATTTGTAACACCGCTGAATGTTATATTATAATTTGGTTTCATTTCAAAACCAGCTCAATTTTCTGTTCTTAGAGTATTGTGTACACAATAACACAATACATGTAAACTGCTGAATCATTTGTTCATGTTTTTCGAGAGGCTTATTGGGATTCCGAGAGAGGTTAATCCATTCGACTCTCTCAGTATCCAGCCGCATCGATGAACGAATTCATCATTGAATTTTATTTTTGCTTATACCGGAATGACAATTTGCCTACCACTGTAAAATATATTTTTAGGTGCTGTTTAATCTGGTTTCATCGTTTGTGTTACGTGTTAGTTCGGTCGTACATAATTGCTGAAAACTTGCGAGAACTTATAATTGTGAGCTTCAACTGCATACGTTGTGCGACATATAACCTGATGTCCTTTTACCACAATAGCTCGATTTGAACAGAAAATCATAAATTACTCTGTAAATTCATTATTTACGACTTTCTCTAGTATGATATTAGTAACTATATTATTATAGAAAGCTAGTTACATTATCAGTTATAGACAGCACTTGACTTAGTAACAGAAGTCACGAAGTACTCTGCCGGTCGATTTATGCACTGCAACTCATTTTCTAGTACAGTAGAGGGTAAATGTAGGGTCGCCTGTATCAGCATTCACACGGAGCGGCAATTTCTGAAAAAAACAAATGGGGCATCGATACTCGATTGTCAAGTTTTAGGTTAGGGTAGAGAAGCAACCAAATAGGAACGAATATAATAGGCGAACGGTACACAGGGTATCAAGCACACTAAATGCAATTTAACATCATTCCACCAGCAATGGGAAGTGCTGAAACATACTGATTTTATATGACGCTATATGTATTCTCAAAAATAATCAAAAGTTTATTATCTGACTACAGGACTCGTAGAAGAGAAAGAGATAGACACTTATCAAACGGCCAGTTTTGTCTGTATTTCATTTCACAGGAGCTTTTTGAACAATATGCTTACGTGTTAGTTGAGGTTTTTATTTCATTTAATCGCAGCTTTGACATTTCGAGATCAAATAGCAGCAATTTGTTCGCAAAGAGCACGGTCCAGTTTGGCTACTTTCGTACCAGGCAAAGGTGTAGTTAATATGTACAGGTGTGGAAGTAGGGAAGCTAATGTAACGTTTTCGTGTCTCCTCCACTGTTATTAGGGTAATATACATAAGCGCCACCATTCACGCACTTTTTTTTTTCTTATTATTAGTTCGTACTTGAACAGATAATCTTAATTATTATGCAAGTGTAGTACAACAACAGTAATCTTCTCATGATATTTTTTCTTATCCTTTTTACAGTTTCTTCTTCATTATTTTCTTGCGTCATGACAAGAAATGTACTAATCGAATTTACGTAGATAGATATTATTACTATAATGAAACGTATAATTGTCATTATTTTAATACGACGCCAGCATCCACTAAAACTTTGGTTATATTCTTTCGTGAAATAATAATACGATAATATATTGCTAAGCTCATCAAAAAATTGATTACTTGCAGCTAAGTGACCTCATTATGGAGAAAGTGGACGCCGAAAAGGATAAGCTCAGACTCGAGGCAGCGCGCTTGACAGAAAAGTATTTCAGTGATGAACTAAATTTACCGAAAAAAAAGAATCTTCCGGTGGTGAGGTCCTGGTCAACAATATTACAAAGTATAAATAATAAACCTGTGACGATCGTTATTGGGACGACAGGTTGCGGCAAAACTACGCAGGTTTGTGACAGTAGTTTGTTTTCAGTACTATTTACTTTTATATATATATAAAAGTAAATTTTTTTATTTGGTAACACATTCTATTGAAATATTACCAATACGTTGCAATAATTATTTAAAAACAAACTCGATTGCTCATCACGGAACTTATATATATATATACAACATATTGGTAATATTTCGATAGAATGTATTACCAAATAAAAAAACTGATACATACATTAGGGTGCGATGCCGAAATTCATGTAATTTTTGGCGCGTTCTTTTATCCCAAATCAATTATGCTGCCAGTTTTTATGAAACAAACAAAGACTCAAATTGAAAGACTTCGAAAGTTCACCAAATTGGCTCAAGAAGCCTTTTTGGACTCACCTAGCTTGTTAAAAAAAATTAACGACTGTTTCATGTAGATGGAATACCAACTGGGTCATTCCGAAAAACTCTAACATTCTCTATATATATAAATATAACTCTAAATTTTTGGTGCTTTTTTGCATTTTTTTAACTTTTGACCATTTTTAACTTTCGCTTTTTTTGGGATTTTTGGTTCGTTATCGGTTTTAGAATATCAAGTCGTTATCATTTTTGTATGTAGAGTTTTTGAACGGCACCTTTACGAGTTTTCTTTTACCAATATTGCTTGATGAAAGTACACAAATATAGGCAGACAACACATAAATATTGAAAAATACAAAAACTACAAAAAAAATGCAAGTAAATAATGGTCTTCATAAAGTTAGGAAATCTTATGGCAACCAAAAACGAACCGGTAGAAAGGGTGTAAAGCATCTAAAAGAAAAGATAACATTGTCACGAAGTATGTGCATGTGCGTATTTGCTGAGTCACCAGTGACTATTGGCAGTACATGGAGAACTCGTAGAGGGTTTGCAAAGAGTATCGTGTCTGTTCTACGAGCTTCGAATGGAGTAAATATTATTTTGCTTTAGATTTATGCAATGCAACTGCGGCTATTGTATATGCTCGAATGAAATAACAAGTGCTCATAACGCAAATGCACAATGAGAATAAAATTCCCGTAGAAGACTCAGGTCCGAGCAAATTCTTATGATAGGAATATTCTAAACGTGATTTTGCTTCAATGGATCGCTTCAAGTAATACCATGATAGTCTTCACATCGGTGCAGCGACACTTCATTGTACGAGACTACGTAAGGACAACCAGTTGTCTCTGTTGTAAGCGTTTAGCAGTTTCATAAGCATTAGCAATCAAACGTTTCACGAAAAGCGAAAGTTAATGAAAGTGTCAACGAATCTTCCTAATCAAGCAGATCAGAATTCTTAATCCTGAACGCTTGCATGCACATTACTGATGCTATTGCTACGAAGCTAATAATTTCAATTTAGAGTGGCTTCCGATGAAATCCGATGTGAGCAATTTCACATGCTTTAACAGTAGTCGTCATACTCTTTGACCATTCCATGGATCCATGCTCTCGAACGATTTTGCCCTGCGATCGTTTCCAAATCGCTACCGGCTGCTCGTTAACGGCTTTAAGCGTTTGTTCATTTCTTCAAACGGACGTTTGTCGTGTTGAAGTCTTCGTACGGTACACCATTTCCGCTATGAGTTCGTTTGCACTGCCTTCTGCGCCAACGGCCTTTCATTACGAGCCCTTCGTCGTCAAATAATTTCTCCTATCACCCGCTTCAGGGCCGGTAACCCTATAGTTACCTACTATATCGACAGGCGAATACGGCGCTCTGGAACGTAGGTTTTTGTGACGTGACCCTCCAGACTACCATGAAATCATCCGACCTGCTTTTAACAACGACCCGACTGGTGGCGCCCGTAATTCCGGAGTGCCTGCTAGTTTCAGGGATCCTTAGTTTGGTCGGCCCCAGGTTCGATTGGATGTGGACTGTTGCTAAATTGTAATCATGCATATACTTGCATTAATATAATAAGATATATTAAAAAATGTATATACAGTTAATACATGCGTTAGGACAAATGTCGCTTCCTAAAAAGCCGCATCTAGGTGAAAATATTTTTTTGGTTAACACTTGTGTACGCCGACAATTGTCATTTACTTCCATATTTTTGTCAATTCGGGGCCTAAGTCGTTCTGAAGGATAGTTGAATATTCCTAAGCATATTTTTGATAGACTTTTTAATAAATATAGCACGTAAGTCAACGTTTCCGTGTCGGCGTTTGTTTTACTCGATTATGAGTTTAACAAATGTCTCAATTAAAAGTAAGCTTAACAGTAAGGTGGATATTGAATTAATCGGAACAGATCGAAAACTTGGAATAACTTAAATTTTGCATCATTAGCACGTTTCATAAATATCAGCGTCAAATTTTCGGGTATCAACGGCTTTAAGTTGATTGTGAAAGGATTATGAATTTAAAGAGTTTCAGAGCGTCAGTACATGACAGAAAAATCTCTGTAAGAAGTTTGCAATTATTTTAGAAGATACAAAGGTACCTTTGACGATTCTGGATATTCAGGAGTAAAATTATGAGAATTACATGGTTTACAAACACTTAGGGTACAAGTCTGCTGTTGAAGTCAGACTGAAGGTGCCTAAGAGTAAAAAAAAAGAGCTCAGACATTTAACGGTGGCGTTTCGGAGGCATGCAGCCCCAAGCTGTGGTTGATTTTTAAAGGACGAAAAAGTATTCACTATATTGACGAACATCAGTCACAGAAAAGACCGCTGGCTTGCCTGTGATCTATATGTTTTCATGTGGGTTTCTAGCAGTTATGGGATTGATTTCCAGTTAAATTAAGAGCCTAAACACCTCAATTTGAGTCCGCTGAAACGCTTGATCGCCTGCGGCTTAACAAATGCCTTAATCCAAAACCCATGTTACTAGAAAAAAAGTCTGCTCCAAGTGGTAGGTAAACAAATTCGCAGCGATGGCAGCACTGGGTCGTATGCGTAATTTAAGCCAAGGTAAGCTATTATTATTATCTCTTCATGTGGACAAAATGTTCGTAGACATTATGCACCCCTGTAGTTACTCTAAAGCGGCAGTACGGCATCGACAATGAGAATGCAACTGCAGAAAAGGTAAAAACAGATTCTAACACAATACAACGACTAAAGAAAGAAAACTTACTCCAAGGTTGACCGATGCCATCCAGAAGTGCATGCTTGGTAACACTTCTATTTCAACCAAATAATTAACAAAAACTTTAACTATCATGTGAGTGATTATTTACGAAGACCTTAGATAATATGTAATGAAGGTCGGGCAAATGTTTTTTGAGACGCCAATAGATTTAATAGAGGTCGGTTACTCTTCTGTCCTCTGAAAACTGCCTTTTTTGACTGTTCTCTGACCACGAAACCCTTATCGTTGATGCAGAAATGAATCGCAGAAACACTCGTTTACGATCCATGTGTGTAATAATAATTTGTGAGATAATAATGTATGGGATAATTCGAATCTTTTTTTTTAAATAAAATTCATGTTCTGAGTGTGATATTCAGTAAAGAGGACGCCATGCCAGCGTAGTTCTTGCAGAAAGATGAACGACTTACCAAAAAAGTTTGTCTGCATGTGTTACGAACTCTTATGCGACTAAAGATAGCCGTATTTTTTAAGGCAGGTCATGCAGCAAAGTGCTGCACCGGTTTATACAAATCAGTTAGTGCAGGATTAACTGCCTGAGAATTCGTGCACATTCTGGAATAAGCATATACAACTGCCATGAAGCTCCCATTCGATTCCATTGCATTTTATTGTGTGAAGATGAATATGTTTACTTACTCACTTGTGCTACCAAGAAGGCATTGCAAAGAGAACAGTCGAAACAAAATTGCAGGCAATGGAGATCACGAACTGTAAGTTTAAACAGGGTAAACGGAGGTTACGTGAAATAAACGGTTAAATAAAAAGAAAACGACGCTCTCTAGCATAGGCAAAAAGTAATTCATTAAAATACCTACTTTCGTTTAAATACAGTCGCAGGCAGCAACAACTCATAAGAAAAAGTCGAGAAAAACATCATTGACCGAGTATCTAAAATAATGTTATTGAGTTTAACGTATGGTACTGCCAATAAGCACTGCTTTAGAGAGCTGACTCTCAGTACAAGACGAGATTTACGTGCACTCGGTTTCAAACTTAAAGCACGTCAGGTATATTTATGTCTATCAACAACCAAATTTTGAAAAGTCGTAATGTAACCATGATTGGATTGGGTCTAACAACGCTTAACATGACAGCGACGACTCATTTCTTGCCACTATTAAGAAGTTGCAAAAATGTGTGCATATAAGTCTTATTGGGAGCTTAGGCTTCGAATGAAATTGAACTCGAACAAATGGTAGCCACATTGAATGAACATGCCCGTCAGAGATACACACCCGATATTTCATGCACACCGGCTCTTTTCACTTATGTGTAGCTTACAGTCAAAAAACATCGCACTTGCGCCGTTACGTACGTGCTCTGAAGTCTGTGAGTAATATTTCTTCATTGTGAGATGATAGAATCCGATATAACTGATTACTGACGCATTAACTGATGATTAAACGTCTGAAATACGTCTCCTTTGCCACGTATTTCACCGTTTAGTTGTAAATCAGTTCGATAAAATAGTATTAAAATACACATTGCCACATTTCTGATCAGCACTATCCTGACGTGTAACAGACATATGGCGTTTTCTTTAAATACTTATTTCAAGTAAGTGATTTTAAATAAACGGAAGCGATAAATAAAGTAGATGACATGTTTGGTTAACTACGCTTGATTTGTTTTTATAATATAATCATGTAAACATGATGAAGTCTGAGAGAATTGCCTGCTTAAAGCTAAAATTTATCTTTTATGTGACACCACACAAATTGATCGGGATAAATAGATACGGGGGTAAGATGTAGTTGTGAAGTACTGTCATGTAAATTTTTCTAGATACAGTCACGTATGCTGCTTATAATTGGCTTAAAATCATAAGCTGTCGATTGCAGTTCAGCTGAATGTTGATATCGTAACAAATGTCCTAGTAACAATAGTTGACC